TCTAGACAAAGAAGCTGTTTTCCAAATTTAAAACATTTAAACCAATACTTTTCAAGTTATTGGTCAACAAATGCTTTTAAGTTTGAATTTTTAAATTGCTGTAATTGAAATGGCAGAACCAAAACTTGCACTGCACCTCCCCTTCAATAAAAAGATGAGTGAATGAGTGAGTGGCATATACACCAACAAAAACAAAAATAACTCGCAAGAAAGAAAGTTGATACAACACTTTCATAGCGACAGATCAAGTAAGCCAGACTGACAGTTCTACAGAAAGCTGAACTCAGTAGGACTAATATGACCTCAATATATTCCATCAAATTCAGGTTAATGACAAAATGCTGACCTGCCAATCTAAATCTCCCAGAGTGTTACGTACACGGCCTGATCATGTATGTAAGCATACAGGTAAGTACACAGGTAAGTATGTATACCCTTTGATCTGAGCAGGTGAAGTAATCCTGTTCCCGTTTGTCCTCTCACGCTCCCTCCGACAACATCGGCCCAAGCCCGATCACAGTGGAGAAACTTATGGTACCTCAATAGTTTTACAAACAATTGGCTACTTGTCTGTCAGATTATGACTGATAGCAGGCTAATTCTAGTCTCTGAAATAAACATATTTTACACAAAAAAATTAAAAAACCCAGTTCCTAAATTCATATAGTATAAAGAAGCCCTCTGTGGTAATCTAGACTTGCCACAGTCTGCACTTGCATGGGCTATATTGAGTGTAATTGCAGAGCTCCAGATAAGATTTAGCTCATGTGGGTACTGTACCCACTGTATTTTTTGGAGTGGGTATTATGAATGTTGAGTGGGTATTTCATTTTCCGTTACCCACTGTTTTCAAATATGTGCGTATTTCAGTCATTTTACTCACCTAAGTATTATGTCATTGAGTAAGTTTACTAAGCAGGTATGTTCTGCCTTATGTCATACCTAATCAAAACCAACTTAAATATAATGGAAATGATTTCATAAAAAATCAATGATCCTATACTGACAATACAACACTAGTCCTATACTAACAGTACAACTTGATAGCAATCGATGTCTTTTTCATTACGCAAGTGATTTTTATAAATATATTCCGTACTCATTTGTTTTAGACTTTTTGCATATCTAACATTTTAAATGCGTAATTGGTACGCAACAATTATTTTTCAATGCGTAATTGGAAAGTTTCTATGCATATTTTACCCGGATACACAGCTTATCTGGCCTCTGAATTGTTTCAGGGTAACTATGAGAGACTAAATTGATACCGACACCTTCTTAATTATTTCATCTGTTATTTGACTGTTGATGTCAAATACAGTCAAAAAGAAAGTTTAGATTTAACCGATTTGCCTGACAACTCTGTAGCAAGATTAGAAAATGTATAAAATAAAAGTACAGAAATCTGATAGGAAGTATTTGTCATTTTGATAAATGTTGATAAAATGCATAGCATGCCTAGTTTCTAAGGCCCACACCAGTCTGGATCATCTCCCCCACCAAACCAACAGACCCAAGAAACTGAACTCTGGTAATGGCCCTCACTGTGTCCCCGTCGCTACACAACCATCCAAGCTCATGATTAATGCTATTCACATATAAATAACTTTCTGTTTTTATATCGAACAAGAAGGATATGATCCTCAGAAATTCACAGAGTGTATCACTAATAAGAAAACAGTAAAAATAAACACATTCTGGGGCAATGAAGTAAACTTGAGAAAATAAGTGTATCACAGTACAGTTTAAAGTAAACTTCAGAGCAGTTGTTTGTTAACTGATTTGATTATATAAAATCACATTACTTTTTAATTTACAGTAAACTATAATAAAAGAAGTATGACACTATTTCTTTAACTACCAAATATTATAAAATGTCTTGCTTATAAAGACACACATATTACGATTAATTGACCACATTACTCCAAACGTACAGTTTTCTACCCACCTGTGTCCAGCACGGCCCTATCTGTCTGCGTGACTGACTTTGACACTGAATCAATCAGCAACTCCACCAACCGACACCTGATACAATTTCTGCTCAATCACCCGTTTCAATCCAGCCGGGTGTACATTAACACAATGTAAACCAATATCCTTGAAGTACCAGTACATTCCTCACACTCGTATCATATGTTGGAAGCACAGTGTGCAATATGCCTCGTAACAACCACCCATTCAACAATAACAATAGCATGTCTTCCATCATCAGGCATTGTTTTCCTTGAGTAGTTTCCTACAAAGCCGCCGCCAGGAGCTGCCTTGACAGCTGGAGCTCCCAGAATGCATCATTCAGTAACAATCCGCTAAGTCTGTATAAGTGGTCGCATGGCTGGATACTTTGGCTTCAGTAAGATCAATATGTTTTAGCCAACTCAAGAGGGCTGATGGCATAAGCTGTACAGAGGTCCAACTACCTGCCGAGTTGATCCGAAATGTACCTCATGTTTCAATTTGGACAAATCAATAACAAAAATTATTTTCACAATTGATTTCTAGTTTCTGAGGTCTTATCTCAGTACACTTTCCAGATCATGTTCACTTTATACACTGACCAAAACAAAGTTAAAATCATGAATGAATATCTTAATTTTATAAATTGTGCACTGTCTTCATTACTGAAAACTATTCCTGATATCCTAGTACCTTTACTTTTTTGTTCAGTATATTAAACCTAATTCTGCAGAGTCTGAAATTAAGCATGAAAGTCACTGGATCCTTGTCATAATGCCAAAATGAACTTTTTTATTCAGGTGTCCAAAACTATGAGGCAAATCATCAGAGTTGGTCTGTCAATTTCATGTGACTGTGTAAAATTTGGTTTTGTTAGATTTTGTGTTAGTGAGCAATTCATCGGTCTCAAATGAAATCAAATGGACTGTACAGAAAAACACTCTCTATATTCCCCCAAGACATGTTTCGGCTGGGAAACAAGAAACAGTTTCCTACATCATCATTCCAGATGCAACACTGCAGTTGATATGTCATAAATGTAGCACCAACAGTTAGGCATTTCAACTAGGCTATATACCCTGCATGGTACATTGAAATAACAGACAGGATCTCAGCCAGTCAGAATCTCAGTCTAAGTAAACTTAGGCTCAGTATTATTCGTTACACTGCTATACTGAGTCTAACAAAACCTAGTAAAAGGTCGCGTCAGCTAACCTTTGAGCGACCTATGACCGTCCAATCAAACGCGAGACGGCCGAACAGATTTAACCAATCAGACAACGACTACTTGTTAGGGTTCGGCAGGACTTACAAAATGGTTTTGGGATTTTCTCTTCCCTTGGTCGCTGACACTGATCTATCAACATATGAAAATCTGCATAAACACAGGTATTTGACCTGCAGTATATACCCTTAGGGGTTTCTAATGACATGGTAACTATTTGCTTATATTTTCACAAGGTGACATGCTTGATAATTGACAAAAACGCTATTTTCAGCGACTGTTCACTCATTGCGTGTATCACTCTGAAGCGATCATGCGGAAAATAGCATTCAGAATCGTTCGAGTTTTTTAGGTAAAGGTTCAAACGGTATGTGCGAATGTTAACTTTCGCGATTTGGTAAGTTGTGTTCTGATTGGTCAGGCCAAAAGGTTAGCTGACGCGACCTTCTATAAGGTTTTGCTAGACGCAGTATAGCAGTGTAACGAATAATACTGAGCCTAAGTTTACTTAGACTGGTCAGAATCTGACATTCACGTATTAGGAGATAAAAACTATTGAACTATATGTATTTTTATTTGTACCACCTCTGCCTTATAGCTGGAATATTGCAGAGTGTGGCGTTGAATAACAAACAAAACAGTATTTGAATCTACACAGTCAATCTGGGGACCATTAGAACAAGCATGGAGATTACTAGAGACAGTCAAGTCAGGAACGTTTGATAGGAGAGTCAAGGATAAAGTGTAGAGGCTAGACAATAGGACAGATTACAGTAGGTGGAACTGATAACAGGACACAAGGCAGATGGGAGTAGAGTGGAGGACATGTTTGCGGGCTGAGTGATAAGATTACCTGCAACCTGGTTAGTACAGCTTGTCCTTTGTTCATGCTTGTCTATAGCACTGAATGTGTGGGTGGGTGAGTGGACGGTTGATTGACCGAATAGTTGATAGAATTGTTGGTTGGATGGTTGATTGACTGGTTGAGTGGATAGTTGATTGGATGAATGGTTGAGTGGATAGTTGATTGAATGGTTGAGTGGATGGTTGTTGGAATGGTTGAGTGGATGGTTGTTGGAATGGTTGGTTCGATGGTTGATTGACTGGTTGAGTGGATAGTTGATTGGATGAATGGTTGAGTGGACGTTTGATTGATTGGACTTGATTGGATGAAAGGTTCAGTGGATGTTTGATTGACTGGATAGTTGATTGGATGAATGGTTGATTGACTGGCTGAGTGGACGTTTGATTGACTGGTTGAGTGGACAGTTGATTGACTGGATAATTGAGTGGATGAATGGTTGAATGAATGGTTGATTGACTGACTGGTTGTGTAGACAGTTGATTGACAATGGTTGAGTGGATGGTTGAATGGATGGTTGATTGAATGGTTCAGTGGATGGTCGATTGAATGTTTGAAGGGATGGTCAAGTGGATGGTCGTATGGGTGGGTGGGTGGTCATTGGGTGAGTAAAAACTCAACATCACATCAGCAATGCTTGACAGGTATACTTGACAATTGTTGAAAAGTTCTAAGCAATCGTTGACAGGTATACTGGACAATGGTTGACAAGTTCTAAACAATGGTTGACAGATATACTGGACAATGGTTTACAAGTTCTAAACAATTGTTGACAGGTATACAGGAACAATATAATCACTGACAAGTATTGAATAAAGGTATACAATATTTGACATGTACTAACAACAGGTCCTGGGAAATGTAGACACTTAATGCTTAGAGATATCAGTTTAAGTTCAAGCATATAACTTCATTGACTAAATGCACTCAGAAAATGAAATCCAAAATACCTGATATCACAAGTGTCTATCTGGACCTACATAGTTCTTGTATATCAAAGGTAATCATGCTGTGATAATGTTTTTCCTTGTGGGTCACCAGATAAGATGTAGAACTTTCCACCATAAGTCAGAGAGTGAAGGTAGTTGTTGGGACGACAGTACACATAACCAGTGGTGCACCCTGGGAGCTGTAATCATGAGATTACCAGTATCATCTGAACTGTTTACAAAGACAGCTATGACAAACAGACTTACCGACATCTTGAAATCAATTTGACACATTTGCATTGGACAGAAGGAGGTGAAATCAACTCATTTGGAAAAGGCCTCAGTGATGACAATTTTAGAATCAGCTGGATTTGGTGAAGTTATAACTTTGACATAGGCAGAGCGGTATAATTTTTTAAACATTTGGATTTGGGAGAGTGATACCTTTCTTTCTGGATGAGTGATATCAATTCCTAAACATCTGTATTTGAGAGAGTGATACCATTCTTTCCAGCTGAATGATATCATTTCAACACATCCGTCAAGCCCACCAGCTTCAGTACTCATCAGGGACTAACCTTTAATACCACAAATGTCAATGTTCAGGTGGTAATCATTCTGACGTAAGCCTTAGCGATAAAAACCTCTCCGACTTATCAATCTTCACATGATCTAGCAGGTGTTGATAGCAGGTGAACTTCCTGCATATAGTTTCTCTCTCAGCTCAGTCGTGTAACCATCACTCCAGCGGGAGGTCACTTGCAACATTCACAACTTGAAGTTGTGGACTAACTGTTTCCAGTTCTCTGACATACAGAAAGTGACATATTTGGCCGTTTACTGTTTTTAAAAGATGCAACAACAAAGCTATAAATGTCTTGACTTTGACAACCAGAGGGAGAGCATGGCGAACCCAGGTCCAGGTCCCGTGTATGACTACCAGCCATCAAAATCTCGGGCACTATTTTCAGAAATTCCAAATATATTATCGATCGTCCGCAAGTGTATCCACCTGAGCAGATTCCATCAGAAGTGCATTATAATTACCATGAGGACAGTAATGTTGACCTTAGACAAGAACCTGAAGTAAATTTAAGAAGATCAACACACCCCTGGGACCGACGGTCAGAACCTGGTACGAGACTATCCAACCTCACCAGCGTCTCACAAAGAGATAGTTTTATGGACACCTATTCTGTAACACCTGAACTGTATTTTGCTCCCCTAGTGGACGAAAGTTTGGCTGGCAACGCTTCAATAATCAAAGGAAACTGGGAGCATTCCAGTGTGGACAACCTCCCTGCATCAACCCCTGTCAATGTCCTTCGAATTATTGCAATAGTGTTCATATTATGGGATGTTGTATCTGACTGGTGGATGGTTGTTGTGTTCGATGACTATTCATGTGGGCCAAATCCCATGTTCAACTACAAGTTCTCTAAGTTGGACATCTGCGGCGTCCATCGTGAAAAAATCCGGCAAGTTTTAGCTGTCTTCACAATTTTTGGCAGCATCTTCAGTGTAATCCAGATAATCAACATCGTCCTGAGCATTCTGAAGGATCGAGGCGTGTTGAAGCTGCAGCTGTTCCACCCGCTGACTGAAGTCTACGTTGCTGTGTTCTTCGAGGAGATCCCACAAGCTGTCGCTCTCCTCGTCTTCAACTACAACTGCCACTGCAGCCGAGAAGTAGCCATCTTCTCCCTCACCATGATGGTCAGCGGTCTTGCCAGCACCGTCCTGCGCTACACCACCTGCTTCCCCAGCGTCAGCAGTGAGCATGGTTGCTGCAACGGCTGGTGGAGATGTTGCTGTTGCAGGAGTCAGGAGTATCTGTGTAAGCTGACCGGGCAAGACTGTTTTTGTCGCTGCAGTATCCCGTGTCCACTGTGCTGCTGCACGCTGCAATGTGACGACTGCAACTGGACGCCGCACACGTGGATGGAGTCGCTGTACGAGGCGCTCGCCTGCTTCTGCAGCTGCTGTCAGAGAAAGGAGGCATCGTACGGCATCCGAAACATGGACAATCTTGGTATCTTGTGCCTACTGTTTTGTCTTGTTGCTAAAATTGTACTGATGACAGTAACATAATGTTGTACTGTACACAATCACATAGACTTGTACTGTTGACAGTTACATAGAATTGTACTGTTGACAGTAACATAGTTGTACTGTTGACAGTAACATAGTTGTACTATTGACAGAAACATAGAATTGTACTGTTGACAGTAACATAGAATTGTACTGTTGACAGTAACATAGTTGTACTGTTGACAGAAACATAGAATTGTACTGTTGATAACAACATAGAATTGTACTATTGACAGAAACATAGAATTGTACAGTTGACAGTAACATAGTTGTACTGTTGACAGAAACATTTATGAGGATTGACAGTTGACAGTAACACTGCAAACAGTAACAGGTAATTGTACTGTTGACAGTAACATAGTTGTACTGTTGACAGTAACATAGTTGTACTGTTGACAGTAACATAGTTGTACTGTTGACAGTAACATAGTTGTACTGTTGACAGTAACATAGTTGTACTGTTGACAGTAACATAGTTGTACAGTTGACAGTAACATAGTTGTACTGTTGACAGTAACATAGTTGTATTGTTGACAATAACATAGTTGTACTGTTGACAATAACATAAAGTTGTACTGTAGTCAGTAACAAAATACATAAAGAATTGAAACTTTCCATCTCTAACAACAGAATATTCATAAAAATGGACACACTCTTCCACTCATCAGTTTAAAAGCAATTATATTTCGTCAGCTTTTCTACACGCACACATCAGAAATTGGTGACAAAATGTTGGTTCATCTTGGGTGGATGCTGGGTATGCTGTATGGGATATCTCAAGTCCTTGCTGTGCACAAAACACTGTTATCATGTATATCTTGATTTTTCTGTGGCCTGTGAAATAAACTGTCTCGTACCATGCAACACATCGGTGTGTTTTTACTACTACTACTACTACTACTACTACTACTACTACCACCACCCTTGAAGGTCCGGGTTAGAATGTGCCTTCAGTAACCCATGCTTGTCGTAAGAGGCGACTAACAGGATCGGGTGGTCAGACTCGCTGACTTGATTGACATATGTCATCGGTTTCCAATTGCACAGATCAATGCTCATGCTGTTGATCACTGGATTGTCTGGTCCAGACTCGATTATTTACAGCCTGCCGCCATATAGCTTGAATATTGCTGAGTGCGGTGTAAAACTAAACTCACTCACTCACTCACTACTACGACTACCACCATCACTGCTGCTACTACTGCTACTACTACTACTACAACTACTACTACAACCACCACCACAACTACTACCAGTGTAGGAAAGATAGCCCATCCCAACGTCTGAGACAGGTGAATTTTGTGGAGAACGGGTTAAAAAAATATCTAGTCGTCCTCATGTCGGGTCAATTTTAGCAAACCAATGACATATATATAATGATTATAACCTTTTTGATTATTTACTGCCGAATGTGTTTTATTTATATTTGGAGGACAGGCTAGATTTTGGCAGGACTGGTAAAAAATTTGACCTGCCAGTCCTGTGGACAGGCTCGATTTTCTACATATTTCCTACACTGCTACTACCACTTCTACTATACTAAGACTAATGTTACAACTAAACCGAAATGATTGCCACCCAGTTACAAAATTCTCACAAATTATATGTCAGTTTCATATCATCCTACGGCTCATTGATACAGAACAGAGTTGTAGTGTCTGTCTGACGGTGTTTCAGATCTTATCTTTTCAGGTATCTATCTAGATAACTGCTATCTATCTTCCGGTACAAATCAGCAGATTATAACAAGTATCATGTTGTGTGTGTGTGGTTTGAGGGGGTCATTGACCACACACGGTTCAAAATTCTTGGATCCCCATTTAAAGGCATTTCTACTTGACTTAATCATCCACTTCATGCACACAAATTCAAAAGATGTAAGTAAACAATTGGGCAGGCACACTTATAACAAGTATCATGTTTCGGTTATTGACCCCACGGTGAAATACTTACCTTCCCTCTTACCTCCATACTGACATATTACTAAGCATTGTCTTGTGGCCCTGAGTGAGGAGTGAGTGAGTGACATGTTTTACGCCACACTCAGCAATATTCCAGCTATATGGCGGCGGTCTGGAAATATTGTGGCCCTGACCCATACAATGGAAACAAGCACAGTGTCAAGGTGTCATACAGTAGTCAATAGCTTCAAAAGTCAACAAAGACTATTTAGTCAGAATGTATAATCAACTCTTTTACACATGAATACCGAGGATTTGAAAATAAAACGAATGAGTGAGTGAGTGAGTGAGTGAGTGTGAGTGAGTATGTGAGTATAGTTTTACGCCGCTTTTACCAATATTCCAGCAATATCACGGTGGGGGACACCTGAAATGGGCTTGACACATTGTACCCATGTGGGGGATCGAACCCAGGTCTTCAGTGTGATGAGCAGATGCTTTAACCATGAGACTACCCCACCACCCCTCATAAAAACACTAAAATCCTAATGATCTGAACAAAATATAATTACAAAATCTTGTTTCTACGTCTGTAAAGATGTCTGTGTTGTGGGTCATACAGAAGGAAGAACAACAGGAATGTGACTACAGAATTATGCCAGAGAGATGGGTGGCAAAGTTGGCCTTGGTCTTAGGTTCTACAATTTGAGTTGTGTCCCCTGGATATATCAGGATTCTGTGATCAAGGGTTTCCAACCTGGTTCAATCTGATCATATCTACTGGTTTGTCAGCATAATGTCCATGCTCACTGGTTTCAGCAAAGTGGAAAACACCTGACACCTGCATCACTTGTAATTTTCTCCCGTAAGGGACCGTTCATAATTTATGACTAGGGGAGGTCATGATGATTTTAAGGGGGGCTACCCATTTTGTTCTGGGGTGGGGGGTGGGGGAAATCAAGTTGTGTGTGTGTGTGTGTGTGTGTGTGTGTGTGTGTGTGTGTGTGTGTGTGTGTGTGTGTGTGTGTGTGTGTGTGTGTTCTCCATTCACATTGTACATGCTTCTCCATATATCATTATCAACACACACACACTGTATATTATGAACTGTCCCTAACAGGATGACTTGCTGAGACAGATCAGAAACAGAGTTCAGAGCAACAAGAAACCAAACTAACTCTAAATCTAATACTCTCAGAACCATCCAACAAAGTCACTGTTATGGTAAATATGAGAAACATCCAAGTAAAGCAAGACTTACTGAAGCCTTGGAGCTGGCCAGAGGCAGGTCGATCTTTGACCCGACTGGAAGCAAGTTCGAGGGTTGACCAGAGGCGCCACGCTGACCTCCTGCGATCCCAGCCCCTCCTCCCCCACCATACGACTTGAGGTAGTACTCTACGGCATTCTCGCTGCTACCCATCCGGACCACGTTGTTTCCTTGTGGAAGCCGACCCATCATGGCGGCGTGGTGGACTGCGCGGATTTGCTGGTGTTGCTTGAAGGAACGGTAGATTGCCTCAAAGTCACTGTGCTGAAATGTTGAAAATGGTAAAGGGTAAAGGGAGATAACTCAGGGGTAGATTAGGTATACCACTAGGAATAGCTATGACTTAGTGTTAAATTTCTTTTGATTTTCTGCATGTATTCTGTGAATCCACAGGAATAAGGCTACCATAATCCAGAGGGAATGTTTTCGTTATAATTGTGAAAAATGGATTTGCTGGTGTTGCTTGAAGGAACGGTAGATGCTTCAGAGTAACTGTGCTGAAATGTTGAAAAATGGTAAAGGGTAAAGGGAGATAACTCAGGTGTATGATAAGGTTCCTGGTTAGCCCACATCATGTATGATGCATCATTCTCAGTTAGGACAAGTGTTCAGCTACCTTTGCTAAATAGATTATCTGGTCAAGGATGGACACGTCAATCCATGAATAGGTGCTGACAATACTGAATCACTGGATTGTCAAGTCATTAATTTGATTATTTACAGGCAATTGCCTTTTGTGTATATTGCCGTGTGTGCATTAAACAATGAACACATAAAACAAAAAAATCATTCTGACATGGACAACAGATTCCACTGACAAAGTGTATGGTTTGTTTGTTGCTGTGACACACTCCAGCTATATGGCAAAATGGTGGCAGTCTGTAAAGAATAGAGTCTGGACCAGACAATGACACACTCCGGCTATATGGCAAAATAGTGGCAGTCTGTAAAGAATAGAGTCTGGACCAGACAATCCAGTAATCAACAGCACGAGTATCAATCTACCCAATTGGAATACAATGACAGTGGGAAGATCTGGCTCAAAATACAGGAAAAGTATTATGGCATCAGAGTGAGGATCTGATGAGTTCTGTGATTATGGGAACACACCTGCAGCTCAAGAGCAGCTGTTAACATGTCATACACCTCCCGGATTATGGCAACTGCTCTCTGTCCATTCAGCATGACCTGGTCTCGACGCTGCCTGCGCTCAGCCGCACGTCTGTTGTTGGCGTTCTTCACGGCCTTGTCCTCTAGCTTCTGGCCAAACTGAAACTGCTGTACAACGGCCTTCTTGCCATTCTGAAACAGTGAGCCGCATGTATCAACAGCACCTTACACAACTGGGATTTATTTTAAAATTCTTAACAACAGTGGTGTTTAATTTCTAGTATTTTATCACATTGTGATTTTGAAAACATTTCATTTTTTGAAATTCTGAGGTATTTCACCAGGTTATCATTAAATATAAAGCAATTTTAACCATCAGTGATTGAATTAAGAGATTTTATATTATTGGGATTTTGTGGAGTTCAACAAATCTGATTAATTTCAAGGGTATTTTGACAAAGTGTGATTCTATTCCTATTTTCTTATATTGTTAGGTATTTTAACACACATTTTAACTGTGGAATCAGCGAATCAATGCAGGAGGCATACTAGGCACATAGGTGTGTTCCTCTGTCTTGTTTCTCTATTGCTCTATATCTATGCCATGTCTGCGAAAATTACAATTATAAGATGATGAATGACAAACATTGGCTTTCATACATTTATGAGACTGTATTCTTGAAATCACATACACACAGACCTACTACTTCTACATTCCTTAGAAAACCCTTAGAATTCTTTAGCATGACTGACGTATTGTTTCTGAAAATTTTGATCCTCATCTAATCGTGAACTGCGTTTAGTACACATTCGGAATTCCCAGTTTGATGGCTGCCCATTAAAAATCATCCTCACTACAACCAATCATTGTGAAGAAAGCCAAGAAATGCATATCCTTACCATCTGCTTGATCTGTGTTTGGAAATGTCTACGGTCATCAGGGACAGGAACCCACACTTAAGTGATGAAGCTAATAAACCACACATCCCAGTCAATCTTCAATGCCTCACAAAATGAGTGAGTGGGTTGGGTTTTACGCCGCTGTTAGCAATATTCAAGCAATATCATGGAAATGGGCTTCACACATTGTACCCATGTGGGGAATCAAACCCGGGTCTTCGGCATGACAAGCGAACGTTTGCAGAATTTATGTTCTAAAATTAAAAAAGTTGTTTAACAAACTATCATTAAAAATTTGACACAGTTCACTATTTGTTACGAGGGAAGAGTGCAGAGAAAGGGACAGCCAGGTGTTAGAGAAGCAAGTGCCGACGTTATTGATTCATTAACCTGTGATGTGCCGTCTCCATCCTTTCTCGCACACCTGGCTGTCCCTTTCTCTGCTCTCCTCCCTCGTAATAAATAGTGAACTGTGTCGATATTTTAATGATAGTTTGTTAAACAACTTTTTAATTTTTTGGACATAAATTCTGCAAAAACCTCACAGAGTTGGTCTGATGTTTTGATTATGATCAGTGTTTCATTGAGTATTTTATGTTTATTAGTTTTCGAGCTAGATTGCAATTCATTGGTCCGCTTTTGAGCCTAACGGACTATAGTAAATGTAAACTTGAGCACGCTTGGGGCTGCGTAGTTCAACAGGAGTTATCTGCCCACTCACCTCCTCCTCCCCCCAGATCAGCTTGCCGATGTCTGTCACATACGATGTAATTGCCGTCACAAGCATGTTCAGCTACAGGAGAGAAAAACAACAATTATGGCACCCTTAAGCTTGCTCACTTAGCTATATCATCTGTTTCCATGATCAGAATGCACTCAATTTTCCAAGCTTCCTAGACTATGCAAGCCATGCTACCACATCCTACTGGGCACCTAACCCGTGAAGATCCGGGTTAGAATTGGCTTTTCGCAATCCTTGCTTGTCATAAGAGACAACCAACAGGATCGGGTGGTCAGACTCACTGACATGTCAGCGCATCCCAATTGCGTAGATTGATGCTCGTGATGTTGATCACCGGAATGTCTGGTTGAAACCAGATTATTTACAGACCGCTGGCATATAGCTGGAATATTGCTTAGTGCAGCGTTAAATAACAAACAAATTATATTATCTGTTATCACAACTCGCCCACCCCTGGATATCCTCTCGCCACCATTGTTTTCTGTTATCACAACTCGCCCACCCCTGGATATCCTCTCGCCGCCATTGTTTTCTGTTATCACTCACTCACCCGTGCCTGGATATGGTCTTGCTACCGATATTATCTGTTATCATTTACTCATCCAACCCTGTTATCCTCTTGCCACATCTCGTATCACTAACTCACCCGTCCCTGTATATCTCCCACTTGCCACAGTTCGTTATCTCGGTTGTCATCAAATTCTGGCGGTGGGGGAACCTCAGGCTCCGGTATAATGGGCTGGCTGATTGGAGGCAGGGACTTGTCTTTCTTCTGCTAAATGGGGAAAATAACATAATCTTACAAACTGGACAGAACTAAACTAAATCCTGCTGAACACCTGGTACACCACAAGTATTGACAGTTCTGCAGAACTTCTGGTACATCAGCACTATTGACAACTCTGCAGAATTTCTGGTACATAAGCACTATTGACAGCTCTGCAGAACTTCTGGTACATCAGCACTACTGACAGTTCTGCAGAAATTCCGGTACATCAGCACTATTGACGGGCTCTGCAGAACGTCTGGTACATCAGCAATAATGACAGCTCTACTAGAATTTCTGGTACATAGCACTATTGACGGGGTCTGCAGAACTTCTGGTACATCAGCACTACTGACAGTTCTGCAGAAATTCCGGTACATCAGCACTATTGACGGGTTCTGCAGAACTTCTGGTACATCAGCACTACTGACAGCTCTGCAGAATTTCTGGTACATCAGCACTACTGACAGCTCTTCAGAATTTCTGGTACATCAATACAATTGATAGCTTCACAGAAAATCTCTTACGTCGAAACTATCAATAGCTCTACAAAACTTCTGTTAAATCAAAACAATTAACAGTTTTAGCATCTTGATATATTATGTCCCACTCAGAACTAGTGTACGGACTCTTAGCCGCCCCCACAGGTCCTTGTTTCATCCCCTTCATGCCCAGCACCATGTAAGGTAACAGAAAGTACCATCTTATAAACCTTTTGGCATAATGCAAGCTAGCGACTGAACCACTGTCCTAATCCTCTCTGTAAACACTCTCCCAACTAGACCACTTAGCAGTAAGGCAGTTTACTGACTGAGTTTGGTTTTACACCGCTTTTAGCAATATTCCAGCAATATCACGGCGGGGGACACCAGAAATGGGCTTCACTCATTGTACCCATGTGGGGATTCGAACCCGGGTCTTCGGTGTGACGAGTCAACGCTTTAACCACTAGACTACCCCACCGCCCCGTAAGGCAGTTTAGAAAGCATGGACTTCAATTCATGGTGAAGACAAACTTAGTTTGAAGATTTTCTTGTTTCGACATATGTATTATATTACTGCAAATTAATAAAGCTCAAGAGCATGCTTGGTTGACAAGCAGTGATAACACACTTTACACTCTACAATCAAAGAGTCTGTGAACACGGAAGATATATGCCTCCTTATGTCACTTAGCAAGTCCTTATGCTTGTGCCAGAGTAGAGAATTGGTATTGATGACAAACTGGCCACCAAGTGTTCTCTGCTCATACCTTTGGTTTGATGGACTTCCGACGAACATTTTTCTTTCTCTTTGGTTCCTTAGCAACCTTTTTCTTGTCTTTACTTGGCTCCTGAAAGAGACAGATAGGAATGTTTTAGTCGTATTACATGGACCACCCAATCTGACACAGTCAACAGATAAAATACAACAATAATAACTAAAGTTATGCTACATTTTGTAGTTTCCCTTGTGTCACAACAAAAAATGTAAAACATGTATAAACATTCATACTCACTACAATCACTAATCACACTCACATTTCACATGACAAAGTTTACTCACTACAATCACTAATCACACTCACATTTCACATGACAAGGTTTACTCACAACAACAATTCATCCACGGCCACTGTATCTGCAGCCTACCTTGGATGTCTTGTCTTCTTCTTCACCCGAAGACTCGCCACCAGACTCCATTTTGGGCATGTCAGACACTGAATCATCCTGGAGAATAATCAATACAGGATTCAAGTTCAACCGTTTTTAAATTTGGAGCATTGCTCACAATGACAACACACCATTACTAGTCTCTACACCATGGCAACTCATCAATACTAGTCTCTGCACCATGACAACTCACCATTACTAGTCTCTACACCATGACAACTCACCATTACTAGTCTCTGCACCATGGCAACTCACCATTACTAGTCTCTACACCATGACAACTCACCATTACTAGTCTCTACACCATGACAACTCACCATTACTAGTCTCTACACCATGGCAACTCACCATTACTAGTCTCTACACCATGGCAACTCACCATTACTAGTCTCTACACCATGGCAACTCACCATTACTAGTCTCTACACCATGACAACTCACCATTACTAGTCTCTACACTCACCATTACTAGTCACACCATGACAACTCACCATTACTAGTCTCTACACCATGACAACTCACCATTACTAGTCTCTACACCATGACAACTCACCATTACTAGTCTCTACACCATGGCAACTCACCATTACTAGTCTCTACACCATGACAACTCACCATTACTAGTCTCTACACCATGACAACTCACCATTACTAGTCTCTACACCATGACACCACTAGTGACAACTCACCATTACTCACCATTACTAGTCTCTACACCATGACAACTCACCATTACTAGTCTCTACACCATGACAACTCACCAATACTAGTCTCTACACCATGACAACTCACCATTACTAGTCTCTACACCATGACAACTCACCATTACAAGTCTCTACACCATGGCAACTCACCATTGCTACCATGGCAAAAGGGTTGATGATCCAGGTAATTTCTACTAATGCATTTCTTACGGCTAATACTGAAGTCAACTATGGCAATCTTAACTTGGACAGTTACAATGCAATAATTCAGTAATCATGTCGGCAACAACTCACTCCTGCGAGGCTCTTCCGTCTCAGCTCGGCCATCTCCTTATAGGCCTGACTGAGTCTCATCTCTGCATCTGCCAATGCCTTCCGGAGGAAGTCTAGCTTCTTGTACATCTTATTCTTCTCCTGGTCATCGCCCTGTCCACTGATCTCCTGGGAAGATGGCTGCATCAAAACATCATCATCATCATCATCATCATCATCATCATCATCATCATCATTCAAATAGTAATAGGATCTTTCTAACTGGGCTATATCACCATCGTCTGAATAACAATAAGCCCTTAAAACCTGTTGTATATCATCACTATGATAAAAACAATAGGCCCTTTATAACTAGGGCATAATCAGTATGCTTGATCCCTAGGGAGTAAACATATCGCCATTGCTGGTTTGTGTACCTGTACTCTCATTTTGCATACATACTACTGCTTGCAGGTGTGCTAGTGTTTTGTGTGTTCTAGTCAGCAAATGAAATGAGACTGTTGATAAGCGAGCCATGAATCGCTGATGACCCTCATGTAAATGTAGCAGCCATAAATGTTCTGAGTCCTGTGATGGAATTTGAACCATGGATCTTCTGATCAGAAGTCAGACTCCTTGTCCACATGACCAAAGGGGTTAACCCGGTCAGCAAGTTATCAAGGTAAGGATATCATCTATGGGATGACTCCACGCCCTGCTACATACGCCCCTGTCAACAGAAGCCACTTAACAGTGGCAAAGTGTTAAATACACTTACATCAACAAATAAAAGTACCCAGTCACTTTGATGCTGCCTGTATGGGTACAAATGCAAGTATGGGCAGAACTGTACATGCAGACAGTTAAGTTGTAGTAAACCTCACCATGTTTCATCCACCCCTTAACAGGGTTAGAAATTATTTATTGTTTTCACCAGCCCCATAAAATGATCCTTTACAAAGCTGCCATCTACCTAATGGTAAAACTGGTAGTCCACAAAGACATGTCACTAGTCCTTCCTGAATATAGCGTTGGACTTATATTAATTTCAAACCCTGCTTAGGATAATTCCTTGGAGGTTACAGATTCAAGGGAGACAACTCACCCTCTGCATTGATGTAACTGACGACAGGTGGCACTTGCAGTTGCAGGCGTGAGAACTCAGGGTCATCTTCACTCCGCTAACACTGAAACATGAACATTAATAACACATTAACAGCTGAGTAAGGAAACCATTTTCTTGTAAAAGTACTGAGGGTTCGGATTCTCTCAACTGTGAAGTCCGCTCCTGGAATCTCTCATCATGATTTTGATGAAATATTGCCTTCAGACTCGCCGGCTCACAAACTAACCCGGAATCTCCCTAAACTGGACAGAAAAGGTCCCATTATTATGGAAAGTGGTTCACTTGAGAGAGTGATATTTCTACAGGAAAATACCAGTTCACTCACTTCCTCCATCAGAATGTTCATATTCATATTATTTGAAGACAATTGTCCTCAAGAGAGGGTCAGACATCATAAAAACAATGGCATACACTCTAAGATGTAGTACCCTAAGCATTTAGTTCATATCTGAATTGAACACAAACTAATATATAAACACAAGCTTCTCCATTATCTTCGTCGTTTTCGCTGGCCACTGGCTAACTGTCACATTGGAGATGAAGGGAATGGGACCTGTAATCTGACAGACAGATAAATAGAAGGCAGGGATCTATTTTGGACATCAAACCAAGTGCCTTAAAGCATCATGAATCAAATAAAAATGTATGTTATTATTTTTTCATAAATTCCTCAAAATTAATAAATTTGTAATAACTGAATTCTTTTTACTGCATTTGCTGCAGAGGTCAAACATCAGCCTCTGAAATGCTCTGATACATCCCTGTTACATTCGAGCAAAATACTTGAAAATACTTTTTTGGAATTTGGTTTTACAAAAAGAATAACAAACTAAAATGTTGTTCAGAGACATGATGGTTGGCATGGAAACTAGTTGCAGGAACCTACTCTCATGTCTGAACTAGATAACAAGGCATCGGTCAATGGTTATTTTTAACTCACACAAATGGTCAACACTGATGCCGATACTTACAGCTGAACAAATTTAAACATGCAGCCACCGACACGCCCCCTCCCCCATCTTCTTCCCTCCCATGCCATCTACTTTTTCCCCCCTCTCCTGTCTTTCTCTTCCTATTTCCACACTTTCACTTCTAGTACTTATCCTATATTAGCTCTATTTTCTCATTTTAGTATGTAAAGCAAATGTTGTACATTTCTGAGTATGTTACTTTCACATCCGTGGATAATATTTTCATCCCCGCTTTATATATGTACTTATGTATCGCATGTGTAACATCTGTCCTAATGCTAATAATATAAAACAAAACAAACAAAATTTTAAAAAAAACAATAACAAAAACACATCACAGTAAAAAAACAACAAAAACACCTCATATTTAACAAACACCGTCCCTGATGCCTCCTCACCCAGAAGCTAGACACCTGGCCAGAGATGAAGCTCATACTTTCATCACAACATCAATCACAACATCTGGCAACAACAAGCAACACTTTCTCTCCATCGCAGCTGATCAAGCAACATCATCAATCATCCAACAAGCTCAAGGTCCGACAGGATCTCAATCCTGACAACAAGCAACACTTTCACCATTGCACATGTTCTGGCAACAAGCAATCATCAATAAACATCTAACAACAAGCAACACTTTCACCATCGCACATGATCTGGCAACAAGCAACATCATCAATAAACATCTAACAACAAGCAACACTTTCACCATTGCACATGATCTGGCAACAAGCAACATCATCAATAAACATCTAACAACAAGCAACACTTTCACCATCGCACATGTTCTGGCAACAAGCAACATCATCAATAAACATCTAACAACAAGCAACACTTTCACCATCGCACATGTTCTGGCAACAAGCAACATCATCAATAAACATCTAACAACAAGCAACATGGTCATATGCCTGGCAACAAATAGCAATAAAATCTTACATGTCTGACAACATCATGTATGTTTGACAACAACAAGCAGAAGCATCACAGCCCTGAGCACTCAGCAACAGAATTTGGCTTGCTATGTGTCATGTTCAAAACATGTCAGTGCACAGATTTACAGGATGAGAATTCATGCATCCTATTCGCATAAAAATTGACAATGGATGCAAAGAAATATATTAGCACATCCACAAAAAAGTCCAAATACTTTTTGCAAAAATTCGATCAAGTAACAATGAGTTATCTCTGAGTCTGCTACTAGCCAGGTATAATTTGCATTTTAATTACTGTAACAATGTGATGATCATGATACACAATACAATAACCGTAACTGAATTAAAACAATAATACAACCCCATTTTGTAGTCCAGGACCCCTGAAAATGAGGAGTGTGAGTCCCAGGAACCCTAAAATACAGGACTCAAGGTAAATCCCTGTCAGTGTTTTATAGAAGCAAACATTATACATGCCACGACATATATATGATGCCTGACATACCTTCTGCTTCATCTGTAACTCCATCTTCTCAACCTTCTCATTCAGCTTGATCAGCTCCTGGAAACAAACAGCTTGTTATAGAATCCTAATAATGTGCACAAAGTCTACATAGGTCAAAATGGTCTCTGTATAACACTGACGGTCTTCCTGTATAACATTGATGGTCTCCCTGTATAACATTGATGGTCTCCCTGTATAACATTGACGGTCTCCATGTATAACATTGATGGTCTCCCAGTATAACATTGATGGTCTCCCTGTATAACATTGATGGTCTCCCTGTATAACATTGATGGTCTCCCTGTATAACATTGATGGTCTACATATAACATTGATGGTCTCCCTGCATAAAATTGATAGTCTACAGAATATCTGAATGATATCCATGTCTAACAACACCTTACCCTAGAGAATACCTGAATGATCTCCATGTCTAACAACACCTTACCCTAGAGAATACCTGAATGATCTCTATGTGTCTAACAACATAGAGAATACCTGAATGATCTCCATGTCTAACAACGCCTTACCCTAGAGAATATCTGAATGATCTCCATGTCTAACAACACCTTACCCTAGAGAATACCTGAATGATCTCCATGTCTAACAACACCTTACCCTAGAGAATATCTGAATGATCTCCATGTCTAACAACGCCTTACCCTAGAGAATATCTGAAGGATCTCCATGTCTAACAACACCTAACCCTAGAGAATACCTGAATGATCTCCATGTCTAACAACACCTTACCCTAGAGAATATCTGAATGATCTCCATGTCTAACAACGCCTTACCCTAGAGAATATCTGAATGATCTCCATGTCTAACAACAACACTTTACCCTAGAGAATGCCTGAATGATCTCCATGTCTAACAACACCTTACCCTAGAGAATATCTGAATGATCTCCATGTCTAACAACACCTTACCCTAGAGAATACCTGAATGATCTCCATGTCTAACAACACCTTACCCTAGAGAATATCTGAATGATCTCCATGTCTAACAACGCCTTACCCTAGAGAATATCTGAATGATCTCCATGTCTAACAACACCTTACCCTAGAGAATGCCTGAATGATCTCCATGTCTAACAACGCCTTATCCAGAAGGATATCTGAATGATCTCCATGTCTAACAACACCTAACCCTAGAGAATACCTGAATGATCTCCATGTCTAACAACGCCTTACCCTAGAGAATATCTGAATGATCTCCATGTCTAACAACGCCTTACCCTAGAGAATATCTGAATGATCTCCATGTCTAACAACACCTTACCCTAGAGAATATCTGAATGATCTCCATGTCTAACAACGCCTTACCCTAGAGAATATCTGAATGATCTCCATGTCTAACAACGCCTTACCCTAGAGAATATCTGAATGATCTCCATGTCTAACAACACCTTACCCTAGAGAATACCTGAATGATCTCCATGTCTAACAACACCTTACCCTAGAGAATATCTGAATGATCTCCATGTCTAACAACGCCTTACCCTAGAGAATGCCTGAATAATCTCCATGTCTAACAACGCCTTACCCTAGAGAATATCTGAATGATCTCCATGTCTAACAACTTACCTAGAGAATGCCTGAATGATCTCCATGTCTAACAACATGCCTTACCTAGAGAATACCTGAATGATCTCCATGTCTAACAACACCTAACCCTAGAGAATATCTGAATGATCTCCATGTCTAACAACACCTTACCCTAGAGAATAACTGAATGATCTCCATGTCTAACAACGCCTTACCCTAGAGAATATCTGAATGATCTCCATGTCTAACAACACCTTACCCTAGAGAATATCTGAATGATCTCCATGTCTAACAACACCTTACCCTAGAGAATACCTGAATGATCTCCATGTCTAACAACACCTTACCCTAGAGAATACCTGAATGATCTCCATGTCTAACAACGCCTTACCCTAGAGAATGCCTGAATGATCTCCATGTCTAACAACCTTACCTAGAGAATACCTGAATGATCTCCATGTCTAACAAGCCTTACCCTAGAGAATGCCTGAATGATCTCCATGTCTAACAACACCTTACCCTAGAGAATATCTGAATGATCTCCATGTCTAACAACACCTTACCCTAGAGAATACCTGAATGATCTCCATGTCTAACAACACCTTACCCTAGAGAATATCTGAATGATCTCCATGTCTAACAACACCTTACCCTAGAGAATACCTGAATGATCTCCATGTCTAACAACACCTAACCCTAGAGAATACCTGAATGATCTCCATGTCTAACAACACCTTACCCTAGAGAATACCTGAATGATCTCCATGTCTAACAACACCTAACCCTAGAGAATACCTGAATGATCTCCATGTCTAACAACACCTTACCCTAGAGAATACCTGAATGATCTCCATGTCTAACAACGCCTTACCCTAGACAATGCCTGAATGATCTCCATGTCTAACAACACCTTACCCTAGAGAATATCTGAATGATCTCCATGTCTAACAACACCTTACCTAGAGAGAATGCCTGAATGATCTCCATGTCTAACAACAGCCTTACCTAGAGAATACCTGAATGATCTCCATGTCTATAACAACGCCTACCCTAGAGAATGCCTGAATGATCTCCATGTCTAACAACACCTTACCCTAGAGAATACCTGAATGATCTCCATGTCTAACAACACCTTACCCTAGAGAATGCCTGAATGATCTCCATGTCTAACAACACCTAACCCTAGAGAATATCTGAATGATCTCCATGTCTAACAACACCTTACCCTAGAGAATGCCTGAATGATCTCCATGTCTAACAACACCTTACCCTAGAGAATACCTGAATGATCTCCATGTCTAACAACGCCTTACCCTAGAGAATGCCTGAATGATCTCCATGTCTAACAACACCTTACCCTAGAGAATATCTGAATGATCTCCATGTCTAACAACGCCTTACCCTAGAGAATACCTGAATGATCTCCATGTCTAACAACGCCTTACCCTAAAGAATACCTGAATGATCTCCATGTCTAACAACACCTTACCCTAGAGAATGCCTGAATGATCTCCATGTCTAACAACACCTTACCCTAGAGAATATCTGAATGATCTCCATGTCTAACAACACCTTACCCTAGAGAATGCCTGAATGATCTCCATGTCTAACAACGCCTTATCCTGAAGGATATCTGAATGATCTCCATGTCTAACAACACCTTACCCTAGAGAATACCTGAATGATCTCCATGTCTAACAACTGTACCTAGAAAATATCTGGAATGATCTCCATGTCTAACAACGCCTTACCCTAGAGAATATCTGAATGATCTCCATGTCTAAGAACACCTTACCCTAGAGAATATCTGAATGATCTCCATGTCTAACAACGCCTTACCCTAGAGAATATCTGAATGATCTCCATGTCTAACAACACCTTACCCTAGAGAATACCTGAATGATCTCCATGTCTAACTTTACCCTAGAGAATATCTGAATGATCTCCATGTCTAACAACCTTACTCCTAGAGAATGCCTGAATGATCTCCATGTCTAACAACGCCTTATCCTGAAGGATATCTGAATGATCTCCATGTCTAACAACACCTTACCCTAGAGAATACCTGAATGATCTCCATGTCTAACAACACCTTACCCTAGAGAATATCTGAATGATCTCCATGTCTAACAACGCCTTACCCTAGAGAATGCCTGAATGATCTCCATGTCTAACAACATCTTACCCTAGAGAATACCTGAATGATCTCCATGTCTAACAACGCCTAACCCTAGAGAATATCTGAATGATCTCCATGTCTAACAACGCCTTACCCTAGAGAATGCCTGAATGATCTCCATGTCTAACAACACCTAACCCTAGAGAATATCTAAATGATCTCCATGTCTAACAACACCTTACCCTAGAGAATATCTGAATGATCTCCATGTCTAACAACGCCTTACCCTAGAGAATACCTGAATGATCTCCATGTCTAACAACACCTAACCCTAGAGAATACCTGAATGATCTCCATGTCTAACAACGCCTTACCCTAGAGAATATCTGAATGATCTCCATGTCTAACAACAACGCCTTACCCTAGAGAATATCTGAATGATCTCCATGTCTAACAACCTTACCCTAGAGAATACCTGAATGATCTCCATGTCTAACAACGCTTACCTAGAGAATGCCTGAATGATCTCCATGTCTAACAACGCCTTACCCTAGAGAATACCTGAATGATCTCCATGTCTAACAACGCCTAACCCTAGAGAATATCTGAATGATCTCCATGTCTAACAACGCCTTACCTTAGAGAATGCCTGAATGATCTCCATGTCTAACAACACCTAACCCTAGAGAATATCTAAATGATCTCCATGTCTAACAACACCTTACCCTAGAGAATATCTGAATGATCTCCATGTCTAACACCTTACCCTAGAGAATGCCTGAATGATCTCCATGTCTAACAACACCTAACCCTAGAGAATATCTAAATGATCTCCATGTCTAACAACGCCTTACCCTAGAGAATACCTGAATGATCTCCATGTCTAACAACACCTTACCCTAGAGAATGCCTGAATGATCTCCATGTCTAACAACACCTTACCCTAGAGAATATCTGAATGATCGCCATGTCTAACAACGCCTTACCCTAGAGAATGCCTGAATGATCTCCATGTCTAACACCTTGCCCTAGAGAATGCCTGAATGATCTCCATGTCTAACAACACCTTACCCTAGAGAATACCTGAATGATCTCCATGTCTAACAACGCCTTACCCTAGAGAGAATACCTGAATGATCATGCATGTCTAACAACACCTTACCTAGAGAATATCTGAATGATCTCCATGTCTAACAACACCTACCCTAGAGAATACCTGAATGATCTCCATGTCTAACAACACCTTACCCTAGAGAATATCTGAATGATCTCCATGTCTAACAACGCCTTACCCTATAGAATATCTGAATGATCTCCATGTCTAACAACACCTTACCCTAGAGAATATCTGAATGATCTCCATGTCTAACAACACCTAACCCTAGAGAATACCTGAATGATCTCCATGTCTAACAACACCTAACCCTAGAGAATATCTGAATGATCTCCATGTCTAACAACACCTTACCCTAGAGAATATCTGAATGATCTCCATGTCTAACAACGCCTTACCCTAGAGAATATCTGAATGATCTCCATGTCTAACAACACCTAACCCTAGAGAATATCTGAATGATCTCCATGTCTAACAACACCTTACCCTAGAGAATACCTGAATGATCTCCATGTCTAACAACACCTTACCCTAGAGAATACCTGAATGATCTCCATGTCTAACAACACCTTACCCTAGAGAATATCTGAATGATCTCCATGTCTAACAACACCTAACCCTAGAGAATATCTGAATGATCTCCATGTCTAACAACACCTAACCCTAGAGAATACCTGAATGATCTCCATGTCTAACAACACCTTACCCTAGAGAATGCCTGAATGATCTCCATGTCTAACAACACCTTACCCTAGAGAATATCTGAATGATCTCCATGTCTAACAACACCTTACCCTAGAGAATATCTGAATGATCTCCATGTCTAACAACACCTAACCCTAGAGAATATCTGAATGATCTCCATGTCTAACAACACCTTACCCTAGAGAATATCTGAATGATCTCCATGTCTAACAACACCTAACCCTAGAGAATACCTGAATGATCTCCATGTCTAACAACACCTTACCCTAGAGAATATCTGAATGATCTCCATGTCTAACAACACCTAACCCTAGAGAATATCTGAATGATCTCCATGTCTAACAACACCTTACCCTAGAGAATACCTGAATGATCTCCATGTCTAACAACACCTAACCCTAGAGAATACCTGAATGATCTCCATGTCTAACAACACCTTACCCTAGAGAATATCTGAATGATCTCCATGTCTAACAACACCTAACCCTAGAGAATACCTGAATGATCTCCATGTCTAACAACGCCTAACCCTAGAGAATACCTGAATGATCTCCATGTCTAACAACACCTTACCCTAGAGAATATCTGAATGATCTCCATGTCTAACAACACCTTACCCTAGAGAATATCTGAATGATCTCCATGTCTAACAACACCTAACCCTAGAGAATATCTGAATGATCTCCATGTCTAACAACACCTTACCCTAGAGAATATCTGAATGATCTCCATGTCTAACAACACCTTACCCTAGAGAATATCTGAATGATCTCCATGTCTAACAACGCCTTACCCTAGAGAATGCCTCAATAGTCTCCCTGTTTTCACGGATCTGCTTCCTCAGAAAGGCAGGATCGCTGTCCATACGCTTCAAGTTGTTGGCGTCCGTGACTTCTCCAAGCTGGTTGAAGAGACAGAAATATAAGGGCACATCTCAGACATCCAGTATTGAAGATTATCTCTCATTTGTTTGACTTCTAATTACATTACCTACCTTTTTTAATAATTGTATAAATCAGGTCTTCAACCTTCATTTACAAGATTTTATGTATATCATCTACCTCAAGACAATCATAAATACTATTACTAGAAATGTATCATGGCGTCCTCAAAACTGATCTTCGTAAATTTCTTTCTTCTCAACTGTCTCATGATTAAAACAAAATAACAGTCTACACAACTGTTTCAAGATAGAGGACACAGACACGATCTATTCACCTGTTTCAAGATGAAGAACAAGATGAAAGTCTACTCACCTGTGTCAAGATGATGTACAAGATGAAAGTCTACTCACCTGCTTCAAGATGAAGTACAAGACAAAGGTCTACTCACCTGTTTCAAGATGAAGTACAAGACGAAAGTCTACTCACCTGTTTCAAGATGAAGTACAAGATGAAAGTCTACTCACCTGTTTCAAGATGAAGTATAAGATGAAAGTCTACTCACCTGAGTCAAGATGAAGTACAAGATGAAAGTCTACTCACCTGAGACAAGTCTACTCACAAGTCTACTCACAAAGGTCTACTCACTTGTTTCAAGATGAAGTACAAGATGAAAGTATACTCATCTGAGTCAAGATGAAGTACAAGATGAAAGTCTACTCACCTGAGTCAAGATGAAGTACAAGACAAAGGTCTAATCACCTGAGTCAAGATGAAGTACAAGACAAAGGTCTACTCACTTGTTTCAAGATGAAGTACAAGATGAAAGTCTACTCACCTGTTTCAAGATGAAGTACAAGACAAAGGTCTACTCACTTGTTTCAAGATGAAGTACAAGACGAAAGTCTACTCACCTGAGTCAAGATGAAGTACAAGATGAAAGTCTACTCACCTGTTTCAAGATGAAGTACAAGACGAAAGTCTACTCACCTGTTTCAAGATGAAGTACAAGATGAAAGTCTACTCACCTGTTTCAAGATGAAGTACAAGACAAAGGTCTACTCACCTGTTTCAAGATGAAGTACAAGACAAAAGTCTACTCACCTGAGTCAAGATGAAGTACAAGATGAAAGTATACTCACCTGTTTCAAGATGAAGAACAAGATGAACGTCTACTCACCTGTTTCAAGATGAAGAACAAGATGAACCTCTACTCACCTGTTTCAAGATGAAGGACAAGATGAACGTCTACTCACCTGTTTCAAGATGAAGTACAAGATGAACCGCTACTCACCTGTTTCAAGATGAAGGACAAGATGAACGTCTACTCACCTGTTTCAAGATGAAGAACAAGATGAACCTCTACTCACCTGTTTCAAGATGAAGGACAAGACGAAAGTCTACTCACCTGTTTCAAGATTAAGTACAAGATGAAAGTCTACTCACCTGTTTCAAGATGAAGTACAAGACAAAGGTCTACTCACCTGTTTCAAGATGAAGTACAAGACAAAAGTCTACTCACCTGAGTCAAGATGAAGTACAAGATGAAAGTATACTCACCTGTTTCAAGATGAAGAACAAGATGAACGTCTACTCACCTGTTTCAAGATGAAGAACAAGATGAACCTCTACTCACCTGTTTCAAGATGAAGTACAAGACGAAAGTCTACTCACCTGTTTCAAGATTAAGTACAAGATGAAAGTCTACTCACCTGTTTCAAGATGAAGTACAAGACAAAGGTCTACTCACCTGTTTCAAGATGAAGTACAAGACAAAAGTCTACTCACCTGAGTCAAGATGAAGTACAAGATGAAAGTATACTCACCTGTTTCAAGATGAAGAACAAGATGAACGTCTACTCACCTGTTTCAAGATGAAGAACAAGATGAACCTCTACTCACCTGTTTCAAGATGAAGGACAAGATGAACGTCTACTCACCTGTTTCAAGATGAAGTACAAGATGAACCTCTACTCACCTGTTTCAAGATGAAGGACAAGATGAACGTCTACTCACCTGTTTCAAGATGAAGAACAAGATGAACCTCTACTCACCTGTTTCAAGATGAAGGACAAGATGAACGTCTACTCACCTGTTTCAAGATGAAGAACAAGATGAACCTCTACTCACCTGTTTCAAGATGAAGGACAAGATGAACCTCTACTCACCTGTTTCAAGATGAAGGACAAGATGAAAGTCTACTCACCTGTTTCAAGATGAAGAACAAGATGAACCTCTACTCACCTGTTTCAAGATGAAGGACAAGATGAACCTCTACTCACCTGTTTCAAGATGAAGGACAAGATGAACGTCTACTCACCTGTTTCAAGATGAAGAACAAGATGAACCTCTACTCACCTGTTTCAAGATGAAGGACAAGATGAACGTCTACTCACCTGTTTCAAGATGAAGGACACAGTGACAGTGATCTCCTTCCCCGTTCCCTCCTCCTCCTGTTTGGGCAGCTGGATATTCTTCAGGTCTATCTGGTTATGTAGCAGCTGTAACAGCAAATGGTTGTTTACTTGAGAGGGACTGGGAGAGTAGTTTCTAAGCATGTAAGAAATGTATGCTATCCCCATTTAAGAAACACACTTATTATGTAACTTAATAAAAACAACATACAACTGACTGACTGACTGAGTTTTATGCCACATTTAGCAACTTTCCAGCAATATCAATGAGAGAATGCTTTAAAGACTAGGCCATCACGCCCCCCTCCCCCTACAACTGAATCATGTAAGTGATGAAGGTAAAAATTAATAATTTGAATGAACTGGGGGTTACTAATGCAAATTGTTTCCTGCAGGAAATCATTGCATTTGTCAAAATCTTTTACAAGTGTCCAGTCCTTTAAAAATATATCATCCCTCTTTAACTATATTCCGTATCCATGATGTCCAGCATGAGTGTATGGCCTGGGCTTTAAGGAGAATACGAGTGAATTGCAATAATTTGATGGGTGAAAGATAAAGTCATCAAAAACATATTCCCAAATTTTCAATTACAAATTATGTATAATTATGTTTTAATCGCGAAAACAGTGTCTGTAAATCGCAGCTTCGGCCATTATGCATATTTCCCTGGAACCCACGTGACCTTTCCGCTCGTGAAGTCAAATGTGCCTGGAGTCCGCCATATTGCCAAAGACCAAGCGCTACATTAGTACAATTCGTGTTGTTTCTGTCGGGTTTTTTAAATGGTTCGATGGTGTATTGCGTTGCCTGGAGATGCACGGCATCATCGAACATGGGAAAGAACCACCATTTCTTCCGTTTTCCAAGGGAAATGACAGATTTCGGCAGGAGAAATGCGCCGATCATTCCGAGTAGGACGCATATGAAAGAGACATGCACGCATGGGGTATGGAAATCCCCAAGCTAGGCTGAAGAAGGAAAAAGTACCCACGAGATTAATTAATTATACTCCATCATTCCCTGTAACAACTTACTGTCAGTGGTATTTTTAACATAAATTAAATTAAGTCCGATTGCCAGTCGGATTGCCCCCACTACAAAATGACCCAGCAAATTTGGGCAAATTGCCCCAGTGGGGTAGTCAAAATGCCCCAATTTATTTAAAATGAATAAATATAGGCCATAAATGCATAGTTTTGTCAACTTTGATATTATGTTCTTCATATATAAGTATATACATAGTTATGAGTTTACTGATGAAACATTTATCAGAAATATTACTTCTTAATAACTTTTATATGAAGAACATAATATCATAATAAGTTGACAAATACTATGCATTTACGGCATATATTCAATCATTATAAATAAATTTGAACAAATTAGAATGAATGACCAAATTTGCTGGAGCATTTTGTAGCTGGGGCAGTTCGACTGGTACACATGAGATATATATGATCAAAATCAGTAAGAGATTTCACATGAGCCTGAAAATGTTTCGCTATAACGTTCCTTTCGGTTTGGAGACCTAAATGATGCAGTCAACTCGAAACATTGCCGAATACAACGGCAAATCATGAAGTACTCGTTGCTTTCGTTGTTTTCCATTTTGTCCAATTACGCACGTCGGCATCAGACTTGCTATTTGCCAGTAGTGTATGCTGTGAAAGTTGTTCTGTATACTCATTGGCTGACAGGATGTCATTCTAAGGCTTTGATCGAGTACCATAACTATTTCCATAACCAAACAATGGGGAAACATACGTTGTCCTGACTAGTATTTGATAATTCACCAGTTTTTGGGGAATAACTTATCTGCGTCACGAATATTATCTCTGCTCGACCAGGCTGGGATCTTGTATCGAGACTTGATACGTTATTAATGAGAACTAGGATCCTAATTTTTTTCAACAAAATAATTCCAGTGTAATTTTTGAAGCAGATAAGTTTTATTTTCCCTCGTCTGAAGCATAATTATTTTGTTTTTAAATTCCAGACACCCTACAGTCACCCAGTTGACACAAAATGAACTGTAATCACATTTTTTTTTAAATAATTCTTAGTGACTGGTCATATATTTATAGGGGTGAGTTTGCTGGCTGGAACTGTATGACATTTTGCTGACAAATAGTAATCTTGTTAAATGATATGGTCTATTTTTAAATTTATTTTGACCTCAAGCGGTGCCTCCGTTTCTCTTGATTCTTCTTCTTCATCTTCAGTTGAAGATTGTCTTGAAGATGTAAAATCGGATCGTATTGATACGGTCTAACATCCATTTCAGAAATGACACCAGGAACAGCTTTTACTGCTTCAGAATCCACGGACACTGTTAAGTTGTGAGGTAAAATCAAAGAGGCAGCCATCAGCAACAGGGACTTATGACGTCATGTCACGTGATACCCCCTCTGCTCATTAACTGTCGGGTGTTTCCATAATAGGCGGAAATACGAGTACGTTTTTGTGTTCTTATTGCTATTTTACAAACTTTTTGTTCAATTTTAATCACTGAATGTGACTTTTAGAATATCCTTTACAATATATCAAAAGTTGTGTTTTCGTTCGTATTCTCCTTTAACAATGTGGGTGATAAGCCTGAAGGGATGGCAAAGGGAGCTAACTGCACTACCTAACCTTAGTAGCATTATCCAGGTTGGCCTCCAGTTTCCTGATCTTGAATCGGAGCCTGGCAACCTCATCAGTGAGGTCTGAGTTGTCATCAGTATATCTGGACATCATCTGAAAAAAACAACAACAGAATATTAACATCAGACAATAATTCCGTGACAGTTGTCTCATAATCTGTGATAGAAGGGAACAGTTCTTGACCAGCGAACCAAACACAATAATTCCATAACAGGTATTATATACTGTAGCCAGTATAGGGAGAGTTTGTGGTTCGTAGAAATAGAGGTGGGGTGTGTGGGGTGTGTGAAGGGCGGTGACTTTCCATAAGTATGTATCTAGTTATATTGTAGCATTATTACTACAAAGTAGAAAAATATGTAACCAATAATGAAACTAGCATAGGTTTTAATGACATTACACACAGTGATGTATGGTGATCTGAACAGGTGATGCCAAGTAAACAACTCTAATTGTACACTCGTACTTACATTCTTCCGTTCTTTGATTTCCTTTCTCAACCTGGAGGCAAAGAAAGAAACACTCATGGTGTTACAGACCAATATAAACATCATCAGATATCATCATATATATCATCATATATATCATCATCATATATCATCATATATATATATATATCATTATCATCATATATATATCATCATATATATATATATCATCATATACATCATCATATCATATCATCATATATATCATCATATATATCATCATATATACATGCATCATCACATCATCCATTCTCCGGGTTGGTACATAGCCAAAGGAACAACTCTCATATTATAAGCCTGTCAACTCTGATTTCAGATGTTTCCCAACTTGGTGAAACTGATGTTCCTGGTTACACCTGGGATCGGGACTAAAGCTCAGGATTAAACATTTCTGGCATGCCTTAAGGACCACTTATACTCTTTATAAATCAGTGCAAGATGACATGCATCTACAATGCCCCTTAATACAAAAGTCGAAGATAAGCACAAGACTTACTGATCGGTACACTGCGTCTTCTGTTTCAGTTCCAAGACAAGGAGGTCTACCTTCTTCTTCACAGCGTCCATTTCTGCCAGGAACACAGGTAGCTATGAGATTCATCCCAGTGACATGGATAAAAGTTTCATCTGTCAGTGTCCTGTCTCTAACGTTAATTGTGATCTTTCCTCAGTGCAATGACATCGTTACAATATGACCCCTGAAACCTCCAGGAGCCATGACCTTACACCTATGATAAATGAACTTACTCCAATCGCAAATACCCTTATCCAAATTACAAATGACCCTACCCTATGACAAATGACTTGCACCATAATCAACGACCTTATTCCCATGCCCAATAACCTTGTGCCATGATATGACATACCATCAGTGCCTTCACCACGGACTTTCCTCAACATGGACACCACTTCGTCTGCTGCATGCCGCCATGTTGACTGACTGCCACTTGACGGGGCTTTGCTGCTTTCTTTCCCTGCCAACATACAGCCTCCAGTCAACACAGTCAACACAGCCAACACAGGAACACAGCCAACACAGGAACACAGCCAACACAGGAACACAGTCAACACAGGAACACAGTCAACACAGGAACACAGCCAACACAGGAACACAGCCAACACAGGAACACAGCCAACACAGGAACATGGCCAACACAGGAACACAGCCAACACAGGAACACAGCCAACACAGGAACACAGCCAACACAGGAACACAGCCAACACAGGAACACAGCCAACACAGGAACATGGCCAACACAGGAACACAGTCAACACAGCCAACACAGGAACACAGCCAACACAGGAACACAGCCAACACAGGAACACAGCCAACACAGTCAACACAGGAACACAGCCAACACAGGAACACAGCCAACACAGGAACACAGGAACACAGCCAAAACAGGAACACAGTCAACACAGGAACACAGCCAACACAGTCAACACAGAAACACGCTCAACACAGGAACACAGCCAACACAGAAACACAGCCAAAACAGGAACACAGTCAACACAGCCAACACAGGAACACAGCCAACACAGGAGACACAGCCAACACAGGAACACAGCCAACACAGGAACACAGTCAACACAGCAAAGTCAACACAGGAACACAGCCAACACAGGAGACACAGCCAACACAGGAGACACAGCCAGCCAACACAGGAGACACAGCCAACACAGGAACACAGCCAACACAGGAACACAGCCAACACAGGAACACAGCAAACATAGGAGCACAGTCAACACAGGAACACAGCCAACACAGGACACAGGAACACAGGAACACAGCCAACAACAGCCAACACAGGAACACAGCAAACACAGGAGCCACAGCCAACACAGGAGTCACACAGGAACACAGCCAACACAGGGAACACAGCCAACACAGGAACACAGCCAACACAGGAACCACAGCAACACAGGAACACAGCCAACACAGGAACACAGCCAACACAGGAACACAGCCAACACAGCCACACAGGAACAACACAGGAACACAGCCAACACAGGAACACAGCCAACACAGGAAAACAGGAACACAGTCAACACAGCCAACACAGGAGACACAGCCAACACAGGAACACAGTCAACACAGGAACACCAGTCATAGGAACACAGTCAACAGGACACAGCACAACACAGCCAACACAGGAACACAGCCAACACAGGAACACAGTCAACACAGGAACACAGCCAACACAGGAACCACACAGCCAACACAGGAACACAGCCAACACAGGAACAGCCAACACAGGAGACAACCAACACAGGAACACAGCCAACACAGGAGACACAGCCAACACAGGAACACAGCCAACACAGGAGACACAGTCAACACAGGAACACAGCCAACACACAGCCAACACAGTCAACACAGCCAACACAGGAACACAGCCAACACAGGAGACACAGCCAACACAGGAACACAGCCAACACAGGAACAGGAACACAGCCAACACAGGAACACAGCCAACACAGGAACACAGCCAACACAGGAGACACAGCAACACAGGAACACAGCCAACACAGGGAACACAGCCAACACAGGAACACAGCCAACAACACAGCCAACAGGAACACAGCCAACACAGGAACACAGCCAACACAGGAACACAGTCAACACAGGAGACAAAGCCAACACAGGAACACAGTCAACACAGGAACACAGCCAACACAGGAACACAGCCAACACAGGAACACAGCCAACACAGGAACACAGCCAACACAGGAACACAGCCAACACAGGAACACAGCCAACACAGGAACACAGCCAACACAGGAACACAGCCAACACAGGAACACAGCCAACACAGGAGACACAGCCAACACAGGAACACAGCCAACACAGGAACACAGTCAACACAGCCAACACAGGAACACAGCCAACACAGGAACACAGCCAACACAGGAACACAGCCAACACAGGAACACAGCCAACACAGGAACACAGCCAACACAGGAGACACAGCCAACACAGGAACACAGGGAACACAGCCAACACAGGAACACAGTCAACACAGGAACACAGCCAACACAGGAACACAGCCAACACAGGAGACACAGCCAACACAGGAACACAGCCAACACAGGAACACAGCCAACACAGGAACACAGCCAACACAGGAACACAGCCAACACAGGAACACAGCCAACACAGGAACACAGTCAACACAGGAACACAGCCAACACAGGAACACAGCCAACACAGGGAGACACAGTCAACACAGGAACACAGCCAACACAGGAGCCACACAGCCAAACACAGGAGACACAGCCAACACAGGAACACAGCCAACACAGGAACACAGCCAACACAGGAACACAGCCAACACAGGAACACAGCCAACACAGGAACACAGCCAACACAGGAACACAGCCAACACAGCCAACACAGGAACACAGCCAACACAGGAACACAGCCAACACAGGAACACAGCCAACACAGGAACACAGCCAACACAGGAACACAGCCAACACAGGAACACAGCCAACACAGGAACACAGCCAACACAGGAACACAGTCAACACAGGAACACAGCCAACACAGGAGACACAGCCAACACAGGAACACAGCCACAGGAACACAGCCAACACAGGAACACAGCCAACACAGGAGACACAGTCAACACAGGAACACAGCCAACACAGGAACACAGCCAACACAGGAACACACAAGAAAAACACGGAGACACAACACAGGAACACAGCCAACACAGGAGACACAGCCAACACAGGATACAAAGAAAACACAGGAGACACAGCCAACACAGGAACACAGCCAACACAGGAACACAGCCAACACAGGAACACAGCCAACACAGGAACACAGCCAACACAGGAGACACAGCCAACACAGGAGACACAGTCAACACAGGAGACACAGCCAACACAGGAGACACAGCCAACACAGGAGACACCCAACACAGGAGACACAATCCAACACAGGAGACACAGCCAACACAGGACACAGCCAACACAGAAGACACAGCCAACACAGGAGACACAGCCAACACAGGAACACAGCCAACACAGGACAGGACACACAGCCAACACAGGAACACAGCCAACACAGGAGACACAGCCAACACAGGAACACAGCCAGGAACACAGCCACAGGAGACGCAATCAACACAGGAACACAGCCAACACAGGAGACACAGCCAACACAGGAGACACCGCCAACACAGGAACACAGGAGACACACCCAACACAGGATACAAAGAAAACACAGGAGACACAGCCAACACAGGAGACACACCCAACACAGGATACAAAGAAAAACACAGGAGACACAGCCAACACAGGAACACAGCCAACACAGCCAACACAGGAACACAGCCAACAAAGGAGACGCAATCAACACAGGAACACAGCCAACACAGGAGACACCGCCAACACATGAGACAAAGAAAAACACAGGAGACACAGCCAACACAGGGACATAGCCAACACAGGAACACAGCCAACAAAGGAGGTGCAATCAACACAGGAACACAGCCAACACAGGAGACACAGCCAACACATGAGACACAGTTAGTGTTGATTATATATATTTTACATTTATATAGCAGAATTCATCCCGTTATATCATTGTGCATGTTTGAACTTGTTCGCCGGGAAATGTGTGCACAGCTGATTGCTATTTCCGACTCAAAAACACACGGTAATCTTAATCCCTGTAAATAATACAATGAATGAATGAAATGGTTTTCAGACCTTGGCCAACACAATCAACACAAGGGACACAAGGTGCTTGAATCCCACCATCACATTGACCTATACTAAGACAACAGGGGACATAACCTGGTAACACTTCATTTGGTTCACCTTTCTTCATGTGCTTGAATCCCACCATCACTTCCTTCTCCATCCTCTTCTTCTCTCTGTAACAGGGACCATCTCAAAAGCATCTCAAAAACACTATTTCATGCATTTCAGGTTGAAAATATTTTAGTACAGTGTGACCTTGAGAAGAAATGAGGTATTTGAGTCCAGCAGGACTTGGATACTTGTTGGAACTGAACCAGTTTAAACTGTCAGCTTCATAAACAACCACTAGTGGTTCTGTCATACCATCAGCACAGCAGGATACTATCAATACCAACATTAACCTGGCATGGGTATAGGACAATCCTGCTTACAGTATGCCTCACCAACTGTCCCCTGTATGTAGACATAGCTGGCTAGTTTAAGCAGCATGTTGAGGTCAGGTGAGGTGAAATTGGGTTTAACGTTGTGCTGGAGAATATTTCGCTCATATGACGATGTGCATGCGTGTGTATGTGTATGTGCTGCTGTTTGTACTAGCCCAGACTTAAGCTGGTTTTATAGTGCTAGACCACTGAGATACCATGCCGCAGTGAAGCATGAATATCCCACTCAGACACATTATACTGACTCCGAGCCGACCAGTCCTTGTTGTACCCATTAATGCTGAGCGCCAGGCAGGGACCAACAAGTACCATATTTTAACGTCTTTTGGTATGACACGGTCGGGGCTCGAACCTGCGACCTTCTGCTCTCCGGGCGGACGCTCTAACCACTACACTACGGAGGCGGTCTTAAGCAGCATGGAGGAGGTGGTGTAGTGTAATGGGTAAAGTGTTCACTCGTCACACTGAAGACCTAGGTTCAATTCCCCACATGGGTACAATGTGAAATCCCATTTCTGGTGTCTCTCACCGTGATATTGCTCAAATATTGCGTGATATTGCTCAAATATTGCTAAAAGCAGCAAAAAAACATACTCACTCCCTCTAAGCAGCATCATATTCTGTATTCCAAAGACGCCTTTTAACAACCAAGACAGAAGATAAGAATGTCTAAGTATTGTTTGTACTCACTGTAACAGGTGATCCACATTCAGACCTTTGGCGCTGGCTTGTTTGATGTTTTTTTGCAAACGTTTGAACTTCTCAAAGCTGACAAGAGCTGAAGTGTACCCCTGCCTTTAAAATAAAAAGTCCTGCTTCAATGAATGTACCTACGAGGCTAAACAAGAGCCGAGCTCCCGATGACATATCCCCAATCTGGTGCAGATCAGTGATGGAATCATTTTTATTCCCAATGAAAAATATAATTCCCAACATCATGTTAAGAAATTCATGCTAGACAAACATGAAGAAACTAAAAGATTTCTGCATGCTCCATACTTAATGCAACACAAAAATGATATTTTAATGTGAAGAATCTGTTATTCATGCTAGACCACTAACAGTTCCCGTATACACCATACTTAATGCAACAAAAGAAGATCTTTTAATGAAACATCAGTGAATGTGATTGAAACATTATTTCTTGTGTACAAATGACTTGGGTATATATCATTTGTTAATAAGCATCTATTTTGTCCCTTGTTTCATCCTGGACCAGACAAACCAGTGATTGACAGCTAGTAACCATCCATTCCGGTTCCATGGCTCCCAGTCCTTGGAAACATCCATGCTGGAGGCCAGATATGCAAGGTGGAACCTGAAGAGGGTACACATGGAAGGGGCCCTTTTTCTGTCCGACAAGGAAAGAGGGACAATCAAGGACCACAGGGGACATATTGTGCCCCTGGGGTGGGAGGGTGGGGGGATAACTCACTCAGCATCCTTCTCTTCCTCCTTGTGTGTTGTGGGGCCATACAGGTCATCCTGAGAACAAACATTGAATGAGTGAGTTTAGTTTTACTTTTAGCAATATTCCAGCAATATCAAGGCGTGGAGACACCAGAAATGGACTTCACACACTGCACCCATGCGGGGAATTGAACACGGGTCTTCGAAGCAAACGCTTCAACCACTCGGCTATCCCACAGCCCCTACAGTGTATGGTACTGAATAATCACTGAAATACTACTCCAACAGAAGCAGTCATTTGTAATCAGTCAACCACAACTCTTGATGTAGTAGATTTAGCACTTATATATTTGCACAGTGTTTCAAAAACTGATGGGCACACAAGGAATAGGCATCACACCTTTGACCCACGTGGTGAAAAGAACCTGGGTGAGATTAGTAGGGAATAGGCGGACTTGGGCACCATTTCCACATGGATCATCTGACTTGATTTTAAACAAACATGTCTGTCTTGGTATCGGAGACCGGATATCTTGGAGACCGGATATTATTTCCGCCATTATTTAGTGAAATTTCTTTTAATCAAAAGTATGAAGCATTTGTTGTAAAGGTATCTAGCAAGGGTTTGTTTTCTTGAGCAGACAATTTCTTTATTTTCAATAGCTTAAATCAGATTTGTTTTAGCATCTTCTTGGACAACTTTTGATGAAATCCCTGGCCATTCCCAGAATACCAAGTAGTCATTCTCTGACATACCTACATTAACATGAATTGGAAACATCAGGATTTCTACTTTAGAGACTTACCATGTGATCAATGGTGAACCACTGAAACAGAAAACAATAGTTGGTTTTCTTATAAGGATAATACATTGATTTTGAAAATTATAAAGGAAGCTGATGTTTGTTACCTTTTATTTTAACATTAATAGCTGTAACCATGGTAACTCTGGTAAAAATCGTGTGGAAACAAAGTCTTAGACATGCATATACTATGCAAGATTGTATTACCTTACGGGTGTTTCAAACCTAAAATGACCTTTAAAGTAAAACATACTGAGTCAAAAAAGAAACTTCACATTTTTTCTTCAGGGCACTATAAAAAAAAAAAGAAGAGATGGTAAGATGGTTAAATTGTTATTATTTTTTATTTGCTGAGATCTGTGTGATGTACTCGATACACTGACAGTGCCATAATCAGTTCCATTAGGCTACACCGCCGTTCCAAAACATGGGTATACAGAATGTCAAGTCACAAGAATAAAATGCTCATCCCAAATTTCTCAGTTCAATATAGGTGTATGGCCTTTCAGCATTCATCACCACTGCCAAACACCGTCTCCTCATCGACTGCCTGATGCTTGTGAACACGTGGTTGGGGATTCTGCGCCATTGCTCTTGCAAGGTTCCTGCAAATTCTGAGGTTGGTTCCCAAGACCAAGAAGCCTTCTCCTAAGTGCATCCCAAACATGCTGTATTGGATTAAGGTCAGGGGACCTCGATGGCCAGTCCATGACGTTGATTCCAGCGTTTTGAAGGTAATTTCATGTCAACATCGCGGTATGCGGCCGAGCATCATCATGATGGAACTGTAGACCTGGGCCATGAGGCTCCACGACAGGAACGTGTTCAGGGGTGAGGACTTGGTCGCGGTAAGCAGCAGCTGTGAGGTTTCCACGGATGACCAATGCAAACACGTGCATATGAAGAAAACTTCGATGCAAGATCAAGTGATCGACTGCATGTGCAAAACCTGATTTGGCACTAACGTCATTTGCTCGACGAATGAATGGGTTTGAGTGGGTTTTTCTAGAGTCAGATGATAGGGATCCCATCTCGGATACATAGATGTATCATCAGAGAAAAATTATTCATTATTTTTCAAATTACATTTTGTTTTCTTTTTTGACTCAGTATATATCATGTAAAAATAAGTTGTAGGAAACTACTTTCAGTAATACAGCAGGTTGACCTTGTGTTGTGTTTACTTACATCCGACAGCTGGAAGAGGATCTGAAAACAGAACACTTTTCTTAGAATATACACAACATATGTCATCACTCATTATCAGTCATACACAATAACATTCAGAAAGCATGGCCTGTGAGTGCCACTTGATGCCCTGAACAATGGCAGCTGACCATCAAGCCTGACCCATGTGAACATGTTCACACACTCAGTATTTGGTGATAGTATATAAGCACCCTTCTGTTAGCCATCATGCCCATCTACAAACCCTGTTCAATCTCCTTGTCTTATCCAGTCCCTTCAAGAGTTCCCCCTGCCCTTCACCTGTTAGCCCTGTCCACCATGCCCCTCCCCACTGTCAGCTATTCCCATCCCAACTGTCAGTGATGCCTCATCCCATTTAGCCTTGCCCTTCCTCAGTTAGCTTCCCTTCCCTGTTAGCCCTGTCCCTTACCTGTTAGCCATGCCCCTTACCTGTTAGCCCTGTCCCTTCCCTGTTAGCCCTGTCCCCCTGTTAGCCCTGCCCCTTTCACCTGTTAGCCCTGCCCCTGCCCCTGCCCTTACCTGTTAGCCCTGTCCCTTACCTGTTAGCCCTGCCCCTTACCTGTTAGCCCTGCCCTTACCTGTTAGCCCTGTCCCTTACCTGTTAGCCCTGTCCCTTACCTGTTAGCCCTGCCCTTACCTGTTAGCCCTGCCCCTTACCTGTTAGCCCTGTCCCTTACCTGTTAGCCATGCCCCTTACCTTATAGCCCTGTCTCTTACCTGTTAGCCCAGTCCCTTCCCTGTTAGCCCTGCCCCTTAACTGTTAGCCCTGCCCCTTACCTGTTAGCCCTGCCTCTCACCTGTTAGCCATGTTCCTTCCCTGTTAGCCATGTCCCTTCCCTGTTAACTCTGCCCCTCACCTGTTAGTCCTGCCTCCATCAGCCCATCCCTCCCCTGTTAGTCATACATTCCAGTTTGAAATGTCTCTCCCTCGTGCACATTGCCTTCAATCACACCCTTCCCCCAACTCACATCCTCCCTCTCCTTGCTTGAGTCATGTATGTGTGACGACATGTCGCGGTAGTTGTTGATGAAGTGTTTCAGCGTTGCCTTCATCTGTTGACAGAAGACAAACGTGGATGAAATGTTCTCAAAAACAGAATAAAATGTCCAGTCATTTTCACCAAATATGGAAATAAGGTTTCACTAAATGTACCCAATTTTGACCTTCACCCCAAAAACAATCTGAGCAAGTTTGAGTAAACACTGCTGTCCGAATATATTCATCTGAAATCCTTTCATCAGACTATATATTTGACCTTCATGTGGTCACTGTTCATTATCGTCATAAATCAACATGGTCAGAACATGTAATAGAATGTGTTTGTTATGGTTTCACTGAATTTAATAAACACATCAATTCCTGATTTATTACTGCATTTGTGAACGATATTAGTTACACAGTTACAGAATTTACAAGGGTCTTACAGTCCCATACACCCTTTCAAAACACTGTGTGACGAATTTATTACCCTTAAGATCTCTATATTTAGCCTTTCTTTAAAAAACCAACATTCAATCTTGTACGGCAGAATGAGACGTCCTTCCTCTTCAAAACGCTAGAAATGATATGCAGCCACATTCCATGTAAGATCAAGGTCATTTGTACTAGGGTTGGGACACTAATCATAATTCTGAAACCTTGCCGATGAACCTAGGAATTGGTTGGGATGTTTTCGGTAACCGGATACCCGGACGAGTGGGTAATGAATTGCATACCTGGGTACCATCTCAGGTGAAGGTCGGTGAACAAGAGTAAACACAATCGCCCTATCCTTCCGATTACACTGTCAGTATTATGATGTGTATTTTTATGCATTATAGGACCCACATTTAGTGTAGTAGACCATATTCTGTTATGATCAGGTGACTTCAACTAATAGATTAAACAATGTAATATGTTATTCTTTCATGATTAAAAGGTTGTATTGTCTTTGAAGATTTAGACATTATTTACAGTCAGCTGTTTTGAAAATAATACATGATTAAGATTTTGAAAAAACTTGAAATTTTAGCCTCCGAGCTGAAGAATATATTGTCATTTCTTACAAATTTGATGTCAGTAATTAACATAATGGGTATCCGACTAGGGTAGGGTAATAGGGGGGGTATCCGACTAGGGTAGGGTAATAGGGGGTGGGGAGTATCCGACTAGGGTAGGGTAATAGGGGTGGGGTATCCGACTAGGGTAGGGTAATAGGGTGGGGTAGCCGACTAGGGTAGGGGTAATAGGGGCTGGGGTAGCCGACTAGGGGCTAGGGTAATAGGGGATGGGGTATCCGACTAGGGTAGGGTAATAGGGGGTGGGGTAGCCGACTAGGGTAGGGTAATAGGGGTGGGGTAGCCGACTAGAGTAGGATAATAGGGGGTGGGGTAGCTGACTAGGGTAGGGTAATAGGGGGTGGGGTAGCCGTCAGTAGAAAATCTGGACCCGTCCCAGTCCTAATTGTACATGTCCCTTAGAATCTACATTTTATAGAAACTAGTTGCTCACCTGACCACTTGCCATGCTGTCTGCATGTTTGGCCAGATCCCCCAGCATATCTGCCTGGAAGCAAGGTGAAGGCCACATCACGTGATCAGACATACAAGCTGGCTCAAACATTTTACAAGCATGTTAAATATCTCCAACCACTCCTGAACAGTGGTGTTTGTGGAGAAAATGTCTATATTTATTTATACATAGGGTACCAGACATGTACTATAGGGTGTTGTGTTGGTAAGGCGGAAGGGAGAGTCTCTCACAAATATGAAATATACATATACGAAATATTACACACATTTGGGAGGTCTTGTTGAAATGCACATTTGCCAATAAAACATAAAGTCCTTTTGTTATAAGCTATGAAAAGAAAGATTCATGGTCTTGGGGAATATGACAAGCAAAAGGAGAAAGTCATTTCTTTCAAGTCAGTGCATGAGAAAACTCTGCCCCTTCCTTGATAATTAACATAAGAAATAAATGACATGCCTTTTTAATTATGATACTTACAACAAAGATCTGCAACTGCTGCAATATATATAGAACTATCGACTAAGGCCTATAATTCAACCCGTGAAGATCTGGGTTAGAATTGATCTTTAGCAACCCATGCGTGTCGTAAGAGGCGACTTACAGGATCGGGTAGTCAGACTCGCTGACTTGGTTGACACATGTGATCATAGCCCAATTTTGTAGAATAATGCTCATGCTGTTGATCACTTGATTGTCTGGTCCAGACTCGATTATTTACAACCGCCACCACATAGCTGCAATATTGTGGAGTGTGGTGTTAAACAACAACCAACCTATAATTCAACTAATTTGTCTGTGAAGGTCTTTGGATGAGTACTCACATCTTGGTCAACAGGCTTCACTGTATCAAATGTGGTGAGAGTCTGCAAGGGAAGGACAGAACAACTACAACACACCATAGCAGAGATAAGGAAAGGAAACATACCAAAACGACAAACGAAAGTATAAGTATTAAAACTAAAACAGCTTCTCCCCTGTTATGTGAAATGTTAATATTTTCTCTGAATAAGTAGATGTCAACAACCAATATCTATTATAACGTTAGGATTACACTTTCTTTGTAAAGTACAGATTCTACTACTTTTGATGATGGGTTGAGTCCCATCCTGATTTGATCCCACACTTTCCAAGTCAATCACCTAATTGGCTAATCTTATCTAAATCGTCTTTTGTATGATTATACAATCTCTTGCGTTTAACAAAAAAAGAACCATTAATGTGAACAAAAGGTATTCGCTAAATATTTAACTTAGGCAACGACTGAAAAACCCCAATATTGGAATGACATTTGAGGATGTTGATAGTGCGAATTGCCACCTCCACGTCTTCATTCTATCTAACGCCTCTCAAACAGTTAACCCCACTATGTCGGAATATCTGTTCCTGCAGTGAATTGTTTTCCTTTCATACATATCCTGAAGAACTACACACAAAGAACACGTTTTACTTGATACATTTACCCATTTCACATTTATACAGGCAATATTTGTCCCGATTAAACCTATTCCATGGGGATAGTCGTCACGTGTTTGGGGCGTGGCATATTCCTCACCGTTTGAAGGCGGGTGTTGATATCACCAAGCTGTTCCCTGAGAGCTTTGGCGCGCTGTTTCGAATTGTCATACACTGGGCCCACTAGCAAGTTGGTATCAATGACCAATGCCTGTTCTTCAAACGTTGTCAGATCCTTCGTCTCCACTTCCATGGATTCCACAATCTGCGGTGTCGGGGCCATCATTGTCGGACCCTTCTGAATCGGGGGCAGCCCCTTCCTCTTAGCGCCTGACATGGCGTGTTATTACTTCGACCTTTCACCTCTGAGTAATGTTGCGAGAAAAAACGCGATGCTGTCTTGCACTACACTGATGGAAGACTTGTTCAGATAACATTATGCAGCCACCAGTGCCGACATAGCAACTACAATCAGACGTCACGTGATAGGCATGTTTATGACGTCATAACTTGCCATCCGCTAAAAGTTTATTCGGTTGGCATTTTAAATGCGCCACGCAAATCGATAGGGTTGCGGGTTAAAGAATGAACATAGGCGGATCCAGAGGGGGGTGCAGGGGTGCGCACCCCAACCCCCCTTCTGTGCTGAACGTTTGTTAAATGACCATTGAAACTCGGGTAAAAATGAAGTGCGCACCCCTCCTTTTCTCAATAGTGTGCACACCCCACCCCCACCCCCTTCTCAAAAAGCTGTATCCGCCCCTGATTAACGTATGGCACTTGGAATAAATCATTTAAAGAAAGTAAGTTATGGACTAATCTACTTTTGTTTGTCGTGTCACTGGATATTCCACTGGTTACTTGATGGAATGTCCACTTTATCGTACTGCAAGAAATGTCCCCACATAACTAAATGAAAGTTGAAAATTAAAGCTAGTCCCCCATATGTCATTATTAGGAGCGGTGGGGTAGCCTAGTAGTGAAAGCGTTCGCTCGTCACGCCAAAGACCCGGGTTCGATTCCCCACATGGGTACAATGTGTGAAGCCCATATTTGGTGTCCCCCGCTCTGATATTGCTGGAATATTGCTAAAAGCGGCGTAAAACTAAACTAACTCATTATGATTATCAAATTGGAGCACCCATCTCAACACCAATGAAAATGTTGTTTTCACACTTGCTTGCCAACACCACACTTGCTTGATAAATAGATAAATGGCTGCTTGATTCGCTGCTCTTGACAAGTCGACCATTATCAGTATGTGCCATGCAGTGATTTGACACCAATAATTAAGTAATGTTCGGAGTCTTATGAAACAATGTGGGACAGGATATTAAGTGATAATCACTCTTATTGGACCATACATATATTTCGGTTGGATTTCAGTAAAGACAACAATGAAGTCATTGTGTGACTATTTCCATTGGTCACATCGTGTACCTAATACCTGCAAAGACCTGACGAGGAATAATCTCCAACAGGCATCGCTATCGCTGAAACGGTTACTGTATATATTTTGCGTGACTTTACAAGTGTGAAAGAGTTGTTTACCCGTATAGCCGACATACCCTGCCTGGTGCTAGTTGCAAGTTGGATTAGGCCACTGACTCACTGACTGACTGAGTCTGGTTCTACGCCGTTTTAGCAATATTCCAGCAACATCACGGCGGGGGACACCAGAAATGGGCTTCACAAATTGTAACCATGTGGAGAAGCGAACCTTCGGCGTAATGGGCGAACGGTGTCTTTATTGCTATAGTCACTGCAGCTCTTGTATTACATTACCTCTTACTTTGTGCTGCTACAGATTATATAACATGTTGTGTATTGCCATAGTGATACCTATTTGTTTATTCGTGAGTGAGTGAGTGAATATGGTTTTACGCCGCTTTTAGCAATATTCCAGCAACATCACGGCGGGGGACACCAGAACTGGGCTTCACTTATTGTACCCGTGTAGGGAATCGAACTCGGGCTTTCGGCGTGACGAGAGAACGCTTTCACTACTAGGCTACCCCACCGTCCCTGTTGATTTGTTAAGCTGGTTAGTTTAAATATATTATATACTACTGGAATAAAGTAACTGGGCATTTTTGATGTTATGCCATTTTCTAATGCAAAACGATAATAACATGATTCTGGTGTATTCCGTAATCACTGTTTAACTGTTGCTAGCAAGGGCGTAGCTATCACTATAAAAAAGCCCGGGCTTACACATGATTGTTGCTCAAAAGGTTGGGCAAGCCCTCAATTCTACCAAAATAGAGCTTTGCAACCTATCGGGCTTACACGAAAAAATTGGCTTGCTACGCGCCTGGCTAGGATAACATCGAAATCTGTGTGGCATCTTGAAGAGATGTAGTGTCAAAAAGTGTCACAAATTCAGTATTGTGTGTGTCCACCATTGGCTTTGGTGCAGGCTTGACAACGACGACGCATAGACGACACAAAGCGATTGAAGAAAGCTTGGGGAATGTTGTTCCATGTCTGAACCAACGTCTGTCCCAATTCTGCTAATATAACGTCAATGGCTGATTCTGGGCTTGACGTAAACGTCTCTCCATTTCATCCCCAAGCGTGCTCGATAGAGGACAGGTCCGAAGAAACAGCTGGCCAGGGGAGTACCGGAATGTTCTGCTGTCTCAGGGAATCTGTCACAATACGAGCGATACTTGGACGGGCATTCCCTTGCTGAAGCGTGAATCTATGTCTCAGTCCTTGAATGAACGGCTGCACATGAGGCCCACTGATCTCATCCGTGTATCGCAGACCAGCCAGATTGCCATTGACAATGACAAGTTGTGTCCGACCATGAGATGTGATGCTACACCATACCATAACGCTTTCCCCACCAAACTGTCGACGCTGAATCAGCATACCATTCACCTCACCGTCTGTACACTGGGCGGATCGATGCTCATGCTGTTGATCACTGGATTGTCTGGTCCAGATTATTTACATACCGCCGACATATAGCTGGAATATAGCTAAGTGCTATGTTAAACAACAAACCAACCAGTATTATTAACCGGAATGCACTGACGAACCTGGGTTAATGTTTGGGAGATAGTTTGTTAGTCAAACTCAGGGTCTAAATGGGAGGTAGTGACTAGCACTAAAACCTTGACTTAGCCTGCAGTCACAATATTCAAATAATTTGAATATTGTGACTGCAGGCTGTCAATGTGGTGTAGGCCTGTCGGTAATTCAGTTGAGTAAGAGTAGTCTAGCTCTGTCATGATCCATCATCATCTTCATCTGTTCACCTTCCAGCACCTTAGGGGCGGTGGGGTAGCCTAGTGGTTAAAGCGTTTGCTCGTCACGCTGAGGACACAGGTTCGATTCCCCACATGGGTACAAAGTGTAAAGCCCATTTAGGAATATTCTAAAAGAGGCGTAAATCACACTTATACTCACTCACTCACTTCAGGACTTGGTAACAAAACCAACTACGTCACAATGTAACCATCCAACCTCAACTCTTGATTTCATGACCCTGTGGTCATGCCTAACGGTCAGTTGGTCATGAAACCAGTTGGAGAGAGATCCTGTTAGAAGGGCTGAACTCTTGAAACCTTTCAAGGCATGGTACTGCCAAACACTGAAGGGAGGGCATGATGGTAACTGCTAAACCTCTAGTGCAGCTTCTGTTGTGAATTTCCCAGGGAGCTGAGAATGAACATTGAATCAACACTGATCCACGGACTAGGGTAATCACTCTGAATCACATAGCGCATTCAGCGAATAAATCTGGCTGTCTGTAAATGGACTTCTCAACAAGCATTGCATGTATTTGGCTGTGACATCATCTGCAGCAAGGATGCGTGTTGGATAGTCTATTCCGTGAATCAAACCATACACTTTTTATGAATTGGTTACTTGTGATCACTAGAATCAAATATTATTTATTTTTTTTCATTAAAAGGGGTGTTTTTATTTTAATTTGGGTGTTATTTATCAAAGTGAGATATGCAAGATGGAATATATCCATTGTAGGCAAGATATTAAAGTACTGTCGGAAATAGAAAAAAACCTGTATTTTCTCATTTATCTCTACAATTCACGTAGTTGATATGTGAAAGTGTGAACTATCTGTTACATTAAGTTCGGCCTAACCACAGTCTCAGTGGTAGAGAGATAGGAAACGGAGAAAAAGGACTTAACTGAGGGGAAATTAGAGCAGAAATGAGCAATTATTTGGAACAGACCATGGCTTTATGCAAATTAGTGTGCGACGATATTGTATTACAAAGGACACTTTTTATATGCCCAATTGGAAATTAGACGTAGATTCATTATATACGATGGCTGACGTATAAAATAACTTTTATGCTGAAACTATTAAGGATGTAGCTACCATGGAGTCTCACTGTCACTTTTAAAAGAAACAGATAGGAGGGGTCGTCTCAAAAGCAAAACCTGGGATCGGGCTGGGGGAATAGAGATATCAGCTAAGATAAGATAATCCTTTAGGGCATTTATACTGGGGAGGTACACGGCACGTCATAACAATTTACAAATAATATCGATCTTTGATCTTCGGTTGGTCATGCCACCTATATACTACGATGCGTTTCTATGGTTTCCGGGTATCATACTCTTTTACATATCTCAACATAATCTTTATGAAAGAAAGACACGTAAGATGTTAATCACTACACAGTCAACACACATGGGAAAGCATACAATATCTTTGAGATGACCCCTTGTGCCTGTAGGCAGCACGTGCATTTCATGCCAGGTGAGTCGACGGTCCGTCCGTCATACCTGGCTGAGCGACCTAATTGCCATCTATAGTCTGATCTATTGTTTTCAGCAGCTATTCGTATTTTTTCTAAGTTTTGCCCGATTTTAGGAGTAAACATGCTTTTCTAAATATCGTATTACGCATCCCCCTGAACACCCAGTTAGGCCGAAGTGGGTTATTTCGACATATGCTATTTGCAATTGTGTAAATTTTAGGGATACAGAGTAACAGCCTAAAAACAGTTTTTTTCTATTTCCAATAGTACTTTTTTTTTTTTTTTTTCAGTCACCAGTGTCATGTGTTCAGTTTGACAGTAATGTGTCATGACAACTTAACACTGTCAGCATGGTCAAAATACGTCAAAGAATTTATTTTCTAATTGTTTCACTGGATATAATGAATAATACTTCAGTAGCTGACTTGTTACTGTATTCATTACCCTGTATTCATATGTATCATATTCGTCTAATAGTGAGTTAATTGAAGCCCAGGCGGTGGGGTAGCCTAGTGGTTAAAGCGTTCGCTTATTACGCTGAAGAGCGGGTTCGATTCCCCACATGGGTACAATGTGTGTCTGATGCCCCCGTCATGATATTGCTGGAGTGAGTGAGTTTAGTTTTACGCCACACTCAGCAATATTCCAGCTATATGATGGCAGTAATATTGCTGGAATAGTGCTAAATGTGTCATAAAACTAGACTCACTCACTCATTGAAGCCCAATTGTAGACATGACACCTTATCAGTTCAAAGTGAATATCTTGTTGGATATAGTATGTGTAGTTGATTGTCTTTGTAATAGCAACAGACATTGTCAGCACTATCACAGCACATTTAACCATGTGGTAACAAATATATGAAAACAACACACAAGTTACTCATTATTTATTTGGTATATTCTCAACAACAGTATAAAATGTGATAAAACACAATCTTACAAAATGCATGTAAATCAGCAGTTAAAACAATGCAAATTCTTATAATATCACAACAATTAACTGGTGGAATTACCGTTTCATGGATATACATTGTGTAGTGCATGGAGTACTTGTAACCAGAGGAATTAAATGCTTGGTAACTGACACAGTACAAAGAGCAGTGCTATACATGTGGACTCGTGTGTTTGTTGATACCCTTGGTCCCTTTCCTTTTAAAAAAACCAAAGATAAAATAAATTCCAACATCCCTCCTCACTTTTGAGAAAAATGTGCCAGAGAAATGTTGAGTTTTCTTATGCATCCTTAGGACTAGTCATTTATAGATCAACAAGTACCAATGTCTCACAAACCTGGGTAACAATCTCACTGATTGGTTGGAGTACCCTTTTCATGATTAGAACCATCCTGTTTTCATCATATATTTTAAAGTATGGAATATTCATTAAAATACTATATCTAACAGCATTTGTGGAGGAACACAATATATATGGAATGTACCATGGTAACCTCTGCAAAGGAAACTATTATGAAGACAAGTGGAATCAGTCTTCAATATTTCATACTGTAATTATCAATTTATCACACAAGGTAAATTATATATCCATGAAAATACAACACAGTCATAGTACCAAAATAATCATTTCTAAACAATTCAGTGATTTACAAATCCACCAATCATAAAGAAGCTGAAATTAGAGATAAGAAATTCTCAGTTGAGATGTTTATTGCTACTGCGTAAATCGGAAAAACCAAATTTAGCAACAGCCAATACCACAAACTATTTCCATGCAAATCAGAACACAAAACACTAATTACGCCACAACAGGATGTTGGAATAGTTGTTTAAGATACCAGCTATCTTGACATAAAATTATATGTTTTTAATACCAAAATTCACAAATAAATATTCAAAGTGCCATTGCTTTTCTTTCTCTAATTCCAACCACAGCTTTTATGTTTGGTGAGAAAATAATCTCTAATTCAAATGATCCAAAAATAAAACCCACCAGTATGACAAATTATTGAAAAATTATATTTCAACCATAGGATAGTTAACTCTGAGCCTGTTGATACTATTTTTGGAACCGACAGGTTCAAGTGATTTCTCAATTGCATAACAATATAATTATGCCTACAAAATAAAACACAACATATTTGATTGAAGCAGAACTCAAACAGACACAAATAGCACATTTCATAAAGCACTCAAACAAGAATAACAATGGGGGACCTTCAGGTACATAAAATGTGGTTTCAATGAAAGGGAATCACATGAAAGACCCTGGTGGAAGTACACTCACATTTAGAGAGCATTAAAATCTGTATCTGTTTGTTTGTTGACAAATTTTAACTGAAATACCGGGTTTAGGATAGTATAATGAGTTTTATCAGAGCCCAACAGCCCCTAACTTGTGTTGATTCTGTCAAGCTTGTTGGTGTTCGACAGTGCCTGTAAAAACTGCTCAGGGCTGATTGATGGCCATAGTTTTAAACTGCCATGGAAACTGATAAACATAAAATAACATGAAAATAAATTCCATATTAATATATTCTCCAAAGATAAAAATAATGGAAAACTGGACTATCCAAATGTAATGGACTGGAATGGAAGAGATTGGAATGACATATTTTGGCAAAAGTGTCAATGATGTTTAACTAGTCTCACAGAACCATGATTTACATTAAGCACTTCAAACATGAAGTTGACATGCTAGGGGCCAGGTTACATACACTGGGTGTGTTACCTTACCCCCAGTGGGTATCTAGGTCCCCAACAACTTATGTTGTTTTTAGATGGGTATTAGCATGTCCTGATCATTTTTCCCAAATAGCATCTGGATGTGGAGCCCTGCTAAAATGTTCGTTCACTATCACAGTCTGTGCCATAGGTTTTGAGACTACTGGTGCACACTTGCCTCTCAGCATCATTTTCAGCAGCACTCAGTGTTGTCATGTGGACTTATATTAGTTGAGCTTAATAGTCTGTACAGAATTTCACTTGACTCGGGCTTCAGGCTAGTGGCTAACGTCCAACACCCCTCTCTGTATGCCAATGTCTATAAACTGCAGGGCCCCATTCCATTACGCAATCTTTGTGCTAGAGTGATGATATCTACAGTGCTTTATAAAGCTTATCATCATCGTAGTGCTAAGACTGCTTGTGAAATGGGGCCCAAGATGTTTTAGTTGTTATCTTATTATAACTTCAGGTTCCTGAATAAATTATATGGTAGCTTCCCTGAGGGTTGATAGGAAGTATTACTGAGAGAAATGCATTATTTATTTTTAGATAAGTGTGGCGTGATATAGTGCCTTTAAGTGTAATTAAGCCTTATGCCAACTTGAGTGGTGAATTTCATTGTATGAAAAAATAGATCTTGTGATATGAAGAAAACTGGAAATGTACTACCTCAGAAATGCACTTCCAGATTTCTTGGCCTAAATTCAAATATAGTTTGTGATCTAAACATTTTGAAGAGCACTCTTCAAATTATCTGCGTCTATTCGCAGTTTTTATGCCTATATGGTGCAATGCTTCAAGTCCAGTGAAGCATCATGAATTCAGCCACTCTTTACAGCCACTGTTATTTACAGTATGTCATTCGATTCCCGCTGGTGTCACAACATACAGTTAAAGGATTCCACAGAGATTTAGTTGTCTCAGCATCATCAGTAGAAAGGAACTGTGCCATTCCAAAGAACATTGGCACCATACCACCTGAAACAAAGATCCAAGTCAGAAAACATTACAGAAATACAGGCACTTGTATAGAACATAATTCTTGAAAGATCTATTATACTAAAATATTGCTAATGATATAATTGTATGATATACTAGTATTTTCAAGTTAAATCGATTAAAGAGCATAATATATATATATATGCATTATAAATATAGTTTCGAGTTCTTAAAAAAATAAGTGTTCTAAACATGAATTATAGTAAATTAAAATTGTTCGTGATTCTGATACTGAATGACATAAGAGCCTTGGCTTAAATCTTGCAATAAATCTGATGCAAAAGATTTGTTGTTATTTAAGGCAACACATAATAGTATTCCATACATGGTGGTGGTCTGTAAATAATCGAGTGAACTAGACAATTCAGTTCCGTACACCAATCAACGTGTTTTGGATATGATGACATGCATCAACCAAGTCTCCAAACCAGACACAAAATCCCAGTAGTTGCCTACAACACAAATGTGTTGCTGAAGATCAGTTCAAATGGATCTTCATGGGTCTCTGACTGTGGTTGTCAGAGCAACATTTTCAGTGTTGTCTGTCAAGTTGTGGAGGAGAGTCAGAGGTTACTGTACCTCCTGGACAAGGCTATGGTGCTGTCACATAAAGCAGAGGATTCATCATCTGGGATTCGAACCACGTACTGTACTACCCACGGAACCATGATGATGACAATAATGGGTTACTAGGGACCTATATTGTTACCCCCTTAAGGCATGTTTAAAAAAAATACTGAGAATATTATGATATGGAACAATAGCTGTTTGTATCCCACCCAGGCCATCTTACTTGGTCATGATGCACTGCTCTAGTGCTGGGATCTTGTCTTCCTGATCCCGTCTCAGCAGTGAAGTCTTTGGGCGTATACGATTGTATCGGGTATCTAGGGTAAAAAACATAAGCACAATCACACAATGCATTTGTATTGTGTTTTGATACTGAAAACATAAGCTATCTGAATCAACCATAGAGGTCTTGTAGCTCACCAACAAATGTACTGTCTTCAAAATCATCTTTCACATATCAAATGAGTAGAGGATTTTTAAAGATAAAATACTAAAATTAACATGTACGTTCTTGAATAATGACATGCTAACTGCATCTGCAGCAGCAGAAAACATGACTGGAATTCTGTTTTAGAAAACCCAACATTTCTAAGTCCCTGTTGCATTGGATAATTTCTTGAAACTGAAGAAGCTGTATAATGACAGACCATAACATATGACATTTGTGAGTCTCGGTGTTCAGAATCACATACATTACATAGGTTGTGTGAATGTGATGCTCTAGTCCCTGAACCATCAAGAACAGTCAAAGACTCTTCGGAGATCATCAGTTCAGCGGTAGTGAGAAGTAGATCTGATTGTAATGAGATCTTATCTGCAGGTAATAATCGCATGTGTTACTTACAACATGTGATTTATATCAGGATATCATAATTCTACTTTTCACTGAAAATCACATTTTGCAGTAAGTGTGAAAACACTCGAAGCATTCAAGACAAACTCACCAATGGTGAGCTGAACCGGTTTTTCCTGGGTGATGAGTCCTGTGTAGTAATGAAGGGCAAAGCGGTGTTCAGCTCTCCAGTCACCTACCAGGTCAATGTTGGTGCTGAACAGCAGGCCGAAGTGACCATTGACCTTGGTCAGCCACACAGGGTACTTGGGGGTTTTCAGCATACTGCCCACCTGTTGGTACAACACCGTTAGGGAGCGACCATTCTAAATTTTTGTGGGCAATTACAAATTACATATTTTTTGTCACTTCTTAATAAACTACGAAAAAACATCTTTAAAAGTAGGTGAAAAAAGTTATTTTGTCATACAATGCTTATCATTTAAACTACACCAAAAAAACAAAACGGCTCCTAGGCCACTGATAAAATCCAATGGTTTGTCCCTTGCACTATAACCTGTGAAGATCTGGGTTAGAATTGGTCTTCAGCAACCCATGCTTGTTGTAAGAGGCAACTAACAGGATCAGGTGGTCAGGCTCGCTGACTTGATTGACATATGTCATCGTATCTAATTACGTAGATCGATGCTCATGCTGGTGATTACTGGGTTGTCTGTTCTGGACTTGATTACACACTGCCACCATATAGCTGGAATATTGCCGAGTGTGGCGTTGAGCAACAAACCATCTAACCAAACCCTGCACTCAATAAAATACAAAGTCACCATTATGACCAGCACTGAATACCAACACAAAGAATCTGGGTTCTCAGGTTTGCTCCATAACACTGAAACACAGACAGTGATAGATGATATCACAGCCCCACTGAGAGTTATGAAGAGTGTGTGGGTAAGTCTTTTCATCTTCTTGTACATTCTTGTCCTCTACAGAGCAGAGGACAGGTCAGCATCGGCCCTTGTGTCATCATAGAGGTCACACAACAAAAAGAAAAACAAAATCAAAAAAATTTTCTGTGAATACCAGGTTAGATCAGAGAATGACACCAGAAATTGTACCCATGTGGGGAACCAAACACAGACGTTCAGGTTCATGACTGTGGGTGAATGCTTCAACCATTATAAGGATGAACAGTGTGCATGAAACAACAATGTGCTGCTGTACCTCAGTCCTCTCGTCCTCCGCCTCCCCCTTGTCCCAGAACAGGAAGCCCACCTCACTGCGCTGCTTGCTGCCTCGGACAGGTCGACTCTTGAGAAACAAAGAAACTGGGATATTCTTTAGGAAGTCATTAAAACAAACCTGCTTCTTGAATACACTTAACTCTGAACATACTATGAATGCAGCAACCTGCTTCTGGAATACATGTAACTCTAGACATACTCTTAAAGCAGGTTTTCTGAATGATTTTGAGAGATATGTTGAATGATTAATTATGTACCAGGTATCAGATGCAGATCCAGAGGGGGGTGCTGGGGTGCGCACCCTGCTTCTCAGTTTGTTAAATGACCATTGAAACTCAGGTGAAAAAGAAGTGTGCACCCCTCCTTTTCTCAATAGTGTGCACCCCCCTCTCTCAAAAAGCAGTATCCGCCCCTGGATATAAGGTGAAACTGATGAAATATGTTATTCAGAACTTTATAAGTAATCTGCCCTACTACAATTTCACTGACCAATCAATACAATCATGAGTTCAGTAAAGTTCAATAATTAGTATATGAAATGAAACCATTTTGCAGTAACGTTTTCATAAATCAAACTTGTGAGTCACTGCAATATCCTTTCATGTCTCTGTGTAACGCAGTTACAAAACCACCAGATTTTAATGTTTCATATCTGTCATAGAGTTAGACATTGAATTTTCTCATTTTCCAGATCTACACCACAAAATGAGAGACCAGCCAAAGAGATGCAAGTTAAAAGCTGTTTTCCTGATGAAAGAAGAATGACATCACTAGAACAAACTGTAAAAAGTGACCAATCAGAATCAACGTATCTCATACACTTGTAAATGTATCTTTTATATATATGACATCTTTCTAGTGCATCTGACCAAGGTATTGCACAAAATGAATCCTCTGAAAGGAGCACATTTAAACATACCATTCCTTTCCCTTCCTAATAAATGCAAAAAGTATTATACTGTAACAGGGTTGAAAATATGCAGTAGCATGTATTGAAATTAGGTATTGTTTGGTGATAGGTTTTAATTATAAGCTTTAAAATATGGTTAATTTCATAAAGAGGTAGGGACCCCAGTACCATTCATTTGGAGCCTCACCACCGATGTAAGGATAGCTCACAGTTCATATTTTCTACCAACTGTGCTGATTGGCTTAAAGTTTACAAAGAAGCATTGTCTACAACACCAGTTTACTGTCTTTTCCAACACATAACAGCACACTGCATCAGGTGAAATCCATGATATGCTTTCAAGAATAATATTCAGCCAGTTTTTTTCTTCCAAGAAGCTGAACACAACGCTCCAGGTATTCTGTATTTGCAGCAAATACAGAACATAAATCACCACAATTCATTTTGAGTTGCTTGCTACAAATTCTCTTACAACAACACTATCCCTGTCAACCCCACAGCGACAGAATCGGAGGTACCCACCAGTAGAGACCCTATGTTGTCGTAGACGATGTCTCCGTTGTGGTGATTTGCAGCAAATACAGAACATAAATCACCACGAATCCTTTTGAGTTGCTTGCTACAAATATTCATGAAACAACCAACACAACAACAACACTATTCCTGTCGATCCCACAGTGACAGAGTAGGACTGACTGACTGACTGAGTTTGGTTTTACGCTGCTTTTGGCAATATTCCAGCAACATCATGGCGGGGGACACCAGAAATGGGCTTCACACATTGTACCCATGTGGGGATTCGAACCTGGGTCTTCGGCGTGACGAGCCAGTGCTTTAACCATTAGGCTACCGACAGAGTAGGAGGTACCCACCAGTAGAGACCCTCTGTTGTCGTAGAGGATGTCTCCATTGTGTAGATACTGCACAGCTGGCCTGTCAGTAGCAGGTTGATGAGAGATGGGGTGCACTGCTCCAGGTCAGTCAGCAGCTTGGCCTTGCTGTCTTCGGTCACGTCCATGTCTTCTTGTACTCTGCAACACATAAAGAATAAAACGTCCTGTTGTCATCACAACAGAACACAAGTAGAAGCAGAGTTCAGGGCATATTATTAACCATATTCAGTTAGATTTTGGTTTGTTTGTTAAACTGTTTTCACACCAAAGTCCCAGGTTTGAATCCCCCACTGCTGAGATACTGCTGACAGCGGCACTTCTATTGATGCAGCTCTAAGATGAAACAAGTTAAAGGCATATACTGAACCCTGCCCAGTTCTGAAGAGTGCTGTATAGGATTACCTCACTACAGTCCGTTTGAGTCAGAAACGGAACAATGAATTGCAAATTTTATCATTGCACAAAATTGCCACATAAATATAAATAGTACACATGTGTATCATTTACAAATTCCCAACAGCTTTCTTATATTTGAAATTTTTTCGGAATCCACCAAAAAAGTTGTTCAAGAAAATATCATCATTGAAAACGCAAAAGTTGTTATCTGTCGCGGCGGGTTGAAACTGCAGAAACGGAACAGCCACTGTTTTTTTTATGAAGACTTGATTATTTACAGGCCTCTGTGATATTGCTTGATTATTGCATTTGCCAGAAAACCACTCTCACTCATTCACCTCTCTCACTTTGCTGAAAATATTGTTAAATCCATCAGCACTTTTATTTATGCTTATTTCATGCATCTCAGATGAAACAAGGGTAGATACTGACCTGTGCACAGTCCTGGAGAGGACGAGGCTGTACAGGAAGAGAATACAGCCACAACTACTGTCCCCCTGGAACTGAAGGAGGGGAGACAACTCAGGTCAACCTCATCAGTATACTCTTGCAGGTACATATAACAAGTCTTGTAAAAGCTGGTAACTGACAATGTATATCAATTTGTATCTTTAAAATGCATGAACTTCATGTATACCAAATAGAAATTGACAAACAAGGCCCTACTTGGCTTGATTTTGTCACAAAATTTATCAAGTGAGCAAGATAGAAATTGAAATAGAAATCATATGTAGTATCTACACTGTCTATTTTTTGCTTGGACTTTGAAAAATGATATTGTTATAACATCCTCAATAATCTTCAGGGTATACATTCCAATAAATCTCCACTATACCCTGGATGCATCCACGGCTTGAGCCGATGATTTTATTACCTCCCTTGGTTGCCTTTTTATCCAATCAGGTGTCTACGCTGTGAAGTTGAGTTTACCAATCACAACTCACTTTCGCTATTTATATTATCTAACCAATTAAACTTGGCAACATAATAAAATTTTGTTGCAGAGGTACTCTCTGAAAGAGGTAGACAGAGTTCTTGCATATATTTTCTATGGTTTTAGACCTGTCAATATGTCTGTATGTTTTCCCCCCAAATCTGAGTCGCACTGCGAACAAACTTTCACGGCTGCGACCGCTATCTTTGTTCACACTGGCAAGCTTGGTTGTAACGGCGGCTTATCTGATTGGACACTGTGAGAACGCAGGGCCAGCAAAGGGAGGTAATAAAATCATTGGCTCGAGACGTAGATGCATCCTGGGTATAGTGGAGATTTATCGGAACTTATACCCCTAAGATTATTGAGGATGTTTTTATAATTGTGAGGCATGAAACAAATTCACATCTGAATTCTCAGGCCATAGACTGCAACTGAGCGATCAACAGTTGTAACAAATATCTGTTAATAGCATGAGCCCACTGAAATTTCCCTGTTGACCATGGTCACATGGACAGTATGCTGACTCTGTCCTTGTTTAACCCTACTAATACTGGGAGCCAGGCAGGGAAATTGCCAGTACCATCTTTCAACATTTACTTGTTTGATGTGGCTGGTGTCATTGACACAACCTTCCACTCTCCCTGTTGTGTGGGTAGTTAGTTACCTGTTCTAAATGCCGTCTGATAAATATCCGTAAATCTTCTAGTTTCTTGAATTCAAAAAGATGAAGCTGGAAAATAATTGTCATATACTTCATTCATATTATACCAAGTAAAGCATGAAGTGTTTCTAAACAAGAGATTGAAGAGGGTAATATTTGAAGAAGAGTGATACATGTAGGAGGTCATGATACTTATTATAATACAGTGGTCACATATGGACAGTGGACATGATACATATCTTGTTATCCTACCTCATGTAAGAATGTCCATCTTGGAGTGGTTCTCATGACCTTGAACAAACTACCATATATGCCCGGACAGCAGCTGTACACCGCCAAAGCGGGGTATAAATCTTTGTGAAGGAGAATAAATCATTTTTACACCGCCCCATGGAAAAAGTCAGTGAACCATGAACCAGTGGTTCGGATTGACTAGTCAGTACTATGTTAGTAAACTATATGATTTATTTTCAGTTTCTTTTAATGTTATATTTACATAATGAGAGATTGAAACATTCAGTGAGATAAATTTGTTGTGGAATTATGATTCGGGGTATATGGGGTTTTATGTGTCCCTTAAATCATATAAAATGGGATGCACAACACCCTGTATACCCCTCCCCACAATGCTACAACTGATAATATGCCACAATCTCAACACATAGGACTTGAATTGAAAAATTTGCGAACTTTGGATGAGGGATAAAAGTGTTGACCTTGTTAGCTTTTCTGACTCTATCAGAAAATGTAACATGAAAGCCAAAATGTTTCCCTAAACAGCTGAATGGTAGGAGACGATCATGGTAAAGTGACTTCAAATTCATAAAATTACATGAAAATGCCAATATCAGCATGAAAGTATTGAAATACTTTATACTTTCCCTAGCAATATTAAGGCAGGGCATTTGTTGTATCTCTCTGGAAGCATTAAACACAAATCACACATTCAGTATTACAATGGGCACAGTGTTGTTGACTGAGGTGTCTATCTGAAATTATACCACTAGGGTATGTTATGTCCATTGTTCTGGCAGGTTGATTTTCTGTGTATCAACCTTCTATCTGCACGTGCAGAGGTTGATATGTGGATAACAACCTTGGCGGTGCAGGAAACGCGCACGTGCAACAAGCAATGTACGAGTCCATTCGGCGCCCACGTGGTATAAGTAGGTTAGCACCCCCCCCTGACGGCTCGAGCGTTGAAATCCATATCACCCTTGAGGAGGGTGCTAACGTATACATATAACATTAAAATATTCTGACCCGTTCTGTGATGTTGTCCACCCTGTATCTGTAGTCTGGACCGAAGCAGGTGTGTTCCTGCAGCAGACACACGCAGCAACGTCGTCGTTCACCGGCCTGCCACAGCATCTCGCACATCCCACCAATCAGGGCGCGGCGCCGCTCGAAGCTGTTGGGTTGCAGAGCACTGGCAAGAGCCATGTATCAAAGGTTAGTGGCCTTATCACTGTTGTAGTTGTAAGTTTAAGTGTTTAGTTTAAGTGTAGTAGTTATGACTAGCTTTATGACTAGTGCAAGTCTATGCTTAAGTGTAGGAGTTCCAACAATCTAAGTGCTATGACTATCGCAAGTCAATGTTTAAGTGTAGGAGTTGCGGTAGTCTTAACTTTATGAACATACATTAGTCAATGTTTAAGTGTAGGAGTTCTGACGGTAGTCTTAACTTTAACACTACATTAAGTGTAGTCAGTGGTTTAAAGTGTAGGAGTTAGAGTAGTCTTAACTTTATAACTATCGCAAGTCAATGTTTAAGTGTAGGAGTTACAATCGTCTGCTCTGTAACTATTGAAAGTAAGTGTTTAAGTACAGAAGTTACGATAGTCTTTGCTCTATGACTATTGCAAGTTTGTGGTAAAGAACTGGACTTACGATAGTATTATAGTGCTATGACTATCATAAGTCGATGGTAAAGTATTTATCAAAGACCACTGATGTATCTTACGTGGAGATGAAGATACTGGACTGGTACTCCTTGTTGAACAGCAGGTGCTTGAGGAGGAATGCCTGGACACACAGGGTGAGACCTCGAGATCCACACTGAAGCACCAGACAGAAGTCATGAGAGCACAAGCAGGCTTACTTTGACAACCCCACCACCCCATACCCATGCAGAGAATTGAGCCGTGGCTTCAAGCTTAACCAGCTGTTCCTCTACACACTGGGCTACCACCCTCGAAGGTCCGGGTTAGAATGAACCTGCAGTAACCCATGCTTGTCGTAAGAGGTGACTAATGGGATCGGGTGGTCAGGCTCGCTGACTTGGTTGACACATGTCATCGGTTCCCAATTGTGCAGATCGATGCTCATGCTGTTGACCACTAGATTGTCTGGTCCAGACTAGATTATTTACAGACCACTGCCATATAGCTGGAATATTGCTGAGTGCAGCGTAAAACTAAACTTACTCACTCACTCACTCACTGGGGCTACTCCAGTAACCCTAAACATGATTGAGAATTAAGCTGTATAACAGTTGTAATAAGCAGATAAACACTCCCTGTTTTCAATGCACTGCTAATTTATCTGTATTCGTAGCTGTGATAATTTGATTTTGATAACAGGTGTGCTGTATGCTTATTTTTTATGCTTGGTGGAGTTGTACAGCAATAATGTACAGCTTCCCAGTGTTTGGTAGAGGTAGAACGTGTAACTACCCTATGAGCGCTGATGCCATACGGAAAACAACCCAGTGTTGGGTAGAGTTCTACCATGTACCTACCCTATAAGTGCTGATGATGTACAAAAGCAACCCCTATGTGTCTATGAAGAATGTCTTCACTTCCTCCCCCCCACTATAACCCAAGCCAGCCCCCTACCTGTCTTTGGCAACTCTTCACTTCCTCCCCACTCCACTATAACCCAAATGCCAGCTCGCCATATGCATGTGTCTACGTAGAATGTCTTCACTCTCCTCCCCACTATAACCCAAGCCAGCCCCTACCTGTCTTTGGCAACTCCCTCAGCCATGTGTCTACATAGAAGTCTTCACTTCCTCCCCACCCACTATAACCCAAGCCAGCCCCCTACCTGTCTTTGGCAACTCCCCTCCCCAGCATGTGTCTACATAGAACGTCTTCACTTCCTCCCCACCCACTATAACCCAAGCCAGCCCCCTACCTGTCTTTGGCTCTCCCTCGGCCATGTGCATGTGTCTACGTAGAATGTCTTCACTTCCTCCCCCACCCACTATAACCCAAGCCAGCCCCCTACCTGTCTTTGGCAACTCCCTCGGCCATGTGTCTACGTAGAACGTCTTCACTTCCTCCCCACCCACTATAACCCAAGCCAGCCCCCTACCTGTCTTTGGCAACTCCCTCGGCCATGTGTCTACGTAGAATGTCTTCACTTCCTCCCCCACCCACTATAACCCAAGCCAGCCCCCCTACCTGTCTTTGGCGACTCCCTCGGCCATGTGTCTACATAGAACGTCTTCACTCTCTGACTTAGTTGAGGCTTCTCAGTTGAATCTAATTTCTTCTGGAAAAACGTCATAAAAAGCATAGGATAAAAACACCCATTGCCATAAGAAAGTGAAATGGGAATGCTATGATGACAAGCTATTTAGAAACACTGAATTGTCCTAAATGTAAAACATGTTTATAGCTTACAGAGCACATTTAGATATAATTTCATCATTCCGGAATTGCAATATCACTCTTAGAAAATGAACATGAATTAAACAGAAAACTTATTTTATCAATATCAAAACTGGACAATCCTACTGAGTGCTGACTGTCAATGCTGACAGAGTGTGAGGTAGTGAGTGATTTAGGAAGAGTGAGTGATATCAAGCAATGTGGCAGCACAATGAGTGAGTGACTTCAAAAACATTTCCACACGGAACATGGACAAATTTCTATTTATCTGACCTTTTTCAAATAAAACTGAATGGTTATTGACTGAGTAATAGGTTAAAACGTACTACTGTCAAAATACCATAACCAAATGTTGTCTTAAAATATTAAAAACGAAATATGATTTTAAAAAGGACTGTACATATTAGGTCCCTTTGATAGATGTTACTTTCGTTTTTTATGAGGTAAGGATGGGAGGACATTACGACAAATATCAGCCTCTTCAAATAAACCTCTATCACATTTCAGGAACACCAGGTGTTTTTCCAAATGTGACAGGAAATGCCAAAGGTATACATTTTCAATTTTGGTGAAACTCAAATTTAGGGCCTGATAAATTATGAATCTGGTCTGGATCCCTGCACATCAAAGGGACACAACTCTGCAAAACGAATCTCAGTGCTTAACTGACTGGTCAACCTGTGACCCCTACAGAGACATAGGAAGACGCAGTTGCCAAGTCAGCTTTTTGAGAAAGGGGGGGATGCACACTTAATTTTCAGGGAGAGTTTCAATGGTCATTTAATAAACTTTCAAGACAAAAGGGGAGGTGCGCACCCCTGCACCCTCATCTGGATCCGCCTTAGTAATGTAAGTCTGTATCTGACCCACCCAATTTCTCCATAACTCACCTCAAATGCATATAAATTGAGACATGAGACTGCATTATAAAGACATATTATAGTCCTCATCTCTTAGCAGTATGGAAGTGTTTTCAAATCTATCATGTCTAAGTCTATCAAGTGACAGCCTTTGTGACAATTTGTTTGTGTTTTTAACAAAAGTCAGAATGCATGCATGCATAATTCACAAGAAAAGACAGCACAGTTACAGTTGAAGTCAAAGCCTTCATGTGAGTGCAATACTGTGTGGGGTATGTGTGTACACGAACAGTGACTGGAAGGTGCTTGGGTTTGCTGTATGCTGTACAACAGCCAGGGATAAATGTGCACTAAACTCCAACAAGTCCGGCAGGGGTCAATGCTGACAATCACTCACAAGAAAACAACTGGAACATGCACCTTGGCCATAATCATGACAAAGAGTCATTCTTTTCCTTCCCGGATTCCTAATAACCGAACAACCCATCTCAAATCATTTTATAGTCACCCATGTACCTACAGAATAGATTCTGGTCAGAACCGTCCTCAGCAACTATTTGTAGTGGCAGCTAATGGGATGGGCTGATCAAGCTTAGTGACTTGTCTGATGCATGCATTGTCTCCAAATTGTGTAAATCTGTGATGTCAATTACAGTGTTGTCTGTTTAGATTCAATTATTTGTAAGTCACAGTCGTCAGCAAATTTAAGAATGTGTGCCTTTAATCATAAGAATCTAAAAACTATCCACATCACCAATGAAGACTGTTAGCAAGTCTGAGACTAGTTTGTTTGTTGCTGTAAGCCACACTCAGAAATATTCCAGCTATATGAGACTGGCTTGTTAATGATCGAGATGGGACAAGGCAAATCTTGTGAGTGCAGCAGAGAGCAATATTCAGTGATATCAAAGTATACTAGCCACATAAAGAAACTGTGCATTGTCAAAATATTATCCCAGTTGATAAGTTCGATAACAATGCCAAAGGTACATATAAACTTTAATGGAGGGATCATGAGACCATAACAAGTCGGGAGAATTTCAATTGAAAAGTCAATCACAATGACGTCACGACGCCACAAGCCGGACAGGGCTCAAACGACCATGTCACACGCCCAATAACAGGTATGTCCACCATCAGCATTGAGAGCAGCAGTGCATCAACGACGCATAGAGCCTATCAAACGTGCAAGGAAGGCTTGAGGGATGTCAGGCCAGATTCTCTCAAGTTCTGTTGCAAGGTCAAGGACGTTATCTGGCGGATGAGGAAGACGGCGTAGACGTTATCCATCTCATCCCAAGCATGCTCTATCGGGGAGAGCTCCGGTGAATTTGCAGGCCAAGGCAGTAAGCCAACGTTGTGGTGTTGCAAGAAATCCATAGCAACCCTTGCCGTATGAGGGCGGGCATTGTCCTGTTGGAATGTTAACCCAGGGCCATGACGTTGCAGAAAAGGAATTGCCACAGGTCGAAGAATCTGATCCCTGTAGCCCACACCAGTTAAGTTGCCCTGAACAATCACCAAAGAAGTTCTTTGGCGTGCTGTTATTCCACCCCAAATTATCACGGAACCACCACCAAAGCGATTCCTCTCCAAGACACAGGCCTGTGCATAACGTTCTCCCACGCGTTTATAGGCACGTTGACGTCCATCACTATGGGAAATGTTAAACCTGGACTCATCTGTGAAAACAACATTTCTTACAAAACAAGGGTCTGCGGACATGATTTCAGCACCACATTTGGCGAGCTTGTCGATGACGTTGTGTCAGGATAGGCCGTATGGCGGGACGTCGTGGTCTGATCCCGTGATGACGTAACCGTTGTTGAACTGTGTTGGGGTGGATACGGCGAAGTCCTGGGATGGTTCGGGCAGTCATCACTGCAGTCTGAAACCTGTGGCGAAGATGGGTCACCCTTATCCATCTGTCCTGTCTTGGCGTTGTTACACGTGGACGTCCAGAACGTGGCCGATCGATGATGTCATTTGTGTTCTGGTAGCGTCTCACCAGTGCAGAAATGGTGTTTCGGTGGCAGTGGAAATGTGCAGCCACTTGTCGTTGAGACATTCCCCACAGACCATCCCAATGGCCTCATGACGTTGTGCAGATGTGAGCCTTGGCATGCTATGCGTTTCAATAGCCGTTTAATTTTTTGAACGATCGCAAGGGCAGGGGTTGAGCTTTCCAAAGTGACTGTATTGTGTGGCATTCATTTGCTCTGTTTCTCTTTCCCAGAATGCACGTGCAACAACGTATTGCACGTCTCAAGGACGAACCCACTGACGTCACGGAACGTGGCACGTGCATGCATGCTGGTTACATGTCACTAATCTCTGAGTTTAAATCTTTATGTGTCTACACAGGTTTGATAAATTTAGATTTTAAATTTTGTATGCACAGTTTCTTTATGTGCCTAGTATACAATAACACCCATCAATAAATTCATTGAAACTTAACATCCTATCTATCTGGTCACGATCAGCACAGGAGACCTACCATATATTACCATAGATAAGCCAATCTCATTGATAAGCCAACTTGAGCCTTAAAACCAGTATCAAGATTGAATGTTTCGTACATAAGTCGACCCCCTGTGATGGGGTCCTTACATTAAACAAGCATCCCTATATGGTTAGTAAACTTCAGGAAGAACAAGTCACATTTTTTATTACCACTTAACCACTTTAACACTTCAACATTTAACACTTTCACCACCATGTGGCAACACTGCAACAGGTCATTATTGAGACTAGTGAAAACATATTATTGTCTCTCCCTGATTGACAGAATATACAGTACACATTTAACACAAGGCCCCATAGTGCTGAAACAGTAAACATCGACCACTACAAGACACATGCAGTTATTTACTTTTCTCACAGCACATCAACACCATCTTAACTCTGTCTGAAACAAAACACCAGGTATCTTGTTTACCCCAACATGAACAGAAGCAGAAACTTCCTGAAATGAAGAGTATTGTACATTACAAACACAACATATCTCTACATCCATGTAACATAGCAATGTACAGCTGAGATTTGTATCGATAAATATCTCTGTCACCATCACCAGGGTCTACCCTGGACAGACAGACTCTGTCACCATCACCAGGATCTACCCTGGACAGACAGACTCTGTCACCATCACCAGGATCTACCCTGGACAGACAGACTCTGTCACCATCACCAGGATCTACCCTGGACAGACAGACTCTGTCACCATCACCAGGATCTACCCTGGACAGACAGACTCTGTCACCATCACCAGGATCTACCCTGGACAGACAGACTCTGTCACCATCACCAGGATCTACCCTGGACAGACAGACTCTGTCATCATCACCAGGATCTACCCTGGACAGACAGACTCTGTCTGGATCACCATCTCTGTCACCAGGGATCTACCCTGGACAGACAGACTCTGTCACCATCACCAGGATCTACCCTGGACAGACAGACTCTGTCACCATCACCAGGATCTACCCTGGACAGACAGACTCTGTCACCATCACCAGGATCTACCCTGGACAGACAGACTCTGTCACCACCACCAGGATCTACCCTGGACAGACAGACTCTGTCACCATCACCAGGATCTACCCTGGACAGACAGACTCTGTCACCATCACCAGGATCTACCCTGGACAGACAGACTCTGTCATCATCACCAGGATCTACCCTGGACAGACAGACTCTGTCACCATCACCAGGATCTACCCTGGACAGACAGACTCTGTCACCATCACCAGGATCTACCCTGGACAGACAGACTATGTCACCATCACCAGGATCTACCCTGGACAGACAGACTCTGTCACCATCACCAGGATCTACCCTGGACAGACAGACTCTGTCACCATCACCAGGATCTACCCTGGACAGACAGACTCTGTCACCATCACCAGGATCTACCCTGGACAGACAGACTATGTCACCATCACCAGGATCTACCCTGGACAGACAGACTCTGTCACCATCACCAGGATCTACCCTGGACAGACAGACTCTGTCACCATCACCAGGATCTACCCTGGACAGACAGACTCTGTCACCATCACCAGGATCTACCCTGGACAGACAGACTCTGTCACCATCACCAGGATCTACCCTGGACAGACAGACTCTGTCACCATCACCAGGATCTACCCTGGACAGACAGACTCTGTCACCATCACCAGGATCTACCCTGGACAGACAGACTCTGTCACCATCACCAGGATCTACCCTGGACAGACAGACTCTGTCACCATCACCAGGATCTACCCTGGACAGACAGACTCTGTCACCATCACCAGGATCTACCCTGGACAGACAGACTCTGTCACCATCACCAGGATCTACCCTGGACAGACAGACTCTGTCACCACCACCAGGATCTACCCTGGACAGACAGACTCTGTCACCATCCTGGACCAGGATCTACTCCTGGACAGACAGACTCATCACCATCACCAGGATCTACCCTGGACAGACAGACTCTGTCACCACCACACCAGGATCTACCCTGGACAGACAGACTCTGTCACCATCACCAGGATCTACCCTGGACAGGACAGACAGACTCTGTCTGCCATCACCAGGATCTACCCTGGACAGACAGACTCTGTCACCATCACCAGGATCTACCCTGGACAGACAGACTCTGTCACCATCACCAGGATCTACCCTGGACAGACAGACTCTGTCACCATCACCAGGATCTACCCTGGACAGACAGACTCTGTCACCATCACCAGGATCTACCCTGGACAGACAGACTCTGTCACCATCACCAGGATCTACCCTGGACAGACAGACTCTGTCACCATCACCAGGATCTACCCTGGACAGACAGACTCTGTCACCATCACCAGGATCTACCCTGGACAGACAGACTCTGTCATCATCACCAGGATCTACCCTGGACAGACAGACTCTGTCATCATCACCAGGATCTACCCTGGACAGACAGACTCTGTCACCATCACCAGGATCTACCCTGGACAGACAGACTCTGTCACCACCACCAGGATCTACCCTGGACAGACAGACTCTGTCACCATCACCAGGATCTACCCTGGACAGACAGACTCTGTCACCATCACCAGGATCTACCCTGGACAGACACTCTCTGCCACCATCACCAGGATCTACCCTGGACAGACAGACTCTCTGCCATCACCAGGATCTACCCTGGACAGACAGACTCTGTCACCACCTCCAGGATCTACCCTGGACAGACAGACTCTGCCACCATCACCAGGATCTACCCTGGACAGACACTCTCTGCCACTATCACCAGGATCTACCCTGGACAGACAGACTCTGTCACCACCTCCAGGATCTACCCTGGACAGACACTCTCTGCCACTATCACCTGGATTTAAGTCATGAAACAAAACAGTGTGACATTTACCCTGTCACAGTACCCTTTCATCTTTTGTTGATGGGATGAATTTAGACAACTTACTCTGTTGTCTCCAAACACGATACTGTCCTGCTCCAAGAAGCGGAGTAATTTGGACAGCTTCTCATTGTCTGTCTGAGGTGGCTGTGTCTCTGCCATCGTATTCCCAGTTTCTACATCAGCATCATGCCAGTCTGATACAGCTTCTGAAACAATAACATCTTCACATTATTTTTACAAAATTTTGCAACCATAAAATAAATAACAGAATAATTTCATTTTGAAATTCAATGCTTCAAATGTATTGATCAATCACTAGAAACTACTTAGTCAGCATTATCCCAGGTTGATGTCCAGTCTATAACCAGTAACTGCTAAGTAGGTTAAAGCAAGAATGTGATAAAGGGCGTTCCATTCTACAAGTTTAATGACAGTAAGTCTACAGCAATCACCATCTATTCAGCATGAACTGTAGTTTTACACACAAAAAACCCCATAAATATACTTTAGTTTGCTAATATCAATGTGTTTCAACCTTTTCTATGAAGATAAAAAACACCATAATTTGGTTCATACTTCCATATATATACTAGGGGCGACTATTGTGGGGTAAACCACTATTGCGATAGCAATAGTCTATTGCAACTATTGCGACCCAATATTTTTTCTCCTTGAATTGTCTCATTTGAAGTCATTTCCCAAATGAATGTATAGTTTATATGAAATAAAAACAAGTTCCAGTAGTTTCAGTCTCTTTTCATGAGTGACTAGAAACTTGAAACCGAGATCAAGTAAACAGTTAACACATAAACTCAATGAAGCTTCAAGTCTGGACCCAAACATCCTGTATTTTGTGCTGCATATTTATCTACGGAAGTCAATTACTAAACTATTGATAGTCACACATACTATCGATGCATCAATAGTTTTTCGTTTCTACCATCAACTAATTGCTATCGGAGACTCAACAATTGCAATGCATCTATAGTTAGATGCATTGTTACAGCCCTAATATATACCATTTTCATGAAAACATTATAAATACAACATTCACCTCATTATCACCTGCTCCAACAAATATGCTAAATTGTGAAACCAATCTGTATGTAATGATACAAGTGCCACACATAAGACTAAAATTAACAGTAAAGTCCCAATTTAATGGTGCATATTGTCAATCTCTTTACAGAGGCTTAATACCAGTGAAGATCCGGGTTAAAATTGGTCATCAGCAACCCATTCTTATTGTAAGAGTCGATTGGGATCAAGTGGTCAGGTTTGCTGACTTTCTTGACACATGTCATTGTATCCCAATTGCATATATCGATGCTCATACTGTTGATCATGTATTTGTCTGGTAAAGACTCAATTATTTACAGATTGCCACCATATAGCTGGAATAATGCTGAGTGCAGCATTAAATAACAATCAAAACACAAGCTTAACAGTGTGGAAGTGATATACTACTGCCCAGTAACTTTTACGGAAATATCTTCATTAATGTCAAATTTCTGACAACAAATTTTACTTGTGTATAATATTAACAAGCACCCTCTCCCCTTCTCAATCACTTGTAACAACTTTTATGGTAAAGGTTATATGCCAGGAAATGGTGTAACAAGGAATCTGGGACATGCAAGTAACCACGTCCTTAACAATTCTAGGGAAGCACCTGAACCCTGGAAATCTCACAAGACAATCCATCGACAAGTAATCGATTATGTTATAACTTGGAGTAATACAAATGCAAACAGATACACTTTTAGAACCCGTGAAGGTCCGGGTTAGAATATTGGCCTTCAGTAACCCATGCTTGTAACATAAGAGGCGACTAACGGGATCGGGTGGTCATGCTCGCTGACTTGGTTGACACATATCATTGGTTCCCCAATGCGCAGATAGATGCTCCTGATGTTGATCACTGGATTGTCTGGTCCAGACTCGATTATTTTACAGACCACTGCCATATAGCTGGAATATTGCTGAGTGTGGCGTAAAACTAAACTCACTCACTCACTACACTTTTAGACTGAAAGTAACTAGAAGGTAACTGCCATGATTACAGAGTGAACAAATAACCTAATTACTAAGCTCATTATCTTTGACGCAGCAAGTAAGTTTCTCTGCAAATGTACTTGATGTAGCAGAGTGACAGTATGTTTACTGACTCACTGAGATAGTTATCACCGCTTTGGACAGTATTCCTGTTATATTTGTCCATATCAGCTTAATGCTGCAGGTGAACCCAGAGTGATGCTTGTCTTAGGCATTAAAACTCACATTGTGCTTAAAACCAAGAAATCAGAGAGAACCTGGATCATTCTACAGGTTTGGGGCATGCACCAGGGATGCAACTCTCACAGCAAGTTAAACTGTGATTTGGAAGACTTAAGACCACCCGTATCTCCAGCTATACAAGAAACCAATGCAAGGTTTTACATGATGCACAAATGTGGAGAATGGACACAGAAACCTCAAAATACTGCATCCAATGAGATGCAAATAAATACCTACCATGCATTAAGAGTAGTTATCTGTCTCCATGCTCTGAAGTAATTTTCCTCAACGTACACTACAGTCCGTAAATAGAGAAAGGGACAGCCAGGTGTGCGAGAAAGGATGGAGACGGCAGGGTCAGCACAGGCTAATGAATCAATAACTTGGTGGGCACTTGTGCACATGCTTCTCTAACACCTGGCTGTCCCTTTCTCTGCACTCCTCCCTCGTAACAAATAGTGAACTGTGTCAAAATTTTAATGATAGTTTCTTAAAGAACTTTTTTGGTGGAGTCCGGAAAATTTTCAAATATGAGAAAGCTGTTGGGTATTAGTAAATGATAAACATGTGTACTATTTATATTCATGTGGCAATTTTGTACAATGATAAAATTTGCAATTCATCAGTCTGTTTCTGACTCAAACAGACTGTACACTACACTACACTACACCATTTCAATACTTTACAGGAGCCTCTCATAACCAGCAAGGACCCGTAACATTTAACGGAGGCCGCTGATCTCCCACTTTTGTACGTCAACTCTGCAAACCCCTGCAACATGATCCAATGAGATCAGATCTTCAAGTTGTTCTCTCTACATACATGTATGAGTAACATTAGTGAGCATTAAAATTGGATTTAAATGAGATTGCATTGTAATCTAACTCTTACCTACAGTCTATGTGTGCCCTGTTCAATAACCAGCCAGCATCTAAATGAACCTATTAAGGCACAATCTTCCTCAATCTGACTTCTTCATAATGCACTTACAGGTTTATACCTCCAAACTGACAACACAAGTGCTCACCTCTTCAGAAATCAATGGGAGGGTTGCCCCAGCCCACTCCTAACATATAAACCAGATCTGATTATAAACTCTCCTACGGTAAAGATACCACAATGATTTAATGATCTCCCCAGCTGCTAGGACCAATAAATCGATAAACATTATCACACTCACAATCAGTTTTCGATGGCAGAGAGGAATTGACAAGACCAGTGTAAATACTCAGAACTATATTAAAATATTCAGCCAATACCCTTAACTATTGGGTATTCTGGTAATATCGTTATTAAGCATATAACAATCCATCCGATCACATCAAGGACTGCTTTCCTCTCAGCTTTCATAAAACAATCAATAACCCTTAGCTTTATTTTCTTACATTTATTGCATTACTTGTGGTCAGGCTATTATCGGTGATTCTGATAACACGCTAGCTGCATGCATTTGTGACACATTTCTTTGACAATAATGATTTACATATTCCCCTCGGGGAGCAGTACACTGTTTTAGTTGGAATGGGGATACAATGAGTCAGTGGTTTGTGATATATACAAGTTTGTTATGTACAGGAAGATCATCAAGCCCCACTATGTGCCAGATCTGTATCCAGTGGTAGTACTTGTTGTGTTGGTGCCCTGAGCACTTGTCCAACCTAGCTAGGTCAAGGGTAGAACCCCTATGTGCCAGATCTGTACATAGTAGCAGTAGTTGTGTTGGTGCCCCAGGGCACCTTGCCCAACCCTTGGTAGGCTACTGGTAGAACCACTGCCAGAACTCTATACAGTGACTAGGTATGTTGGTGCCCCAGAGCACCTTGCCCAACCCAAGGTAGGCTACAGGTAGAACCACTGCCAGATCTGTATACAGTGACAGTAGTTATGTTTGTGCCCCAGGGCACTTGCCCAACCCAAGCTAGCCTACAGGTAGAACCATTATGTGCCAGATCCGTATACAGTGACACTAGTTATGTTGGTGCCCCCTAGCACCTTGCCCAACCTAAGCTTGGCTACCATTGCCCAATCCTAAGTGACTTATGTTGGTGCCCCAGGGCACCTTGCCCAACCCAAGCTAGCCTACAGGTAGAACCATTATGTGCCAGATCCGTATACAGTGACACTAGTTATGTTGGTGCCCCAGGGCACCTTGCCCAACCTAAGCTTGGCTACAGGTAGAACCATTATGTGCCAGATCCGTATACAGTGACACTAGGTATGTTGGTGCCCCAGGGCACCTTGCCCAACCTAAGCTTGGCTACAGGTAGAACCATTATGTGCCAGATCCGTATAGTGACTAGGTATGTTGGTGCCCCAGGGCACCTTGCCCAACCCAAGCTAGCCTACAGGTAGAACCAATATGTGCCAGATCCGTATACAGTGGTTGTAGTTGTTTTGTTGGTGCCCCCTAGCACCTTGCCCAACATTAGCTAGATCAAAGATAGAACTACACTGTGCCAGATCTTCATATATTGGTAGTAGTGGTGTTGGTGCCCCAGAGCACCTTGGCCAACCATATCTACAGCCATGGGTGAGACCTCTTTCACCCATGGACCAAGGTCATCTGATACTGATGAACTCATAAATATCAATAACAATGAAAATGAGAAGTGACAACTACACAGCTCATTCAGGATTGCTGACAATTAATGTAATGACAAGTTAGAATGTCATTTGATGTATTTTGGGATGAACTTGATCACAAAAACTCATCTTTATGTCTTAATTATGTCAGCATATATCACCAAAGACCATATAATAAGTCCATTATAAGAGATTATAGCTGCATTCATACAGACAATAACACTAACATAGAACATTGTACTCCTTCACACAAATGTAAAAGATTTATGGATAAACAATTCTTCTGTACAGAACATGAGGGACAAAATATAAGTTGTGATTTTGGTTCCCTAGCTGATGCATACTTTACATACCTGACCAATATACTATTTCAACAGATTAATGATTTAACACAAATCAGCTGATGACACTGCCGAAACGTTTCGTGTCAAGATGGCTCTGATTTTAGAAGCTTGGCCTATTTGAAGCACTAGAAAGACTGTAACAAAACAGTATAATGAAAGCTTGTTGTTACAATCAATAAAAACAAATTATGGTTCAGGCTGATTCATTTATTGCACTATGGTCATATATCAGTAGCTTATTGTCTTGAACGAGAGCACCCTTCACAATCTAATGTATACTGAACAGCAAAAGAAATGCAAGTTTCGAAAAAAATGAAATCTCATGAAGGTAAGCGTTCATGTTTATGGAACGTTCATGGTAAAGTGACGTAATGATCCCAGATGAGATGATGTCATGCAATTTGACGTCCATACGAACCATTCCCACAAACACACCAACAGTGCAGCAAAACCATAATTTTAGCATGCGTGCGTCGACGGTTCTGGATGAAAAGCATGCATTTCACTCTGAGGTATCCTTTATAAAGGTTTGTGTCAAAAAACAGTTCAGTATTGACACTAGGAGATGTACACGCCACACAAACGATACCTAGACTAACGACTGAGCAGAGAGGAATGGCCATTGGAAAGTTGCATGGAGGTAGCTCTGCAACCGCTGTAGCTAGACAATTGGGCTGTCATCTTACCACCATTACACGACTTGCTCAACGCCATCAGCAACCCGGGTTGCCGCTGAACGCCCCTCGCACCGGGACAGCAGCAACGAGTGACATCTCATGCGCAAGATCGGTTCATCCGGGTCGCTCATCTAAGGAACCAAACTCAAGCACCAGCAGTAACAGCAGCATTAGTTCATGGGTCAAGGAGAGCAGTGTCCTGCGATACGATTAGGCGTCGTCTTTGGGCTGCTGGAATCCACTGCCGAAGGCCATATGTGGGGCCATATGTGGGGACGTTTGCAGCCCTCCCACAGCAGGGGTGGCGATGGATTATCTGGCTCAAAACAACATTAACGTTTTTCCATGGCTGTCTCTTTCCCCGTATATGGCTCCCATTGAACATTCTGGGACGAAATTTGACGGAGGATTGGTGCAGGTAGACAGCCATTCACACTTGCACAATTGGGAGAGAGATCGGTGTTTGAGCGGAACCAATTGCCTCAGGCATTCTTTCAGACTCTAATGAACTCAATGAGGCCACGTTGCACGGCCTGTGTGCAAGCTCAAGGTGGCCATACACGCGACTAAAGAGACTGTCACTTTTCGCGTTCAGGGGTATCTCCATTTGACGGACTGTGATCAATTTGAACTTATTGCAATTCAATGTGAACAGCAACTTTCAGCTGTTAAATTGACAGTGTTGTCTATAGAATAAATGATTAGACATGATTTTGGTTGTCTTCTATTCACAAACTTGACAAAAAGCCAGACTTGCGTTTCTTTTGCTGTTCAGTATATTATCAGACATCCATTTTGTTATGATATACATACAAGTGTCACGATCTCCTGTATCATTAAACTACCACAAAACCTTTTTTGTTAATTGGCTTGAACTCATCCAATCAATCAAAGCAAAATTACTCTTCTTAATGGGAGTTTGTATAAATCTAAATTCCAAACAGTGTGGGTTTTTTTAGCAACCCTTGATACATTTCAAACACATGATGCTACTATGAATATGTCAAGTTTTACAATGAAATATAATACTGTTGACACTAATCCTTAACTTGCCACAGTTAGGCCCTGATCGATTATCTTTTCTTCCATTTTGGGAAACCATATGAAAAATATAGAGAGAGTATCTATGAGTTTAACATAACAAGAACAATGCATAATCACAATTCCGCAATAGTTGGTCACATTAAATTATTGTTTCTTTCAGGAAAGTATATGGAACTAGGTACATGGAGTTTAATGCTCATCATAAAAAAAAGCATTATAAGCCTTATGCTGAGACACTTGTGTCACTTTACATCATCTGCTACATAGGAGTAAATGTGAAATTTATACATACAAAAGGCTCATATTGTGAGATAAAGAATTTATGGCACCAATGTTTGAAATCAGTCTTCATAATTATCTCTTACATAAGCTTGAAAAGTTTCATGTATGACTGTAACTTTAGTAGATTCTGAGAAAACAGCAAATACAAGCAAATGGATCAATGACTGTAACTGTGTTGTGGAACAATTTACTGCACCAGTTTTCGAACAAGTATGTTTTACATTTACAGCTTGCAAATTTTCATTTATGTAACTTCTGTAGGTTCTGAGAAAACCTGTCCTAATTTCTAGTAGTTAGCAGTATGTTGACAAAGTAGGTGCCAATGGCCACAACTCATTAAAACAAATTAAGACACCAGTTTGTTTTGTTTGTGTGTGGTTCAACGCTGCACTCAGCAATATTCCAGCTATTTGTTGGCATTGTGTAAATAATTGAGTATGGACCAGACAATCCAGTGATCGGCAGATTGATAAGACATCAATATTGAAATTATTTGAGATCATGAAATTATTTGAGATCAGTGTGTAAAATTCCATTTCTTTAATTTTAAATAGTTTTGGCAGAGCTTTGAGAAAGGGATGGATGGACACATAGACAAACTCTGTTCCTGTATCTCCTGCCTATCTTTGTGGAAAGGAATAACAATGTCTTGTATTGTGCTCCAAATGACTGTCCTGTTAACAGCCTTCACAATTTCCTATTGTCAAGCAAGTTTGTTGATAAAAGTCCATACAAACACTAAGATCTACCGAAGATGATGTCAACTGAAAGCTTACAGTGAGGTTGTAGTTTCCAATGTCTCCAGCACATTAGACTGTGAAAATGAGAGGGCAGGAATTACATTAAAAATAACTCATCACTTAATGCATAGAGGGATCACTCTTAGGGGTATTTTAAATATATCTAGAAAGGAAACACAAACTGTTCTTTTGTACAGACATTGCAAAGTCATGATTGAGACACTATGACATTGCAATTTTATGAAAGGTGTATCCTACTGTGCAAAGACTTTATACTTATTAGCTTCGAAATATTGATTCTTTTTCAATATTCACTGATCACTTGTTTCATGTGTTTGTATGTGAGTAATAGCCCTTCTCTGATGATTATGATGTTGGACATCAAGTAAAATCATCATCAAAATAATTGCCATTGTACTGTCATACTCAAGAGACAATTTGTGCATGGAACTGACTGGTAAATTGTTCCAAGTAAGGGATACTCACTTAAAGCCACTAAAGGTGTAATATTAGTACATATATGCTTGGGAAGTGATATCTATTATAGGTCTTAAAATGTATTAAATGGTAAATGGCTCCAAGGAAGTTACACAATTACTTTATCTACTTGATATATTGTTTACCTGCTGATGTTCATAAAGGGGTAGTCAATTGTGTCTTGGGAATATATCCATTGGCAGCCGCGTCTATTCTCTATTCCACTTCATCAGTTGGCCGACATTTTTATCACTATGGTTTTATGACGCCGCACAGTCTAAATATAGACCGTCACACTGTTTTGACAAGAAGGTGCGCAGAGAACTTTGGCGACGTCAGTTTAATTTAATGTCCTAAAACATGTAAGTCCGCCAAAAAAATGTCTACCTTTGCAAGGAAGAAAATATGAAATAAAGGAAAGCAATGAAAAGAAATAATATAAATGCCATATTCCACAGCAAGTAAAAGTTTAGTCTCATTTTGAAAGTTTACCACGTCGTCTGCTTTGAGACTTACTTCCGGGTTCCATAGTGCTAGTATTTTCTTTGAAACGTATTCCATCTTTATCTCATGCTTAGCTTGTCAGTTGAACCGCCGTTCTTTAGAACAAGAACAGTAAAAGATTGGCAAAATCTACATTCCTTTACAAGGACGCATACATATCAGATAACTAAAGGGACTATATGTACTTTATGCCTGATATAGTGGTGGTCCGATTAATTGAAATAATCGAAGATTGGTCGTAGTGACTAAACGACCAAGCAATCGATCATAATTTCTCAGAATCGAACACAAACAATTCTGGAACACTTGTTTTCATTAACAATATTTTTCACATGGTTGGTTTTGTCTGTTACATTTCGTAAGCCCTACAAGCTCGTTTCAAGTCATGATTGAATTTATCTTAAAGATTCCAAGAAATTTATGTTCCTGACATACTAGTCATCCTTTAAAGATGTGAAATTTTGCCAAAAAATCCCAGAAGAACTACATTTTTCCCCCCTTATTTTAATGTGCATTAACAAATTTAGTAAATGACGCTAACCAATTATTTTCGATGATTGATCGGTAGTAATGAACCAATCATCAATTATGAGATTTTAACCAATTCCCAACACTAGTCAGATACGAAATCAACAAACTGATTAAGATGAGATAAGATATGATAAGATATCACTTTAATATATTATTAGCTAGCTAAGATACATAGCGTTCACTGTTCATGTCAGCTATGTATCTTGCTAGGCCTATGGAGGTGCTGCTAAGCGTTCATGGCTAATTATTAGCCCGGTGTTTTTCAGAAGGTTTATCTACTGACGTTTGTTTGGTAGATGTTGAATATCCTATGTAGGTAATGCCATGGGCACATAAAATCTATATTTAGGGTCCATGGTAATGTTAAGTTAAGATAAGATAAGATAATTCTTTATTGTCCCAAGGGAAATTTGTTTTGCATTATACGTTCTCCAGTTTTTCATTCATAAAGCAGCCATACATAACATTGCAGTTGGTAATCATGAAATAATCAGGATATAAATACATCAATTTAGTACACAAACATAGATATTGAATAGAATTTGGACAATTAAAAGACAGGTCATTCACAGAATTTGTTGTTAATGCATCTAATACTAGCTGGAACAAATGAATGGCGGGCCCTGTTTGTTCTAAACGTCGGCATACGCAGCCTGCGCGCAGAAGGTAATGATGAATATTCAGAAAAGAGTATGTGAGTAGGATCACTTAAAATTTTGTTTGCCTTTTTTGAAATTTGCTGCTCATAACAAATGCCGATACTTTCGATAGGAAGCCCAATAATTTTAGACGCAGTGTTTACGATTTTTGAGAGTTTGTTTTATTCTGGACAGACAGGTTCCCGAACCAACTCAAGAAATGAAAGGTTATCATACTTTGAATAAAGGTTTTATAAAATAACATCATGATAGATTGGTCGATGTCAAAATGTTTCAACTTCCACAAAAAATGCAAGCGTTGCTGTCCTTTTTTTATATATTTTCTCAGTGTTTTCGTTCCAGGAGAGTTTCGAATCTAAGACAGTACCCAAATATTTGTATTCAGTTACTGTTTCGATTTCATTATCTTCAATAGTTACAGCATTTATTGCTGACTTAGCTTTCCTAAAATCTATGATAATTTGTTTGTTTTTTTGCACTTTGAAAAAAAAAAAAGTTGTCGTTTTTTGTTTCCATTGAAACATTAAGAAATCATGTAACCTTAATCTGACGATGGAAAACCTAAAACTTTTCATAGAAGAGTGAGTTAAGTCTCCTTTCATCTAAAAATGTAAGTATTTTTAGGAAGTGTAAATGAATACGTTCGTGTAACGTTCTGTTGTCGTAACGTGAAGTAATATGTTGTAAGGCAAATACTTGAGCGTTTTAGAACCGGAAGTGGCTGGCCAACCTTCCCAGCAAGCATCAACAATAATGGCAGCCAGATGACAGGTGTCCGGAAAAATATTTTCTGTGTAATTGTGATATTCTGCCGCAGTTACCAGTGATCCTGTTACCATGACACTGGTAGCTGCCGCAAGTAGGTTTGCGAGAGTCTATATTTTTAGTCCGGAAGCGTTCATATTGTGCATATTGATACTACTTCTGTACAACTCTTTCCTTCACATCCAACCTCTCTGGCGGTTGTTCCAAAGAGCCCGTGTGAAGCTTCAATTGAAACTAAGTGGGAACTACGACAATGTTCCTGAGCATAGTGAACAAGAGGTGTCACAAGAAAAGACTAAAGCTTCTTGGGAGTCTAAAAAAGAAAATGTTGCAGTTTTCGCTATTCAGGGCCGCCGTCCACACATGGAAGACCGTTTTAATATTGTGATTGACTTGGAACACACAAGAACGTCAATATATGGCATTTTTGATGGCCATGGTGGAGAGGTATTGATAATTTGTTTCTTATTTATGATGTAATCAGAATTTATTGGCAAGAGTTCCCTTTTTGAGCCAGCTTACTGTTTTGTTAATGGCCCAGACTGCGACTCTGTCTCAAGCTTCACATCTCTCCTGCCTTTGCTCTTTAGGGTTGGCTGGGTTCGGATAGGTGGCTAGAGTGTACCAGAGCATCATCTACTGTGCTATCGCACTCTCACCATGCTCACTGTCTTACTATATTGCTGCCTGGCTCATACTCCAGTGCTCTCGGGGGTCACAAGTCTTTAGACAACACCCCTTTACGATCCATAGGGAACTGACATATCATATGAACCTTAGGGTTAGGCACAGATCTTACCTTAGCTCGGTGTAATAATCCAATTTTTTCTCTGAAATACATTTCATCCAACCAAGATAGACCTTCAGCCAGTCGACAAGTATTATTAGTATTATTTTGACCATCCATTCCATCATTGATTAGTAAACAAACATGCTGTGTACTCTTGACAAGAACATGAAAATAAAATGAGATAGCAGACATATTCAAACCTTAGCATGTTCAGCTGTACTTTTAACATATTGATGATACAAAAACAGACTAAAAGATGGTACACACTGTGAGTGTAACCTTACCCTGCACTCAGTGTAAAGGGGATAAAACAAGGACCGGTTGGCCTGGCATCAGTATCATGCCGTGGAATTGTACAATAACATTAACATTACTCCGGACAAGTACAAACAGCCATACGCACCTCTCTGCATGCTCATCACTATATAATTAAAACCTGACACATTTTAAACCTGATTTCATCTCAACATGTTCTAATTTTGCGAGGATTATTGGAGTGTAATTTAGTGTGCACAGAAAAGGGCAGTACTCTCTTATTTTCATCTTCCACAACAGCTGCATTTTTATATCTTAAACTAGCAGGAAGCCGTAGCATCAAAATAACGTCCGGAATTATAAGCTGTGATGCCTACAGGGATAATGAATATGTTGTCAAGAAAGGTATTTGCAGTACATGTATATAAACAATGAAGACTACTGAAAGGAGCTTCAGCATTTGCCATGCTCATCTTGAACCATGATAATAATAGGAAGCCTTGATTATAGTAATTGAATTGTGAACTGAACATCATGATGAGTAGTCATCGATCCTTTATCATGTTCAGTATGTGAATTATGGATGACTGTTTTGATAGATATAATGTAAGTTGCCATTTACATCCTTAAAAAACCCTTGGTTATAACAAAATCATGTTTTGAAGGATTGCATTACATTATCAGTGTGAGCAGTCAAGCATATAAAATTTAATTAAGACGGTCAAGGTGTATTGGTTTACTTTTCATGCATGTAGTACATTTTGTATTCTTCTCATAAATATTTTCTATAGCAGGAGGTGTGTTATTCTTGACATGTGCTTGACCTGTGATGAGTTTGTTTGGATGTGAAATCATGTAATGTGTCTTATTGTAAAGATAGCACTATTAGCAGAGATTGTGTATTGTAGTCATTGTCATGACTATGAGATGTGTTTCTTTTAGTTTGCAGCAGATTTTGTGGAGAAGACTTTGTTTAAGAGCATAATGATAAGGCTACTGAAGATTTCACTGGGTGAGGAACCAGAGAACTTCACTCAGATGCTGATTGAGGAGTTTCTTACCGTGGATAAACAGTTGCTCAGTCTAGCCAAGTCAAACATGGAAATCTCAGGTGACTGATTCTGTCCAAGTTCCAATATAACAAATTCTTAGAGGAAAATCTAGAACAGACCTAACATTCCTTGTGCAGTACCAGGTTTTGACAGTCAGGTCTTATATTTTTAGAAATATTTCTTATGTCATAGACTCATACAACAGTGAATAAAATCAGGTATCAACATTTTCTCAGTTACTTTATGCTGTCTTCAGTTATGATCAGCAGTCAGAATTGTCTTTTGAAAATCACTCTGACTTACTAGTGAGTCATAATGTATTCAGCGACACATAATGAAATGTACTTACACATTTTCAATTTTCCAACAGTTTTCTATTCTTAGTTCATTCTGTTTTGGGTAGCCAAGTGACTACAGCATTTGCTCATCGCCGAAGGCCCGGGTTCGATTCCCCACATGGGTAGAATGTGTAATTTTGTAAAGCCCATTGCTGGTGTCCCCTGCCATAATATTGCTGAAATATTGCTAAATGTGATGTGAAACAAAACTAACTCACTTTTGCTCGCTTGGTCTTGAATGAGCAGGGGCGGTGGGGTAGCCTAATGGTTACAGCGTCTGCTCGTCACGCTGAAGACCCGGGTTCAAGGGTACAATGTGTGAAGCCCACTCCTGGTGTCCCCAGCCCCGATATTGCTGGAATATTGCTAAAAAGTGGCGTAAAACCAGACTCACTCACTTTTACATTTTTTGAATATTTCATTGAGAAACTTGCCCAGTATCATCAAGTGAAATAACCAGAGAAACGTTGGAAGTGTAACGGCTCAAGAATGATTGGTCTTGTTTTCAGGCACCACAGCGCTGGTGGCGTTGTTGAAGGACAGGCAGTTGACTGTTGCCAATGTTGGTGACTCCCGCGGGGTGCTCTGTGACCAGGACGGCAAGGCGGTTCCTCTCTCCTTCGACCACAAGCCACAGCTGGTATGTGAATAGCATTGTGGGTAGTTTGATACTGTTACCATGGTTGCAGTTAGACTTAGAGTAATCCTGCCTAGCCCACAAAAAGTGCTTCATTCAGGCCATGCATTGCATCATTCATGCATTCATGAAACTAGCTCTAGAACTAGACAGGTGTGTGTACATTTGTGCACATCTGTTAGCAATACAGCATGAAAAAAACCCAGTATCTTTTGAAACAATAGTCTGCATCTTTCAAAAAATACCTGTTGTTATTAGAATTTGAAAAGTGTCATAAGTTGCTTTTTCATTTCTCAGCCTTGAAGGTCCGGGTTAGAATTGATCTTCAGTTAACAATGCTTGTCATAAGAGGTGACTAACGGGATCAGGTGGCCAGACTCGCTGACAGTGACTGGGTTGACACGTGTCATCGTATCCCAATTGCGTAGGTTGATGTTCATGCTGTTGATCCCTGGATTGTCTTGTCCAGACTCGATTATTTGCTACCACCGCCATTTAGCTGGAATATTGCTGAGTGCGGCGTGAAACTAAACTCGCTCACTCACTTTTAAATTTCTAAAAAATGTCACAGGCATTAGCTATTTCTTGGAACGGGGAAAATAAAGTTCCTCAGAAAAATGATACATCAGTTGAAATGTGGCAGCCTGTGAAACGTAGGTCACATACATCATACTCTGTCATCAGTTACTGACTGTTTTATGCTTTGCAGCTAAAGGAAAGGAAGAGGATTCGCCAGGCAGGGGGCTTTATCAGTTTTAATGGAGTGTGGAGGGTGGCTGGGGTGCTAGCCACATCAAGGGCTCTCGGGGACTACCCTCTGAAGGAGAAAAACTTTGTGATAGCTGAACCAGATGTCTTGAAATTTGACATGGATGAAATTCAACCCAAGTTCCTTATTTTGGCCACAGATGGATTGTGGGATTGTTTCAGCAACGAGGAAGCTGTGGACTATGTGAAAGAGAGGCTTTCAGAGCCTCATTATGGCGCCAAGAGTCTGGTGTTGCAAGCTTATTACCGAGGCTCAGTAGACAATATCACTGTGATGGTGGTGAACTTCACAACAGGGAAAGTGGCATATTACAAGTCTAATCGGTAGTTGGTGGTAGTCCAGAGCTGTTGTATTCAATGAAGGATTCTCTTAAGTGGTTGTGCTATCACATTTTCCCTAAGTTTATGTGAATGGTTGATACATTCTTTTATGGCCTTATCTAAAAAATGCAGCTCAAATTTCTAAAGGGTCCATTACCCAAGATCTCACACAGTTCTACCTGTTGCCAGACACAGGACATGTGATCACTACATAATGGCCTTTATACTGTTGTTCACATTGTCTGTACAAAGTTGACTCCCATTCTGTGAGTGACCATTGGGGGAATGTTGACTTGAATAATTATTGTGTAGTTACATAGTTTGACATTTTGTCCTTCAGCAGTTAGGGGCGGTGGGGTAGCCTAATGGTTAAAGCGTTGGCTCGTCACGCCAAAGACCCGGGTTCGAATCCCCACATGGGTACAATGTGTGAAGCCCATTTGTGGTGTCCCCTGCCGTGATGTTGCTGGAATATTGCTAAAAGCGGCGTAAAACCAAACTCAGTCAGTCTTCACTTGACAAATCCATGTTGCCAGATGAGTAATGCATGAAAATCATGCTACTTAAAAATTACTCAAAAACTAATTGTTACAGTCTTCATTTTTACTATGTCATATGTCACATGTTGGTACGAAGTCGCACTGTGAGGACACACCTTAAGGGAGTCCTTTGTCACATGATGGCTGAAGTAAAAATCCAGCATGGAATGGACACTGTTCATGTTAACAAGATTCGTGTTTTTATGCACGTTGAAGACAGGAATTAACCAAATTATCCTAGGATCCTTGTTATGATAGCACAAAATTACAATTGTTGTGTTAATATTTTGCAGTTGTTTATCTATTTGGAGAATGGATACTTCTGATAAGATGGAAGTATTCCACAAACTGAATACTGCGTCACACAACTTAAAGTATAATTATGGAAGGTTGTATTCGGTTAATTCTTGTTTGTTTTCATTTCATTATTATCAGATGTCAGATCTCAATACCACTACAGGATCTGAGGACAACCCTGTACGTCAAGTCACACATAAATGGCCAGTCAGAGTATTGCTCATGGGATGGCAAAAGTGAATATTCAAATGTATTTTTCATCCTTGAAAAGGTTAATACATTCTGAAGGACAGTTAAGGCCTCTTCAGCTGCTTTAAAACAGAAGGAACTGTCCATAATCTGTACTAATGTACAATCTTGGCCATCTGTTGGACATTTCTGAATTTTCTTTTCTTCACTTTCCAACTTTTGAATCAAGACCTTTTAAACTGTTTTAATGTTCTTAAAAACTTGTGCTGTAAAGCTTGAGAAAGCTGCTTTCTGATTGGATAATGTTGACTTCCTGTTTGTCACTTCAATGAGATGGGATGTCCACAGATTGTTTTGTAGCAGTAGCGAACATTTAGATCTGGTGTTACTGAGATTGGATGTATTTATGAACAAAACCAATTAACCTACGTTTATGTTGCCACCACACCATTACTTAACATGAACACCTAGTCTAAGATGAATATATTGTCATTTGGTTTCTACTCTTATTGGCTTTGAAATTTTGAACAATATAAGTGTCCCTTTTTTCAGATTTAATATTGTATCATTTTTCATAAAGATCCATTCCATTTGCTTACAGATCATCAGTTGTGAATGATATTGTTAAAGATTTGGCCACAGCTGAGACTGACCTGAACAAAGTGGCAGTAATGGTGGAGGGACTGGTACCATGGTTGTTACAATGAACCCTTTGTAGTGGTGCTGTATTAATGGTCCACATATGGTCTGTTTTTTGTGAAATTTAGTTTGACTTGTACTTAATTTGTTTAATTTTAACTTACTGGCCATGGCGGGTTCAGTGAAGTCATCTCTATTGACAATTGTTGAACTTTTTAAAATTTGGATTTTGTAAAATCTTTTATATTTCTTGAAATTTGCAGGATTAAACAAATGTCCTTCATGAAATAATTCTATATGCAAGAACAGTTTTCATGAAAGCACTATCTTGTGTATAGATGTCATGTTATTGTGTCAGATGAGAAATGAATTTATAACTAATGAAATAGGTATTTATTAGGGAAAAATACGTTTGGTAATATTGGGTTGAGTTGGCTTACAAAAATAGAAGTAGTTTTGAAAATATCAAAGGTAGGAAACAATCTGTGATTTGAAGACCGATCCAAGAGAATCCTTGACTGGAGTCAGCATGTTGTATATTCCATAGTGTGGTGTATGGTGTGGTGTGTGTGATGCACTGGTGTGTGTGTGTGTGTTGCACTGGTTGGTGTGTTGATCTTGTAGTCACCACTCTGTATCTCAGGAACTGCAGGCAACGTGTGGATAGGAGGTAGCTCGTCTGTTGTGAGAGGCAGTAACCATGGTAGCTACAAAGTGGAGGATGACTTAAACCAGTAGTCCAGTGTCTGACCAGTTGTGTGTGAGCTGGGTAATATTCAGATGTATCAAAGTTAAGGGCACAAAGAATGGGATTTAGGCCTTGTATCTCTGATGGGTTTGAACCAGGACCTACATGACAAGCCAGCTTAACCTGTTCACTTATCCAACCCCTTAAGGGTAAGAAAACTGAAGTGTTTAAATTCCTCTGCAAATTATCCCGAAGGCGATGTTCTTAAAGAGATCTACAAAGAATGACTATTTATCTGTTGTTGTTGCGTTACAGGGACATGGCAGGTTGGCCAGGATGTAATGCCTATTAGACTATTAATATTTTTTGCATAGTTTATGGATCGAAAGTTCAGAAGAAAAAATCAGAATGACAGGGTCTCCAGCTTTGGAATGTTCACATGGAGCATACCAGGCCAAGATAGTTTGAAATCACCTTCTGATCCAAATTGTACTTTACAGACACTTGGTGCATACTTTGAGGTGTTAATCTGGGGCTCAATATTTAGTGTCAAAAGAAATTGAAATAAATGATTATATTGAATCAAGCTGAGATTCTTGAGAGGCATTTAGAAGTTGGTGAATATATAAGATGAGTATGACAACAATAAACAAGAAGTTGTCATCCATATACTTGTCTTATATTTAATGAAGCTGTCATAATTCAGGAAGATATTTGCCCTCAGTGTCACCAGCTGGTCGCAGAACGTTGTCAGAAGCTGTAACACTTACTGTATATTGATAATGCTACTACGATAGACAAGATATCTCATGTCCACCCACTCTTTTGTAATATACTGTACATTTGGAGCTCTGTGTGTAGACTGAAAATGTTGTATTATGCAAAAGAAACAATGTAAATAATTGTGCCGTATACATATGCTTTAATATTATTATATTAATATTATGAAGACATTTCAAAGATGTGGTACAAATCACTGTGCAATTACGTCACAAATAATTGCCGCTGTGGTTTACGATTCCGGATTATGTATTTGCATTTGTCAAATACCCTTACATGTCAGAGTTTGACACAACCTCTGGCCCTACAGCCAGAGTCTTGTAAAATTCAAAGGGGACTACTTGATTTCACCCCAAATCTTGTCATTTTGTGTTTACAACTAGTCGGAATTGAGCTGTGGACCCCTGTGAGGTTTGCAGAATGGTTAGATTAATGAAACCATCTACAGTTTAAGAAACATCTGAAAAACTATCCATTTTTATGTGATATCATGTAATATTGTATTATTTTGTTGGAATGAAAGTATTATTGTGCTGTGTTTTGAGCAACCATTTATACTTGACCAAACTAGTCTTTGGGACCTTCCCATGGCCTGACATAATATTGGTTGAGGAAGCCACTATTTCATGTCTTTAGAGAGAACTTGGTCCCTAGAACGATCATGGTCTTCAGTGAGATCTTGGTCCCTGGAACGATCATGGTCCAGAGAGATCTTGGTCCCTGAAATGATCATGGTCCAGAGAGATCTTGGTCCCTGGAAGGATCATGGCCCTGAGAGATCTTGTTCCCTGGAAGGATCATGGTCCAGAGAGATCTTTGTCCCTGGAACGATCATGGTCCAGAGATATCTTGGTCCCTCGAATGATCATGGTCAAGAGAGATCTTGGTCCTTGGAACTATCATGGTCCAGAGATATCTTGGTCCCTCAAATGATCATCGTCCAGAGATATCTTAGTTCCTCTAATAATCATGGTCTTCAGAGAGATCTTTGTCTCTGGAACAATCATGATGTTGAGAGATTTTTGTCCCTTGAATGATCATGGTTTTTTAGAAATCTTTGTCCCTGGAATGATCAAGATCTTCACACACATCTAGGAGCTTATGCTAATAGGATTATGGTTCTGTCCAGCTTGTGTTGTGCACTAATGTATTTGCTTCCTAGATGAGCAGTGCACACTAGCTGTAGTGGTTATGCCTCCTTCAAAATGATCATAGCCGCACTGTTCTCATCCCGTCAAGTGCCTCCCTCCATCTTATGAGGGGTGTACAAGTCCAGTTACTTAAATGAAGTGTGGCCATAAGAGGAGTGTTGTGAGGCCACCTCCATGATGAATGCTGACATATATTCTCTTACCTTCTATATTTGTTGTTCATAGATTGTTGTTATGTAATATTGCTTTTGTTTGAAATTATTTTGCCTTCATTGTTGTTATCAGTTTGTACATAACGATATATTTAGTTGCTTTAGCATCATTTTATGTGACTGGTTATTGCTATAAGAATCATGCCCTAGTGATTCAAGACCTATGGCCATACTCCAGTGGAGGAGCTGTAGACATGCTCACTGGATGTTACAAATTAATGTGGGGATAGTGTAGTCTTCTACTGATGTCAGTACATTTCATAGCTCAGGTGGCCAACTTGTCTAGTGCACCACGCTTGCTGTGCCGAGCTGTGTCCCTTGGGCATGCAAGAAACTTGTGATTGTGAGTTCAGATCCTGGTTTGCTCAGATTATTTTTCTGTCTTTGTCAGTACCTCGCCCATGCTTGTATTTTCCCCCAAAGTGGTATACATGTATGTTTGTGAACTGCATCTCTTCCGACTTTCGTCCCCCATTACCTTCAGCTGATAGGCCATGATTATAAGGAATAGTGTTCAAAGTGGTGTTAAACCCACATCACACACACAGTGGTAACATAGGGTTGAAATAGGTCTTCGCAATACATATGTATCATAGTACCATACAATTACTTGGAAATACTAGAAATACCAGAAAAATATCTTAAGTACTCAGCTGATGGCATGTCTTTATGATGTGTCGTTTTATAAGTTATTATGATGTTCCACTGTTCGTGTGATTATTCAAGAAAACCCCGAATGTTTTTAAGCATCTGAAAACCCATGGATATAATGATGAACTCTGTCCATTGCAAGATGCACTGAATTTTGCTAGTTTACAGCATGATTAACCTGAGCACAACAGAGGATTTGTTGATATGCTATTTCCGATGACTTGAAGATGTGCGATCGCTGGGCAATGGTAACGCAAAAAGCGTTATTGCGAGGAATGACTGTATATCATTGTACCCTTGAAATACTTGGGAGCCTGAGAGAGATGGGAGATTCAGAGGACCTTCGAGACTGCTTCATCTGGGGTTTGTGGATAACAGTAGTTGATATATAATCACGTTCAGGGACAGACAAAAACTTGGAATGCAACTTATGTTATGTATGTGTAGTGTGTGTTAGAGCATGTTGGTTTTGTTTTGTAGCAAAGTGGTTAAGCATAACAAGAATTTTGGTATTGCATACTAAACTGTCCTGACTGGTTGTACTGTATTGTGTTGTATGGAAGAAGAGTCAAATATTTATCGTAAAAATCATTGTAACGTATCAAGACTGCAATGTATTAATTAAAACTTTACAGCTATAGTTTTGGGGCTATAGTGGGTGTATTTTGCTGGTCAGAATATTCTGAGCATCGGGGAAGAGCTGCTGGTATTTATAGCTTCACCGATAAATAATCTTGTAGCATTTGTGTGATCTAACGACACCAAAATTTGATACTTGCAAAACTTGAAATGAAATATTGAAACGAAAGCAGATTGACCTGTCCCGTGTTTACCTGTGGATGGATGATCGACATTCACACTATTGTGATTTTCCATTGCTCATTTGACTTGATATATTTTTTCCTCATTTGAGTTTTTACTCGTAAAGCCGTAAAAAATAACGCTGATTTCATATCCCAAATTTTATTAACCGGTAGTGCCCCTTCATGCAGACCCTCATGGGAGGATAATTTGAAGCCATTTCAAGATTCCCAGACAGAACTCAGCTGGTTATCACTCTGCAGAACCCCAAGTGATATGTATCTCCATACACATGATTAATGGTCACAAGAAAGGTATTATTCCAGTGCTTGACAAACACCTTCAGTATGCATGGATGTACAACACAAATTCCTGTTGTGAGAAAACTAGCTGTCTATATTAGTGATGTGTGTATAAATGTCAGCATCATGTCGGTTATAAATTGAAAAGTTGATGCATGAAATTCTTCTGGTAAATGTTTATCATGTGTTTGAAATGAGTTCATAGATCGTTACTGTATCCCCTGGTATTTGAGTATTGAGAAACCTGTTCATGTATCTGTTCAACAAAGAAACCTCATGGTCAGGTCAAATGTGAAAAGGAAAGGTAATTTAGGATAATGTATGTTCTGTAATTATAATTTAAATGAACTACATTTCAAGCACACGAGACTCCTCTACAAGGGAGATAACTCTGGTCATTAGCGTGAGATTTAGTTCAAAGGGTTGGTGCAATAGAACTGAAATCATGCCATTGGAAATAAATTTGTTTCTTACATGAATTGTCTTGTGTTATTGTTCTGATGTGGACTTCTGAAAAGGTTTCGCATGACAGGATAAAAATGTTACTTGCCAGAGTGTTCTTCACCTAATGGATATTCTGGTATTTAGATAGCAAACACTTTTCTTTGTTTTTATGTTAAACACTGCACGATTCTCCAGCTACCCCTGTATTAACTCTGGACCAGACAAGCCAGTGATTGACGTTATGAGCAAACATTTGCCCCTTTTTATCTGGGTAACACACAATCAGTCACTGAGAATGACCATGTGTATTCACTTGAAAGCCTCCAATTGGCAGCTTCAGTATGTAGGACCTGTGCCATTCCATGGGTTATTTGGAGTAAACAGATGTCTAATTCTGAATTTGCACAGATTTGTAAAGTGATGGAATTTAAGTGTCCAGTGAAAAGTGCCATTCTGCTATTTTATTATTGAAGTGCTGGACCTGAGAGGTCTTGAATGTAAGTAAAATTTGTCTTGCTTTAACAATCTCTACTGAGAATTAAGAACGATAAAAGAATTGTTTACTTCCTATTGCTTACAACAAAAAAGAAAGGCTTCTGCCAATTACTGGTTACTTGCATTAGTATAGTTTATCATTATCAGGGTTCTTTCAGCAGCACATGCTGAGGGTCATCCCATCAATGCTCAACTTGAAAGGCCTTGCTGTTTCACATGAGATGTCCAACAGCAACTGAAGGATGATATAAGGTTCACAACCAAATATTCCCCTGATTCATACCTTTAAACCAAGCTGGAACTTGAGAGATCAGTTCCCCCTGCTTGTCATGAGATGAAGGCTATGACCTGTGCTGTTCCACTAAACTACGACTGTCATAAGGGGGATGAAAGTGATAGGAGGTGGAATAGGTTATGCTCAAGATTATTGCATTTGTAAAGCGACAGGTATGCACATGTGTGTGTGGCTGCCAGTACATCTCACAGAGTAATATGGAGAAGCTACTCCGAGTATACCAACAATGATCTGTCCAGTCAGGATAACAAGAAGCACCATCTTTTAACAAGTTTTGGTGACTTGGCTGGTCTTGAATGACCACCTTGGTCTCGTTGCTATATGGCTAAAATAATGCCAATGCGACGTAAAACTCAACTCAATTCATCATGAGTGGTGGGGTGGCCTAATGGTTAAAGCGTCCGCTTATCACGCTGAAGGACCAGGTCGATTCCCCACATGGGTAAAATGTGTGAAACCCATTGACAAACCTTCCACTATCTGGGCAACTAGTCGTCCACAACACCTTGGAGGCAGTCCCAATGGAACTTTAAATCAATTACCATCGTTACTCATTCTGTCAAACACTGGTTTGCCTATCTAGACTATTTACCTGTTGCCACGATGTAATACTGTAGCATTGCTGATTGACATAGGAAAACATCCATTCACCAGGACAGCTAATTATAAATGTAACAGTTTAACATAATATAGATCTGGTTTCATGTGTGAAGAACAAAATAAGAACTCAACTCTTCCATAAGGTGTTTTTAAATTTTATTTTCATTTGGTCATGAGCCCAGGTCTATCATCAAATGTTCTGACATAATGTGCCAGGTACGGCCTGACATGACACGGATATTTACATTTTGAGTTGTTGTGCATTGCCCTGATGTGACGATAGAAGCAAGCCATCACGCAGTATACAGCCATGAGATGTAGACACTGTAACTATGTAGAATGCAGGCAGGTTAGCACATTACCCCAGGGAGAATACAGCCATGTGATGTTGATACAGCCACGTGACTTGATACAGTCATATTGCCCCACTGACAGTGCACAGCCACATGTTGATTATGCAAAACAATAGCAGGCTCATTGCCTCACCGACATTATACTACCAGGCAACTGTATTGCCCCACTGTCAGTAGACAGCCATGTAGGCAGTGAACAGACACTGCACAGCCATGTAGGCATCCAACAGACACTGCACAGCCACGTAGCCAGGCAACAGACACTGCACAGCCATGTAGGCAGGCAACAGACACTGCACAGCCATGTAGGCAGGCAACAGACACTGCACAGCCATGTAGGCAGGCAACAGACACTGCACAGCCATTTAGGCATGAACAGACACTGCACAGCCATGTAGGCAGGCAACAGACACTGCACAGCCATGTAGGCAGGCAACAGACACTGCACAGTTTCATGTAGGCAGGCAGACACTGCACAGCCACTGCAGGCAACAGACACTGCACACCGCAGCAGACACTGCACACAGCCATGTAGGCAGGCAACAGACACTGCACAGCGCCAGTCAACAGACACAGGCAAGGCAGGCAACAGACACTGCACAGCCATGTAGGCAGGAACAGACACTGCACAGCCATGTAGGCAGGCAACAGACACTGCACAGCCATGTAGGCAGGAACAGACACTGCACAGCCATGTAGGCAGTCAACAGACACTGCACAGCCATGTAGGCAGTCAACAGACACTGCACAGCCATGTAGGCAGGCAACAGACACTGCACAGCCATGTAGGCAGGCAACAGACACTGCACAGCCATGTAGGCAGGCAACAGACACTGCACAGCCATGTAGGCAGGCAACAGACACTGCACAGCCATGTAGGCAGGCAACTGTATTGCCTAACTGCCAGTACACAGCCAAGAAGGCAGGCAACTCCATGTGACATCCATACCACCATATTGTCACACTGACAGTACACGGCCATCGCGATATTTTCATCCACATCATCACACTGACAGTACCCGCCATGTGATGTTTTAGGTTGTGCTACCTGCCTCACTATTCCACCGACATTACAAGCTTGAAAAATTTTAACTATCTGTGTCAGTGTGTGCTCACTAGTCCATGACAGCGAGGCATCACGCGCGTCCTCACCCGCGTGATCACCTCACATACTCATTCTCGATCTTGGAGCCATAAAGGACAAAGCCGGACGGTGGTAATCTATGTAGTGGGGAGGTAGGGAGGGACTTTATCGCGTGAGATAGGATAAGTATATAAATATACAATTATAGTTAAAATTTTCAAATTTACAAACTTATCCTATCTCGACTTGCACTTATCCCACGGTAGGAAGGTGGGTCATAGATTACCGAAATTCAGCGATAACAGCTAAGTGTTATGCCCAAACAACCGTGGGAAGCAACTACAAGGTAGGCCAATAACTACCAAGTTACTACGTCGCGGGGTTAGTTCGAACCCATTGACTTACTAAGCACAATTGCTCCCAGGGACCCGGGATTCCCGAGCAATGTGGTGTTCAGTCACTACCTTCACAAAGTGAAAGGCGTAGCTTAGCGAGTAATCAGTCGCGCCATACGATTTCCAAAGGTACCCCGTAATAAAAGTCCTAACGACTAGTGTCGGGCCAGCCCTGCTTGAAAACAACCCCACAGACACCGTCCGAGGAGGGTGAAAGAGAAATTGAATCGGTAAAACTCACAATTTTAGCGTTCAGTACCACAACATCATCTTATGACTTCCATTACTTACCACAATAAGATCACATAGATGTGTATAGGCGCTTAGGAGCATGAGCGCCTACGGTGTAACACCGGGAAGGACTCACTTCACTGACTTAATTACTCCGTGGAGCAGAGGACAGTAAGTGAGGTGGCGACTCTCTGTAGTCTCAAACAAATGAGAGGAGAAATCTAAATCCGGAAGGCGTAAAATCAGAAAAAGTATTTCAGATTTATTCAGATTGTACACAAGCAGAAACGATCGCGACTTGGGATCAACTGCACAGTGGGATCCATATAGCATCGAGACACAAGGAAGTTCATTATCTGCGATGTTGTGCAGCTGATAACTGCTGGGCAGGGCGAATGGTCCAAACTGATGAAGGCCTTGAATATCCGTCACCGACACATCTCTGAGGGTAATGAGGCGAAAATACTGTGTCAGATCAGCCAAAACAACCCTCCATTATGGCAGTTAGCGAGCAGTTGCTATGCAGCGCCATAGTAGAAGCCAATGCCCTGGTTTCATGAGGGTTGACTGCCGTGGGTGGTGGCAAACCGGCAAAAGTGTAGGCTCAGTAGTATTGTAGGCTTCGTAGCCAATATGAGAGTGTTGTGCGAAGACTTCGCCTTGGAAGCAGTAGACAAGGGTAGAAACAGTCTCTTACGCAGAGCGGGCGGCGGCTCTTCGCGATGCTTTAAAACGTGCACTGCAGTGTAACGCCGGGAATGACTCACTTTACTGGCGTAATAAATCCGTGGAGCAGAGAGGACGAGTAAGTGAGGTGGCGACCTCAAAGCGTCTCAAAAGCGAGACCTGCAATGGTCAGTTCGAACCCATTGACTTACTAAACACAAGTGCTCCAGGGACCGGGATTCCCGAGCAATGTGGTGTTCAGTCACTACCTTCATGAAAGTGAAAGGGCGCGAGCTTTAGCCGAGTGTAAATAGTCGCATTACCACGATTTCAAGGTCTGACGACCAGTATCGGGCCAGCCCCTGCTTCGACACAACCCCCACAGACACCGTCCCGTGGAGAGTGAAAGGGGTAATTGAATCGAAACTCACAAGTCCCAGAAGAATCGAAGACACAAATCAGAAATAAAATTCAGGAATTTTATTCAGATTGTACACAAAGCAGAAAGCGATGCAAACTGGTGAACATCTGCGCTGAAGCTGATGGTTGTCCCAAGTGCGGGAACAGGCGATAATGACAATGCTGAATTCCAATTACGTTGTGATGAAGGGCCCTTTCTCCTGATGACCACTGCTAGGCCACTTGATGGAGAAAGTGAAGCCCCAGCTTGCAAGATGCCAAGCGAATAGGTGTTGAGTGGGTATGAAGGGCACCCTAGAGACTCCAACACAAACATTCCACTTGTTGAGCCACCAGCGAAGACTGAATGTAGTTGTGCGGGGAAGAGCGAATCAACTCCCTTGGGTTGTCGGTCCCGAGGTATGGGCACAGAACCATCTGAAGAGGGGCAAGCTGCAGCTGGCCCCTGTCAGTCAGCAGCTTTGTGCCGCGCCAACCACCCTAGTAACTTCTGCCACTGGCGAAAAGGTGTGGGTTGGACCAGCACTAGTGGTGTGTTGCACTGAATCTTGTCCCACCTCTCCTAGGGCACAAACATCATGACCTGGCGTGTTGAATATTGTCCCAATAAGAAGAAACAGCTGGTCGGTGTTACCCCTGATTGCTCGAATTTAGCAGCCATCCTAATTGGCGTGAGCAACAGGATGATGAACTGTCTGTGGAAAGGAAGGAACGACTGGATCCTGCTGCACTTAAACACAGTCGTTCGCGATATTGTTGTCAATTGTCACGCCTTGACAATGCAGATGGCTGGTTAACAGAATGGCTATCTGAGTAAAACCCGCGAGGGCTGCGATGTATGCCCATACAGCAGGATCCTCCATTGGTATCAAGGACCCATAAAGTAAATCGAAGATACTTCCAATAGTCTGGATGTATCCGGATGTATCACAGGTCGAGGGACTGACTGACTGACTGAGTTTAGTTTTACACCGCCTTTAGCAAAAAATCCAGCAAAATCACGGCATGGGGCACCAGAAATGGCTGAACACATTGTGCCCATGTGGGGATCGAACCGGGGTCTTGAAGCGACGAGTCAGTCGCTTTAACCACTAGACTACCCCACGGCCATCGCGAGGTCGAGGGAAATGAGAGGTCTAACCACTCTTGCCTCTGACAAAAAGATATCTCCTGATATAAGAGCGTTCAATAAGTCGAAAGCAACTACGTCAGTTCTGGCGGAGTGCTCAATGTAGTATGTTCGGGCGCATGGAGATTGTCAGTCAATCTACAGGAGCGTTCATTATAAACAAATTGTAGAAATTACGTAGGATCGGTGACCTCAGGAATGTTTCTTTGGCCGAACAAAATAATGGTGCGCCAGGTGGAGTGATATAGGGAGGAGATCGCTGCCTGGTGACAATCCTTGCATAATGCAGTGACCTCTGAGCTCGGTGCTTGACTAGGCAAACCGTTCAATGGTGGTTCTGTCCGTCACCCTCAATAAGCAGTCTCTCTCGACTGGCTGTCAAAATCCCGACACAGTCACTCTTTATCGGGGGAATGGCGCTCGTTGTTACTTGCATTTATAGGCTGGACTTGGTATCCGGTCCATGTGGGACCAAGAGAATTCCGCAAAGGGCACTTCATAGTCACTCTAATCATCAAAATTCGGTAAACAAACAGTAGTCCGCCATTTGCAAACGTTACACAAAGTGACAAAATACGGACCACATGGTCTTTAGTTAACCGACGAGTCGCGAACCATAAATTCCAGGCTGAGCTATGCTGGCTATTTGACAAAACATTGCCGGTACCATGCGCAAGAACTTCATCCATTTGTTATCTGTCCAGAAACTTGCTTATCATGTAAAACAAAGGGGAGCTGAAGATGACGAGTCAGTCTGCACAGACAATTGCACCAGTGATACACAAACACGCTTCGTTACGAGTAGTCTGTAGTAACAAGACTCATCGGGCCGTCGTAGAGTATTCCTGGCTGCAAGCCGTATCTAGTTATGCCATATCGGTGGTTGCAGAACTGATATCTACAATCGAAGGGTAGAATCGCTGAACCGAATCATTCATCAAAAGTGAAGATCGGATGGTAGATTAAATCTGAATGAGATGAGCTCCGTCACGGAGGACTCTTGAGAACTGGGATCGCCAGGCCGGCCAAGTGAAATGCGTGATATCTCTAGATGACTGCGCTACTAACAACACATGTAAATCAAATCGGCATGGTGAAGCACATAGCTACTACCTCTGTACATTGATCTTGAACGGCCAGGTGAACTGGTTCGGACGATAGGGAGCTTTCGACCTGGTGAAACGATACGAGCCGCTGGTAAATCAGTTCAGGGTGGTGAGCCGGAAAGTTGATCGGATCTGAATCAGTCCCATGTGATCTGAATCGCGTGATTGATCTGGATCGGTTCGGTAATCCGAACCGGTTAAATGATCTCAGCTGATGGAGAGATCTAGAACGCCAGATGAACCAGTGAGGCGAGGTGAAATGTTCCGCCGAGGTGAATCGCTTCGCTGCTGTGAATTGAATCGATGATGTGAACTGTTTCGCGATAAGAAACAGTCTTAATATTATGGCAAACTGAGTCAATGTCGTATTCACATACGGCGCGGCTTAAACGGTTCGGTCTGGTGAATCCATTCGTGTATGGCTTAACCGATTCGGTGTGGCTGAATCGGTTCGGGTCTGGTGAATCCATTTGGTATGGCGAACCGATTCGGGCGCGGTGAACCGGTTTGGCAATTTGATGGTAACGGTCTGGTGAAACCATTCGGTATGGCGAAACGATTGGTGTGGTGAATCCATTCGGTATGGCGAACCGATTGGTGTGGTGAATCCCTTCGGTATGGCGAACCGATTGGGTGTGGTGAATCCATTCGGTATGGCTAAACGGGTTCGGTCTGGTGAATCCATTCGGTATATGGCTTAACCGATTCGGTGTGGCGAATCGGTTCGGCGATTTGACGAAGTAGATCGGATGTGTGAGTCAACTGGCAACACAGAGCGCTTTGATGAGGCGGAACCACGAAGACATCTAATGATGCTACCATAAAATTATCACCGCTCGACATGGGAAACTGCGGATCTACGAAAGCAGTTAATACCGGTCGCTAAAAACGGGGTTTGTCGGGTGATCAACTGTTGAAGTGTAACGAGCTCTGTCTGCCAGCCATCGAGCAAGTATGTCTACATGCTCTAAAAACGCCCTTAATAAGGGAGCACATTCCCCGACAACGCTTGCTCCAGGAACATGACGATTGGGGATCCGAGGAAGTAAATATTGTTACAGTGCGCGCAAAATTACGCTTACTGAGTCTAGACTGACAAGACGGATATCCTGATTCACCTAAAGTGAATGAGACCGACTTCGAGAATCACTCTGATCGAAAAACACACCTTACGGCTAGGTGAACCGGATCGAAATGGCCAACCACCTCGACCTCAGGCTGAGACTGAACGACTGTGAATCAAAACGCTTGATGGTGTGTCGAACTGAAACCTATGTTGAGGTGAACTGAGTCGGGAATGTGAACCCGTTCGTCCTGGTGAACCCCTTCGAGTACGTGAATCAGTTCGGTCAGGTGAACCCATTTGATTACGTTGAATCAGTTCGGCTCAGGTGAACCCATTCGAGATGTTCTGTGAGCCGCTCGCCGCGGTGAGCCGGTTCGGCCGCAGTGAGTCGGTTCGGCATGGTGAGCCGGCTGTGTCGGCATGTGTGAGCCGGCTCGGCGATGTGAGTCGGTTCGGCAGGGTGAGCCGGTTCGGTAAGGTGAGCCGGTTCGGCTATGTGAGTCGGCTCGGCTGTGTGAGCCGGCTCGGCGATGTGAGTCGGTTCGCGCAGGTGAGCCGGTTCGGCAGGGTGAGCCGGTTCGGCGATGTGAGTCGGCTTCGGGCGGAGCCGCTCGAGCCGCCCTTCGAAAGTGAACGTGAGACCTAGAACGACTCTTGCCAGCCGTGGAAGAACGCGATTCAACCTTCGCACTGTGATGGTGATTCAACTCGCGGTGGGTGAATTGTTCCGCTTAGATGAAACCGTGGAATTAGGAGAACGGGTACGCTCCAACCGCTACGATCCCCCGCTTTGACGATGAATGCTTAGAAGTTCTCAAGTCTGTGATCGCTCGAAGAAACAGACCTACGAGATAATGTAGATCGCAGGTCTGGCGAGAAGAAATATCGGTCATTACCACCCTGGTACGCCCTGAGAACGTAACTGGGTGAGGGAACCTCCCCTAAAAGCCGCCTCACGCTCTCAGATAAATAGGAATCTGACGGTTGGCCCATAAAATCTTCGGCCAGGGCTTAGACGGCCGATTGAGAACGGTGAGCAGTGAGGGTGGGGCGATCTAAGCATTGTTTCTTAGCTGGGAGATGGACCAGACCCCGCAGAAATAGTCCTAGCCCTATCTGCCAAACGCCTGGCACAAGCACGCTTTGTAAGATTTTAAACGCCTCATTAGACAGACCTGAACACTTAGGACAGCGTGTGTCCCAGTCACAAACACCCACACAATCAACACACGATGTGTGAGGGTCCCATGCTGAAAATACTTTATTACAACGGACGCAAAACTTCCGTTTACTGGCCTTAACAGGCTTAACCATTTTGAGCAATTCTCAGACGAAAATTTTTCACGTCCACTCAGTGGAGCGACAAGAAAGAGAATGAGTATGTGAGGTGATCACGTGGGTGAGGACTGCGCATGCCTCGTGCTGTCATGGACTAGTGAGCACGACTGACACAGAAGGCACGCACAGCACGGGAGAGGGGCAAGGTAGGCCTTGGAGCAAAGTTTTAATTCGTTTCCACTCATGGTCGAATGAAGAGAGAGAGGTGCAAGTCGTGAGATAGGATAAGTTTAAAAATAAAGAGTTATCCTGGACCCCCAGTCCCAGCTCACCATTCAGCTATGACAGCTAATTAAAACTAATGCCACATTTCTTATCAACATGATTTTAGACCAGACTTCTCCTTGGGGGGATGTTGAAAATGGTTAAAAATAATAATAAATAAATAAATTCTGGTTTATTTCCCACATTTTAAATATTATTGTGACTTTCTCTCGTGATTCATTATAATTCAAAGCATTTCAAAACAATTCATTTTTTAATATTTTAAATAATCTACTTATACTTTTAGAGACAATAAATAAGTTGTCCTTTTTAACATGTTAAACATGTTTAGGAAGATAGAATAAAAAGACCACTACTTTTCATTTTTCATAAGACTTCTGATGATGCACAAAAAGTCTGGTACCAAGACATGTTACAAGACATTTATTCTTGTAAAAATAATCAGAAAGCATCAAGACACTCGGTCAATCTGTCAATTATATTAATTTATATCACATGAAGACATCATGACATTGGATGAAGCTTTCAAGTATATTTACAATAAATGCTGAACAATAGGCCTACTTCTACATCTTTCTTAGGAAATACTTTCTGTTAGGGAATTACTTGGCTTGGCTGCTCTCCATGGTTCTAATTATTAACAAATAAGAAATCAAGTTTGCTTCTTGCTTGAATATTTAGAAAGGTCAATGACTAGTTCTGCTGAAGTATTTGGCTAAAACTTAACTGGGGATCAAGGTAAACTTTGACAAAACAATAGTGCAATGTTGGGTCAATATACATGACATTCCATAGGCTTTACATGAAGTAAGGATTCACACAGGATACTTCCCACAAATGTACAAAGATTGAGAGAACAGAGTAACAAACATAAGTCTGCCACAGGGGCTTCATACGAGAATTAACTTAATATCTGAAATTCTTTTCCTGAATCACAGATTTTAATGTAAAAATACATTTGAACATTACTTGTGGATTAATAATTAATATGTATCTGTACATAAAAACACATTCAATTTCTGCAACTTCAAATTACGTGCAGCTTGGACTCATTTTTGTTGCAACAGATCTGCCAATTTTCACTAACAGCAAGTGCCTCATGTAAGACTGAAGGTGTAGCATGGGTGGAGAGGTCTCCACAGACACAATGTATTATCCTCAGACTAGTCAGTGCTTGTCCAACTACCCAACACCATTCTCTAACATTCAGAACCACAGTCAACACACAAAATACACAGATCCAAGTTCACTATACATTCAGGGGAGAGTGTCTTTTTATCGCAAAGCTGATTTACCTCCCTTTGCAAATCACCAAAAAACCTTGATTTGAAAATGTCTAAACATTATTACTTAAACAGAGATATATCACATCTCGTTTTAAAGTCAACACTTTCATGGCTGAAGCAAAACGTATTTGATGTAAAAGTGGTTGTCCCCACCAATAGCTATATTTAGAAACTGGAAATACAGTAAAGACATTGTACAATCACACATGCACCTGTTTTGAACAGATCAACTACTGACCGAACATCTGCCAGAGAGTTGGTTAAAATCTGTGTTCAAAAGATTGGTGCATAGATCAGGGTTGGACTACTTTAAGCAGGCAGCTGAAGTCTGATCTGAAAACAAGTAGCACATAAAATATTCCCTTCTCCGTAATGTCGCCACCATCCACTGACAGCCTCCATCACGTCCAAACAAACAGTTCCAAGTTTTCCAGTTCTTTCTAACCATCGGTAAAGTCCACAAACCTTCCCGCTGTGATTCAATGTTGATAATCCAATAAACAAGCAACAACACAGGAATCGTCCAACTGAGATGAATATTCACAAGCTCTGTATGAATATTTAACAGCTAGTTATGAATATTCAAGAGCAAAGACACAACTCCTCTTCTTCCACAATCCCTGGGGTACATACAGATGGGATAAATATGGCCTCTGCGCCCAAAAGTCTTCACAGAATTAATATCCAAGTCTTAGAAAAAAACAAAAACATTTTTTTGTCTTTATCATATAAATATGTACATATATCTTCACATTAGGTTTATTCTTGGACATATCCTTCTTCAAACTGCGACAAAGTCCAAGGAAATGTCTGTATTCTCTCAGGCTACATATGTGTACACTTTTCTGCAACAAAAGAAAGGACAGCATATGTAGAACTATAACAGGAAAGTCTTATAACAAATTGTGAGATCAATATGTGATGCTTTGTCAAAACATGTATAGGTATTGAGGAATCTGGGGCTCAACTTAAAGAAGTTGGGTGTAACTTGCACCAGGTGCATGTTGACATGAAAACAGTGTTGCAGCAAACAAAGCCAGTAGGCACCCTGGGCCTCCTTTCACAAAGCACTAAGGTGATCGCAAGTCGCTGAAGTAACCTTAGTGCAATGTTAAAGAATGGGAGTTACGGTTAACATTAGTAAAGGTTGCTTCGTGAAAGGAGCCCCTGGTCCCATAAATATTTCAATGCTGCTCTAGGCAATATCACAGCAACATCATGAAGGTGGATATCACTAATGAACTTAACACATTGTATCTGGACATTCAACTTGAAACGGCTTTAACTGACCCTCAAAGCATCAGAGCACAACATGGTGTGCAGTGTCATAATATTTAAGTTAGTTAAGAGCCCTGAGCCAGGACAAAGTGATCTTAGCAGAACAACTGGCATAAGTCTGTTCAAGAACTGACTTGAAAAGTGTCTGGTCAAGGAAAGGAATGAAATGATGGATCCAACCCTCCTGCCAAGACCACTATAAATATCACTCCTGATGCCACACGGATAAATAGCCTGGCAGTGTACCACAGTAATGTCTGTGATTTCAGCCACACATTCAGTCATCTTGGCTCTGCTTATCTGAGTGGATAATGTAAGGCTAGACATGGCAGTAAAGTTCTCAACACAAGTTGGGTCTAGAAGCCATCTGTTTAGTAAAGACTGCCGTGTTCTTTCCTCACCTGTCTTCTGTAGATCGGGCCAGGTATTCTCTCTCTATCAAGCCCTCTATCCTTTTCTTTATAATCACCGGACTTGGCAGGAACCGAGGCTTCAGCATTTCCGTACACTGGAATAATAAGATCAGACAAATGTCAGTATACTTCTCATTCCTTGAAGGAGGAGATACAAGCACTTCAGTACACACATCAACAAATTCAATCAATTTCACAAATTCTTTTGAAAACAAAAACATATGCAGAAGCATCCATGCTTGTACTATGAAACTGCAGAAAGCACACAAGAGAATCTGCCACTATAGATCGCGAAGTGGGAGACTGACATGGTCTACTCACCTCTGCTACTAAAACATTGTGCTGCAGCTTCTTCCTGGCTTTCATTATACGAACTATAGCAGCTTCTATTGTAGGAAAGGTTAAGGAGAAACTCAAAGTATTCTCTTGCAAAGGATACAAGATTCAATACATGAAAAAACAATGTTTAACAACAAAATCTTACACACACTCCCAACTGTCACACATCATATTAAGAACTTGAATTCTGAAAAGATGATCTGGATCAGTCTTTTGTGCATTTGTACTGGTGGGGAGGCTATTGATAAACTGTCCCTAAAACACATTTTACATAAGCTACTGGTCCCTAATGAACTGGGGACCAGTTGGAATTAATTAAACGTGTAAGCCTTCAGATGTGGTGCCTTCATATTACTGGTACATATTTTAGACTAAGGGAGATATACTGATGAGGATGTATTCCTTTTGCCAATAATGATAAGCATAGGTTACAGGGGTCAGACCCAGGCATTCTGAAACGGTGAACCAGCAGCTGTAAGTGAAATCACAAAGATTATGGTCACACAACTTGACTAAAGTCCTGTCAACTCTAACTGTTTTGAAAACGTATCATGAATTTTACACAGCAAGAATCAAGGCTCCACTGAAGTATTGTGTATGTGTTGGTTGCCTACCACTGCTGTCAACAATATTCCACGTACAAGATAACAGCCTGTAAATAATCAAGAAGATAATCCAGTCACTGATATTATGAGCACTCCGATTCAACGAGACTCCTCCTTACAACTGGTAGAGGTGACTAGGGGATGAATACAAACACGGAGTCCCTAAAGGGGACAAGAGTGCTTAACCATACACTACAGTACAGTACAGAGAAAAGCAAAGGATATTCATGTTTCCTATCCTCATCCACTTTGTTTCTTGTCTCCTTCCTCTCTGGTTCTGCTTCTCCCTTGTTGGCCGCAACTGAAACAGGCAGGAATCCCATTATAAACACAATGGTGATACAGTCATGCTTGCGGATACCAAGCAGATGTGTTCCAGATTTAACCCAATCATACCATGCACATTTGTTTGGGTACTTGAACCAGTCTAGATTTATGTTGGGTTTTAATTGTGCTAGGTGTAAACTGTGTGTTCTGACTAACTGCTTTCTTTTCTACTTACCCATCTGTATCTTTACTCTGAATAGTTTGGACGAGAACTGATCATTGACTGTGAACAGGTGGTTAGGTTCTGAAACAAAACATCCCGGAGGTGATAGCAACTGTGATAGATAATGACAAAACAGGCTGTGATGGCAATACTAGCAGATGACATTCAATGATACAATCACTTTATGAAACAAATTTTCCCATATCAGGGATACACATGGCCATAAGTCTGTTAGTCCCAAGACAGGTATCAATCTACACAGGCTAGTTGTTTAATCTCGAAATCCAGTTACTTCACACAACCAAAAGTAGGAAACGAGATGTTTGTAATGCAGCACATGAAATATTTTCAAGTCATCACTGGTTGCTCTCAACCTGCCTCAAGTTTCATACTGAAGGACTTACTGAGAGAGTGAAGTAATGAGTCTCTTATATTACCATGTGTCAGCATAGGTTTGGAGCAAAGCATGAAAATGTCAGATGCCAGGCACTCACCTATATCTTTAGTCTTGGGTTCCTTGTGTAGAACTCGCTGAGCTATTTTACCTACAGCTAGTGACTGTAGCGCTCTTGTCAACTCTCGTTCAGGGATATCTGTCTCATTCTTTACTTCCTGCAAATAAAATGCTCATATGCAGTATTTTGTTATATTCTGATTCTGACAAAGTCATGTCATTAGATGTTGGCAACTTATCTCTTAGCTTATGTTTCAACCTATGCATAGCAACTTCAATAATTATCCAAAGGCAGTGTCTTGACTGGCTAGATGCAAAACTATTAACTGACTTCATACCAGTCAATAAACAAACTCACTTTGTACCAGATGGTTTCAGTAGATATAATAACTCTCTCTTTACTGGTGTCTTTGGAACTTTAGTCACTTTAAAACTTGACTGCAGATTAGCATACCATTTGCATTTTTGCAGTAAAACTTTTAACGTTTACAAAACTTTGAGGCATGTCAACTGTGTACATTTATCTCAACGTGGGTGCCAATATCTCATACTAGTGGTTATAAGGTAACACTGTCTGAAGTGTTACACCTGGAGAAGCACGCACAAACAATGCTATCTAACTATGTACCTCGTACGTCCACTTGTCCCTATTATTAAACAGCATGAGTATACACATCTGGTACGTGGACACCTGCAGGATGTGCTTCCGGGGCCCCTTGGCGGAGCTGGCCGCACTCATCTCTGACGGTTCCTCCTTTTTGGGGCCATAAAATGTTGCATGTAAGTCTGCTGATCCCAGGTGTGGTTGAAGTGTGAGTTTACGGCCACTGTGTTTTGCTAAATAAAACCTGAAACAGATGGTTACAGTGGTAACTTCTGGGTATTTACCATCACACTCAACATGGTGAATTAGTAAGTCAGTTGATAACTAATGTCCCAACACATTGAGTGCAGGAAGCTGGGTGTTGGCTTACCTTCTGAATGCCTCGAACGCCGTCCGTGGAGCATGGGGGATGTTGCAGCTGGGTGTGGCAGACTGTGTGGGCCAGAAGCCAGCTGTTAACACTCGCACAGTCAGGTCCACTCCGCACAAGTTCACCTGGAGACAGCAACAACATCTTAACACTGCCTGCTTTTATACTGTTGTCAAGTGAGATACATAACTCGGAAATATTTACAAGCAGGCACAGACTGGACACTGTAATTCATGCTGGTGAATACAATTAGTCTTTCCTACAGAAGTAAACATGATTTTTTTTTAAAACAAAAACATGCCTCAACTATATTCAGAGTGTTAGCTAAGGCTTAGCTATGGGTTTTATGCTAAATCTGGTCCTCTGAACAGGACTCGGTAAATCTGTAATTACTATTCAGTGCAGCTTGATGATTAACAGATCACTTGTTGCTTGTGGGGTTTCTGGAGTTTGTTTTGTCTGCTGTTTGACATCTTACAATACTTCAGCTACATCACAGCATCCTGTAATAATCCACTCTGGACCAGATGTCCAGAGACTGACACTATGAATGATTCATGCAGGTTGCTTCTACAACCAAGATAATTTGCTTGCTAATTCCCACCCTGACTCCCCTATGCAGTAATCCCTACTGTGACAAAATGTGAGTGTTCCAACACAAGATGTCTGTCTGACCTGTGCCTGTGTGACGAAACCCTTGAACTCTTCATTGATGGTGTTGGAGACGGTCATATCCTTGAACATCCCTTCTAGCTTGGATGTGAACTGGCACCCACATTCCGTCTGAGGAAAAGAAGACACCAGCTTAGTTAAAAACAGAAGACGACAAATCCCCCCGGCCAACAAATTTGAAAGAACAAATCATTTGACATTTACTTACAGTCCAACTTGATTTTTTTAAGACTAAGTCCAAATCGTTTCCATGGAAATCATGGAATTATATATGCCCAAGAGTCGTGCTCCGGAAATGAAGCCCACCCCTCCCTTTTCAGACTAAGTCCAAAACGTTTCCATGGAAACCAAGAAAAATAAAAATGACAAAAATCTGCAAATAGCAACAGGCACCACCTTAGTATCTGTTTGATAAATCTTCAAAATTTTGTTGAATATTCTTGAACGTTTTTTGAGTTATGCTCCGGAAACAAAGTGATTACAGACGTATGCATGGAAAGACAGACGAGGTGTCGACTATATCCCCCAGCATTACATAACAAGCCCATCACTGCATCCATCTTAGTGGCAATGACACAGAAAACTGACACAGTACACAACGTAAATGAAAATCCTCACTGCATACCATTTAATACATTTCCAAAATGATCACGTATATTTCAATTCTGTACATCTGGATTAAGCAATGATTGTTACATCCTCTTCAAAAGTCACTCTAATATGGCAGTCTTAGACTAAATTGTGAGTGAGGGAATGAATTTTTTAGTTTTGCGCCGCTTTTAGCAATATTCCAGCAATATCCGACGGGGGACACCAGAAAAGGGCTTCACACATTGTACCCATGTGGGGAATCGAACACGGGTCTTCGGCGTGACGAACGAACACTTAAACCATTAACCACAAGGCTACCCCACGGCCCCCTACTAAATTGTGATTCCAAACAAAAATCCAACAATGGTACTCTCCATTAACGAGGAACAACTCGTTATAACTGAACCAGTCATCAAGGCATGAAAAACAAACATTGTAAACATTTTTGTTTCGTTCATGCAGGGATAGTTACAAGGAGGACTAATAAAATTCCTAAGGTTGTTACAATAAGGATCATAGCTGCATAGTCAGTCGTTCATACCTTGAGCTTGGAGATCATGTTTTTCTCGGAGTCGTCGGACACGCTCTTGTTAAGGAGCAGGCGCCGTGCCAGATGCTGCTTGTAGTATCGTTCAAACACATCTTTCTCCTGGAGGTAACGGAACAGCACCATGCTCTTGTCCAGGACATTTTCAATCTCCTGCTCTGTCATCTGTGTACACACAAGTGAAAAATGAAAAACAGACCAAAACAGCGTGATCAAAACAAAAACGGTACCTGTAATTGTCACAGGCGACTATGCATTCATACAGTCTACTTGAATCGGTTACAACCTGACAAACAAATGACTGAACCGGTATGGACATACTCAGTATTCAGCAGAATGTGTACTCATGTGTGATACCACTAGCATGGAGTTGAGATCAAGTTTGGTTTTAAGCTGTTTCAAACAGTATTTTAGTAACAACAGAGGGTGTCAGCTTGTCTTGACAGTGCTCTGGATGCGCGCATTCTTACATATATCTCTTACATGCTTTACTATCTTTGACACTATAGATAATTCATAATCTTCATAACCTTATTTCTATTCTGTGAGGAAGTTTGAAAAACATTATTGCGTGGCATAACAGAGAAAGCATTGGTGTTGATTAAGGTCGCACCACAGTGAGCTACTTCACACTGCTGATCTTACCCCTTTGACACCCTTCTTGAGCTTGTCATCGATGAAGAGTGACAGGTACTCTGGGGATTTGGAGTTCAGGTTGATGAAGTACTCGAAGTCACTGGATATCATCTGCTTGAACAGTTTATCGTCACTGAATGACTCGTGAAGAAAGTGATCAAACCGATCCTTCAGATCCAATAAACTCTGTGATAGAAAGAAAAGCAAGCTTAGTGTCTGACTATTTACACATGTATGTATGTTAATAATACGAGTACATACCATCAACCATGGTATTGTTTCACAAAGCGATCAGAGGGTGCATTATAATTAGCATAGTTTGACATAGGCTTATGCAAGTGCTTAGTGCAAAAAATTTTAACCAAACCTGAAGAGGTTTTCAATTCTTTGAAGAGAGTCGACCTTGGGGTACATATATGCATTTTCTGCGCTGAAAATGTCCTGTGACAGTTGTATCAATGTTTTTTAATAAAAATATTGTACAATAAATAGAATCTTTTTATTTATTATACGGCCCCCACCTCGTGGAGTTACCTCCCGTTACGCATGCGCAGCCAACTGGGTAAGCACCTAGGCCCGTATCATCATTCCTTCTGCTGAATAAATCAGTGAACAGAATTGCAGGGAGGCGGGAGGCCCTACCTCAAGGACGACTCTCTTCAAAGAATTGAAAACCTCTTCAGGTTTGGTTAATTCTTTTTCATAGAGATCGTCCTTGGGGTACATATATGCATAAACACAGACTCCCAAAGACCGGAGGCCAGGGAGGAGGGAATTCTGTCAAAGTACACACAAATAGCGATCGTTAAGAATAATGTAACATACCCCATAATCACTCACCTGTCACATGTCCCCGCTTGAGCTTCCGCGAGAGGCATGATGGGAGGGTAACCGACAGGGAGGAAAGGTACTGAGAGTCGACCTGGCAGGTTAGCATAATGAGAACGCACATAGTGCGAACGTAAACAAACCCCACCCACCTTATGGTCTATAGAGAGCACCGTAGGGGGGAAAAAATACTCACTACCGACCATAATCTCTGTAGAGAATCGAAAGGAGGTTATAGTCCCAGCAGCAGACATATCAATAAAACACAATATTGAACAGCAGCGTCAACTAAACCAGATAACCAAGACTCACTCGGTCAGGGTGGCAGGACGCTGTCCACTGGAGAGAACAGAATGGCCAAAGCTCGCACGATTACGTCAATGTGTATCGAGCTGATAGTGCCGGATAAAAGTGCTAGGTCGGCTCCAAATAGCGGCAGAGCAGATCCCTTCAATGGGGAGTGCCGATGCAAAAGCTTTTGACGTGGCTACTGCCCTGACCGAGTGAGCCTTCAACCCCTTAGGGGGAGGCTTGCCCTTAGCCTGATACGCAGCACAAATGACCGAGACAAGCCAGCGAGACAAAGTCTGCTTGCTTGCCGGTACCCCAGCCTTCCCGCCACCGTAACAGCAGAACAGATGGGTACCCGTACGGATCCCCTGTGTTCGTTTGATATAGACCTTGAGAGTCTTACGGACATCCAACGGGTGAGTGCTCGTAGGAGAGGTCCCCGATGTGGAAGGCTGGGTAAGAGTAGGAAGTTCGATAGGAGCTGTCACATGGAAAGCGTGATTGACCTTCGGGCGGTAAGTATCCGGGAGGCGAATACTGACACGATCAGTGTGAAACACAGTCAGAGCCAGGTCGGACGACATAGCATGTAAGTCGCCAACCCTACGCCCAGATGTTACCGCCACCAGAAATACAGCCTTCCATGTTAACAACTGAATGGAAATAGCTGATAGACGTGAGAACGTAAGACCGGACAGCCAATCTAGCAGGATTGACAAATCCCAAGGTGGGCTGGTTCGCCTGACAGCAGGTCGAACCCGATCCGTGCCAGCTAAAAAGCGCTGCGGCACGAGAGGGTGCTGCCCCAGAAGAGCACCATCGACAGGGGTGTGAAAAGTGGAAATAGCGGTGGAGTAGCCACGAATGGTCGAAGCCGCCAAGCCTTCTTCCAAACGAGCTTGCAAAAACTCCAATACTCGGACTAAATCCGCAGAAAAGGGATCTGCAATCCCCTTATCTGAACACCAGCGCGCATAGCGGGACCACCTATCCTTATACTGAACGTTTGTCGAATCCCGCCTCGAAGCCAGAATTGTGTCTGCAACTGCTGCAGGAATTCCGCGTGCTTCGAGGCTAGACCTGACAGAGGCCAAGCCACCCACTGAATCCTTGGATTGGGGTATGGCGCGCCGTTCTGAGGGAGAATGTTTGTTCGCAAAGGTAATAGAACAGGAGGCTGAGGCCGAAACCAGCTCTGTGACGGCCATAGCGGTGCCAGTAGCACAAGTAGCCGAGCTGGCTTGGTGGACAGCTGGGAGAGGACCCGGGGAATGAGTGGTAACGGCGGGAACGCCCAGAGCACTTTGCCCGTCCAATCCAGCAGGAAGGCGTCGGCAGCCAACGCCCTCTGGTCAGGTATTCGAGAGCAGAACACGGGTATCTGATTGGACGCAAACAGATCCACCTGGAACGATCCGTACAACTGGGAGATAACTCCAAATATCTGCCGGTCAAGCATCCACTCGTGCGGGGCCAGGATCCGGCGAGAGAGAGCGTCTGCTCGCACGTTCTCCAGCCCCGGGAGATGAACAGGAAGCACCTGACAGTCGCACTGGTCGTACCAGAGGAGAAACTCCCACGTCTCCGGGAGGAGCGCTAGGGACACTGTGCCGCCTTGCTTCAGGATGTACGTCATGGCTGTACGGTTGTCCAACTGAAGACGAACCACCTGGCCCTGAACATGCTCCCGGAAGCGCTCGAAAACCAACCGCACAGCTCTCAGTTCCAAGACGTTGATGTGAAGGCGGGCTTCGGCTTCGGACCAGAGCCCGGACAGCGACAGACTGCCCAGAACACCCCCCCAGCCCGTGAGGGACGCATCGGTTTGACGTGTAAGAGCTGGCGTTTCCAAAGGGATCCCCTTCGAGAGATTCCCGACATTGGTCCACCACTGAAGGTGAGGAGACAACCACCCGGGGACTGTGAAACTCTGCTCCAGATCCTCCGAGTGAGCCCACAGACTCGCCAAAGCTTGCTGTATAGGGCGCATCCTCAACTGCGCCCGCCACACTACAGAGATAGTCTCCGCCATATGGCCCAGTAGACGGAGCCAAGACCGCGCTGGTGCCTGGGGCTGGGAGAGCAACGAAGACACCATCTCCCGTACTCTGGTGACCCGGTCGGGCGACAAGGAGACAAGGTGCTTGTGAGTTTGAAACCGCGCCCCGAGAAAAAACAAATCCTGGGTGGGTACCAGGTCGGAGTTCTTGAGGTTTATGATCCACCCCAGTCGAACTAGAATGTCTATCTCTGTGTGAGTAGAATCTAGGCTCACTGGCTGAGTTAGCACGCTGAGCAACCAGTCGTCGAGGTAAGGGTAACAACGCCTTCCTTGCGATCGACCGAGGGTAGCTGGCACTAACATGAGCTTGGTGAACACCCTGGGGGCAGTGGATATGCCGAAGGGGAGCACTGTGAATTGGTAATTCATCCTGTCATAAGAGAACCGGAGGTACTGCTTGAACGATGGATGAATGGGCAGATGTAGATACGCATCCTTTAGATCGACAGACGGAAAGCCAATTGCCGGGCTGAACACAGGAGATCACAGAGCGAAGTGTCTCCATCTTGAAGAATGGAACCTCTAGCATGCGATTCAACCCCTTGAGGTTGAGAATGGAAGAACCCACTGTCTTTCTTCGGAACGAGGAAGTACGTGGAATAAAATCCCGCCTGTGCCTCGCCCCGGTTGTATGCGCTCTATTGCGGACTTATCCAGCAAAGCCTGAACTTCGTCGCGCAGTATACCCACCCTGACCTGACATGGCGGCACTGGAGTTCAACGTATGCCGGTGAATTCTGGCGGGCCTCGCTTCCACAGTGGTAGATTGCCGACACTGACAGTGGAAAGCACCCAAGTGTTGCTGGTAGCCTTCTCCCACTCCGGTAGGAATAGAGAGGGGCGCCCCCCCACTGGGACGTGTGGTAAGAGAGCGTGAGTGGTCCTGAGTAGATGAACTGACTGGGACAAACCCACGGCGACAGCCTGTTAACGGGAGGTCGGGGCAGACGAAGAGGACTGCTCCTTGCCCTTACCCTTGGCGGGACAGCTCCTCCGCCTGCCCCTGCTCAGCGGCCTAAGCCAGCCGACAGACTCGGGTGTAGGCTACACCCCGGAGGAGGAAGCCGTGATGGGAGCGCGGGGGTGAGAAGCCCGCAGGTGTTCCAACAAGGCCTTAGAATCCTTGAAGGAGGTAGCTGCAGCAGCAGCCTCCCGTATGATCTGCTGAGCCCCAGGAAACCTCGCTCCCAGACGGAACAAAGGCCAGCAAGGTCTGCTGTGTAGCTGCCGAGTAGCGAGACGTCGACAGCCACAGCTTGCGCATCCCCATGACTGCGCACATCACCGTAGACGCCACTGACCCCAAGGAGTCGCGCTAGGTGGGCCTGAACTTCGGATAACTGGTGTAGGAGAGCTACATGCGGGTACACGTCCCCAGCGTTCCCCTCAGCCTCCAGGGCCAACCTCTGAATAGAGGAAAAGTAGGCCTCGTGGATCACCACCCGCACCTGCTGCATGGCATTCCGATAGACCTCCTCGTAGGTCCAGTAAACTTTGCTGCAGGGGGGTCCACAAGGGCAAACAGTGGCACTCAATGCCCTAGCTTGCCAGCCTAGGCTGCACCAGAGGAAGCCGAGCCTCCCCCAGGGCGACCGAAGTAAACACACACTCGTCGACCACCGGTACAAAGAACAGTGAATCGTCCCCCAGCTGGTACCTCTTGACAAGTTCGGGCAAGTCGAACGGGGCGTGTCCCAACCAGGAGGGGATCCATCACCTCCTGCACCAGGGACGGCAAGAAGCGGAGCAGTGTCTGCGAGGGTTGCCTAGGAGCAAACTCGGACTCAGATGAGTCCCAGTGACTGGTAGGTACCGCGGCCTGGGGAATAAACTCGGCAATACGTTGCCGTACCTCCCGCAGAGCCGTCGAGAAACGGAAAGTGTCCTTGACCTCCCCAACGTCCATAGACTCTGCACCCGAGCCCGAGTCAGAGGCTGGGTCTCCTCGCGAAGAGGACCCGAACCCCGACCTGGTGGGAGGCCTAGCACCAGACACAGAAGGGAAGGGAAGAGCTGAAGGAACTCCCAGCTCCAGCACCCGACACCACACTCGAACCCCGGTCCCGAGACACGGGAGGAAGACCAGGGAGGAAGACCGCTCTCATGGGGCGGGCCGGGGCGGCGCAGGGACCGGAACCCCAGGAATCCTCAACGGAGAGGGGGAGGGGGAGCGAACCCTCCCCCTCTGGGATAGCCGAGGCAACGGATCTACAGACGCCTACAGGCTAAGGGATCGATCCCATCCCCGGAGTCTCCGTCGCCTGCTCAGAGTGGGCGAGGAACTCCGGCCGGAGACCTACAACCGACTCATGAACAAGAAACTTCACTGAGTCCATGTGCTGCTGAAAAAGTTGCATGTCAAACCCGCTGTGAGATGGAGTAGGCGCCTTAGGTGACAGCTTTTTTGCCGGTTTCAGCCTTTTTTGCTTTAGACGGGGGGACCTTCTGGGTCAGTTCCCCTCCTGGCTCTCTCAGTTCTCTATAAAAGAGAAAATCCGCCGCCCTCCGTTTCTGGGCCCGGGGGGAGAAGCCCATACACAGCTCGCAAACGTCGGATTATGGCCGACTTTTTCAAGACAACATAAGCACTTGTCGTGCTGGTCAGCTCGGGGAATGCTCTGTCCACAGACAGAACATCCACTAAACGCCTGAAAGCAAACACGCAAGCATGTAGCTAACAGTGGAGCCAGCAGCGAAAATATACACGTAGAAAACACTGAAAATTACGTGAATGCGACCACGGGAAGAAATACTTGGTTAAGAACACAATATGACAACCACGTGGCACGCTTAAACTTCCTGCCATGGAAAAGCAACACGTGTGTAAACCACGGAAAGCTAGCATAAATTTAATACAAAGTCACAATTATGAGAAATAACCCACTGCAAAAGTCTTATTAACTGTTCCGTCAAGGACAAATAAAGACCATACATACAGGTTTGGAAGTCTCAGACATTATTCTCTTTACCGTAGAAGACAAGGTATTCAGCTTTGCAACTCGACACGTCTGTACAGTGGAGTGACAGCAGAAGGAATGATACGGGCCTAGGTGCTTACCTGGTTGGCTGCGCATGCGTAGCAGGGAGGTAACTCCACGGGGTGGGGGCCGTATAATAGATAAAAAAGATTTTATTTATTGAACAATATTTTTATTTAAACATTGATACAACTGTCAGGACATTTTCAGACGCAGAAAATGCACATATGTACCCCAAGGAGGATCTCTATGAAAAAGAATAGATAGCTTTGAAAAGTTGGGCTTAAGTTAAAGAGCCTGATCAGTTTGGCTGGCTCCAACAAACAGCACAGAAACAGCACCCCCTTCTCTAACCTGAAGGTATGTAACGACTATTGGTATATATACAGTGACATTCTCCTCTATTACCCCTTCGGATTCCCCAATAAACATATATAGTGACCTACTCTGCCCACCTGTAACTATGTGATGTCATTTTCTATCCACTCTTATGTAATTGCATTCTCCACCTGTGTGTAATAACATTCACCTGTAACTGTGATGTCATTTTCTATCCACTCTTATGTAATTACATTCTCCACCTGTGTGTGTAAAAACATTCACCACCAATCTGTAAGCAATCACACTCTCTGCCCACCTGTAACTCTGTGATAACATTTTTCATTCACCTGCATTTATGTAATTACATTCTCCACCTCTTTGTGTCATATCACTCTCTCTTCGAAGTTGTATGTAATCACAGTCTCTACCCACCTTCCTGAATGTTTCCAGTGATTTTCCCCACTCACCTGTATGTATGTAATGGCATTTTTCCCCTCTTCTCCCTCTTCCACTACCAGGGCACGACCTTGCTCTCGTAGATACTTGCTGATGCATTCACACATCGTCTTCAACCCGAGTGGTACCCGTATAAACAACTTGTACATGCATGCCAAGTCTGAAACCACACAAACCAATGTGATAAAAAAGTCTAAAACATGCTGATTGGTCTTCATTGTGTATATGTGAACTTTAGCAATTTGTCACTTCATGTCACAGTACAGAGAGATGGAAAGCAGCACCAGCCTGCAGGACCAGTCTTGTTATTAATATCGAAGGCATCCTAAGGGCTGGTGGAATTTCAAACATTTTGGTTTAAACATATCTTTATTCCTGGTTTGGTAAACAAGCAGAACTCTGCTTATATCAATTCCTCACCAGTACATATATCATTTAAACAAAATACACAAGTACTGGATACAAAAACCGACAAATTAAATCATATATGTGCGTTGTAGGTGCTTATAAACATTGAGCCTGCAGCTACACTTTCAGACATTTTAGGGTAGGGGTGGTGGGGTGGGTATTGCCCTATGATATCACTATTCAGGACGCAAGATGCTCTTGGTTAAAAGTCTGTAAAAGTCCAAGCTTGATCTAGTAGAATATTGCCCACTATTCCCTCAATACTAAAAGAGCTGCACAGATTGCTTATCCCCATTTCTTAATAATTTCACCACCACAGGCTCCAGAATATATGATGCTGATGACAGGCAGAGGTTCCAGGGAATCTTGACTAAGTTTAGTAATAGGAACAGTGCAAAATGAGGCATACACCTTTCAATGTAGATTCTTACACCGTTATCAACCTAAATATTTCCATTTGTGCATAACATAATATTTTCCTCCCGATTTCCCTGCCAGTTTAAAATCAATAACCAAACCTCCCGGGTACTGATCTGGGGTCCGATCCACACAGCATTCACAGCACTACATCATTCGGTATCCTCCAATAAACTATATAGTTGTGATAGCTCAAAATGCTACAAGGGAGTGAGTTTAGTTTTACGCCGCACTCAGCAATATACCAGTTACATGGCGGGGGTCTGTAAAGAATCGAGTCTGGACCAGACAATCCAGTGATCAACAGCATGAGCATCGATCTGCGCAACTTGGAACCAATGACATGTGTCAACCAAGCCAGTGAGCCTGACCACCCAATCCCATTAGTCGCCTCTTACGACAAGCATGGTTACTGAAGGTTCATTCTAACCCGGACCTTCATGGGCCCATAATGCTATGAACACTTTGTGGATTGGGACCCTGACTGACTTGTTCACTCACCATCTGTTTTGTTATTCTCCAGCATATGTACAACGCCAGAGTTTTCCATCTGAAAAAGAAAGAAGAAAAATGTCTTGAGAATAAGCCCTCTACTAGATATATCCTTCATTTATATGTTTTGGCAATAGTCACACGTCTAACGACACTAATTATATTATGATATTTACGTTTTAGGTTATACTTGACCAGGTGAGCTAACTTCAGCAAAGTACACTTGCCCTATATTTGTCGATCTACAATAGACTTTCAGCTGGTGGTCAAGTTCACGGATTAATAAACAAAACATAATGTTGGTAACTCAACAAAATGCAGTATCAGCATTACAAATGCAAAATAACGATCAATATCTTACCTCAACAATTGTTTTCATATGCTTGCTAATTAGTTCCTCTTCTAAAACCTGCAAGGAAAATGTTCCACAAGGTTAATGACATGTGAAAGGTCATAAACATGCTCCTTTTTCTAACTATGTGACAATATCCTTTATAGAACAGTTAGATGTAATCTGTGCTTTTCAAGGAACAACTTCCTGTTATGAATAGACTGTCTGTGTGATCCCGCAACAGAAATGATTAAGTACCTTGACTATTGGTTCCTCTGTGGACTTGTCTAGATAGTGAGTGGCCCTTTCTGCTTCCTCGTTAATGCGGGCCTCCACTTTCTTAATGTACACAGATGCACTGTTCTCTGCCAGGAACTTCTGACTCTCCAACTGTAACCATAGCAACACAACACAATTGAAAACACAGCAATGCAATTCCTAAAACTTGTGCATGTTCCAGAATCTCAATCTTCTTTGACCTGATAAGGGTTAGTGCATTTTGTTGTTGGGTTGAAATGCGGGCTACCAAACAATTGCCAACACCAAAAGTACTTAAGAGAAGCAACGGACTGCACACAACAGAATGTAACAGAGTTACTGAAGGCTAAAGCCAATGAAATACAAGCAACACTTATCACTGACTGGACAAATCAGGTCTTTCCAAGTGGTTGGCGGGGTGGTGGGATAGCCTAATGTTTAAAGCGTTTGCCCATCACACTGAAGACCCGGGTTTGATTCCCTACATTGGTATAATGAGTGAAGCCCATTTCTGGTGTTACCAAGTGTGATATTGCTGGAATACTGGTAAAAGTGGCATTAACTGAGCTCACTCCACGTAGTCTACTGCTCAGACTCCAACGTACCAACTGATCAGATTCAAATGTACCTGCAGATCAGCCTGCTAGGTGCCAACTAGACAGATTACAAAGAGCTGCATATCAGATTCACATGCACATACAGATGAGTCTCTGTTAGCCCATGTTGGTTCCGCTATCAATAGTCGCTATTTGGGTGAAATAACACTGATGCGACATTAAATTGTAAATTTTACCTTTCTCTCTCCTCTACCAGTAAGTATAGACCACCCGGAAAGGACCCATGAGTGCTGTACATGTTTGTGTTAAGACATATCTGAAGTAATCATCCTCACCCTGTAGAACTCTGCTGACTGTTCTAGGAAAGGTCTTTCAAAGTCTTCCTCGTACACGTTGCGTGAGTCGATACCAAGAACCATCAACATCTGACAAGCGTTCTTCACAGCCCCCCTGGGAATAAAACACAAGGAATGGTCATGATGTGAAATCTTTGAGGACATTGTGTTGGAGATCAGTTTTGCAGACAAGTGAAAGTAGGAAATGATATAGGTTTTGCTGTTGTCATCACTCCTCAGTATCTGAATGAGACCAACATGCACTGATGCTCCAAATACAAATCTGATGAAATGATTTTTCCCACAGTGTCACCATCTGCGTCTCATTCATCACAGTGATCAGGCGTTCATTCTGTGTAAGAATCATTAAGCCCGGAGAATTACATCCAGAAACATAGTAACAAGCACTGACATCACTGTCTCTGTAACATACTAGTATGTTATATGTGGGATTACACTTTCTTAGTAAAGTACAGATTCTAGTACTTTTTCGGGTTGAGTCCCATCCGGGATTCGAATCCACACCCTCAGAGTCAAGCACCTAATCCCCAGCACACATCCACACCCTCAGAGTCAAGCACCTAATCCCCAGCACACAGTCACAGCCACCGTGACTTAGCGGGTTAGGCGGCTGACTTTGTGCGCTGGCAATTAGATGCCTGACTCTGAGGGTGTGGGTTCGAATCCCGGATGGGACTCCACCCAAAAAAAGTACTAGAATCTGTACTTTACTGAGAAAGTGTAATCCCAAATATAACATATGTTACATTTGACCACCTTCTAAATGGCACTGTGTAATCATTGCGTAATCCTCACTGTATCTGGATAGAATACCAGTGAAAGACTTGTCAGTCCATATTTCCCTCATAAACTGCAGATACTTCTTTACAGAGGCAGGGTGGGGGGATGGGGGTCAGACACTTACAGAATTTTCAAAGCTTGTCTCTCAGCATCACGGTCAATGTGTATTTGACCAAAGCTTAAGGTTACATCTCATGTAACAGACTACTGCAGATATCCAATCCGATAATGTATCCTGAGATGAAACACCCAACAAGGCTTCCCATGTCTGAGAGATACATACCAAGGGATAGTCAACTTTGAAGTGATATTTGTTTGCATGTACATACCTGTCTACAACCTCCCCCTTCCGTTCCCGAGCCACCATCTCCAGCAAGGTCGCCTTCAAATGATCCCGGATGATGGGATGCCGGACAACCTGGTCCCGGAATATGATCAGCCCTAGGTTGTAGACGTTGTCAACATTGTTTTGTTGAACATACACTCGGTCCTGGAACACAAACATGGCAGCTAAAAACCCTGTCAAATCAAGAATTGGACTTATCACTAGAGGGAGTTGTTTATCACACTGCACCATGTCAACTTTGAGCTACAAAATTTCTGGGATAACCAAATCCTTGAGACAGAATTATGTTCATAACAAGTGATCCAAATGAAGTCGAAAAGTCAAGATGTGTCCTTGCCAAAGCACTAAAGGTAAAGTCTAGGAATATGGAGGTAATAATAATAATAATAATAATAATAATAATAATGGCACTTATATTGCGCTATATCCACGCCATGAAGGTATGCTCAAAGCGCATTGCCTAAAACAATGGAAACAGAGGCAGTTGAGTTCTCCACAGTGGTATGAGTTATGTATCTTTTAGGTATAGTGCTTGAAGAGGTAGGATTTAAGACTGGATTTAAAAGTTTCAAGAGATGGAATCAACTTCAGTGATTCGGGTAGAGAGTTCCACAGAGTAGCGGCTCAGACAGAAAAGGATCTGGGGCCAAAAGTTTTAAGCTTGGTGACAGGCACCCGAAGGAGCTGTTGTTGACTAGAGCGTAGAGTTCTTGAAGGGAGGTACGAGACAGTCAGATCACTCAGATAGGCAGGTCCAGTACCATGGACCATGTATCTAAATACATATTGATGAAGACCCCAGGACCCCAAGAGTGTATATAACTGAGCACTGATAATAGTGATGGTCTGAAAAGTGGGGTCTAGTCTCACATGGTTTCACAGTGGTTCCACAGTGGCTGTTGCTTACACCAAGATTAAATCTTTGTTATAAAGCTGTGTGGAGCTAATGATAAAGTCTTAAGGGTCCTGCAGAATTACATTCCAGCTTGTAGTAGTGGAATCTTACAAGGATTCACATAATCTACCAAATACATAAATGATTAATAATGGGCCGTGGTGGGCGAGCTGGCTAAGGCGCCACACTAGTGATCCAGCAAATTTGAGGTGTTGGGATCGAGCCCACCTGTGACCGAGTGTAAAAACCTTGAAGTCAACTTTGTGTGCAGACTCTTTCAGTGTTGTCACAACCCCTTGTGTACAGTACACAACCCTGTGCACTTAAAAGAACCCACGAAACCATAGGTGAGTGTGAGTGAGTTTAGTTTTACACCGCACTCGGCAATATTCCAGCTATATGGCGGCGGTCTGTAAAGAATCGAGTCTGGACCAGACAATCCAGTGATCAACAGTATGAGCATCGATCTGTGCAATTGGGAACCGATGACATTTGGCAACCAAGTCAGCGAGCATGACCACCTGATCCTGTTAGTCGCCTCCTATGAAAAGCATGGGTTACTGAAGATCAATAATCAAACCCGCACCTTCATGGGTCGAATCCATGAATATGAAAATCAGAGGCCCAGATAAACTGCGTATCCGGGTAAAATACGCATATAAAATTTCAAATTACGCATTGAAAAATAATTGTTGCGTACCAATTACGCATTATAAATGTTAGATACACAAAAAGTTTTAAAACAAATGCGTACGGAATATATTTATATAAATCGCTTTCGTAATGAAAAAGACATCGATTTCTATCAAGTTGTACTGTAAGTATAGGACAAGTGTTGTACTGTCAGTATAGGATGAACGATTTTTTATGAAATCATTTCCATTATATTAAAGTTGGTTTATATGACATGAGGCAGAACATACCTGATTAGTAAACTTACTCAGTCACATAATACTTAGGTGAGTAAAATGACTGAAACACGCACATATTTGACAGCAGTGGGTAACGGAAAATGAAATACCCACTCAACATTCATAATACCCACTCTAAAAAAAAATACAGTGGGTACAGTACCCACGAGCTAAATCTTATCTGGAGCTCTGTGACAAGATGGTGGCCACATGAATATGCAGTGTTCACGAATGGTGTTTCAAAGTAACAGGACATTGGGTCCTGTAAGTTTCAGATGTCTGTCTGACCCATTGAAAATTCAAAGGACCCATAGAATAAAATTAAACACACATTTCAGATTTAACATTTCTTATAATTGACATTGAATTTATTTATTAACAGCTAACAAGTGTCACATGTCCCAGTCCACCCAGCTGTGAATGTGTACCTCGTAAGGACGAGAAATCCACAACAACTTGACATCCAATGATCGAGGGGGAAAAATACCAGCCGCCTTGAGCGTGTACTACTCTATGCGATATGTGCTTTAAATATCCTATAATAATCTGAGTGTCCACTGCTCTTACCATGTACATGAGGATGTCACGGATCATCACCATGGATGTTTGATGATCGTTCCATGCTATATTGAGGGTCTGCAGGAAGTTGTTGTTGAGGGCCTCAAGAACATCCTCCCGCACCTGAAAGTACCATCAAAATTGTGCATAAAGTAACTGAGATTATACTGAAAAGTACATTAGCCATGACCAAGCTAATCTTCGAACCAATCAACACAATTTAACTAGGGTGACCAAATGTCTGACAGCATCTCACATGAGACACTGACAGAACGACAATTTTTTATGTTAGGGAAGTGTTCATTTCAGAAAGCACCATTGTGAAGTTTTACACACTTTTTGAAAAATAATCAGGGTTTTATGTGCAAATGTGCATCCAGTACACACAAATGAAGAGAATGGATGCAGAAACAAAATTTACAATATTATCAATTGTACCCACACTTTGGTAAATTTTCAGTTATTTCTTTCAGAGCAGTTACATGCATTATTTCATCCATCAGTCCAAATGATCAATGATTCATTGGGTGCTCAAAGGAAAGTATCGAAACACAGAGTTCTCTACACTGTTACTTCACAGGACATTCATATTACCTGCAATGACCCTTGATACTAATAATTGGGGGTGCCTGGGACCCCATGTTTTTGAGTGGAGGTAAAACCCTGATGGTGCAATACTCCTATTATGTACAGGCATATCAATGGTTTCATCAGATAATTTTACATAATGACTGATCTCAGTGATATCTAGTGGTGTTCCGATGATCGAAAATAATTGAAAATTGATCAAAGTTAAAAGTTTATATATTTCGATTATAATCGATAATTGTTCACCACAAGTACTCCAAAATCGATAGTCAAATGGGGTTCTGATTCCCAACACTAGTGACATCTCTTTCATCCTAGGGGTTTACCTTGACCTACACAGCTAGAGGTCCAGATAGACCTGTTACTAATTTCAATGTCCTTACAAGAAATATGTGCTTCTTGTAAAGTAATGGTATTGTGTACCAAGCCGTAACATTTAGTAACTATTTCAATTACAGGGACCGTGCGTTAGTTGCCAAGAATTAAGATCAAAGAATATTATTGTGCATCCGCCGGGACTCATATATTTTTCTGCATCCATTGTTTGTGTGTGCTTATTGGATGCACATTTCCGCATCCATTGTTTGTTTGTGCATATTGGATGCACATTTCTGCATCCATTGTTTGTGTGTGCTTATTGGATGCACATTTCTGCATCCATTGTTTGTGTATGCTTATTGGATGCACATTTCTGCATCCATTGTTTGTGTGTGCTTATTGGATGCACATTTCTGCATCCATTGTTTGTGTGTGCTTATTGGATGCACATTTCTGCATCCATTGTTTGTGTGTGCTTATTGGATGCACATTTCTGCATCCATTGTTTGTGTGTGCTTATTGGATGCACATTTCCGCATCCATTGTGTTTGTTTGTGCATATTGGATGCACATTTCTGCATCCATTGTTTGTTTGTGCTTATTGGATGCACATTTCTGCATCCCATTATAACCTAAAGTAACTTTGCTTGGCGAGTCTTGGTGTTTACACTCATATTCCCAAAGCAGAAATTGATTGAGATTGGGTTGCAAAATTCCATTGGATGAGAACGAGAGCTTCCTGAGCGTTTCATCCAATGAGTGGAGCTATTGGACAACACAGTTTGGTTTCGTACTAATCTCCCATATATTTATCAATGAAGCGAATAAAATGAGCAGGCAAGCACACAAAATACTGAAAACCCACATTATTTTTTCTCTAAAAGACAAAAGAAAATCGATCACTTGAAGAGTAGCAGTGCTATCCCTCAGTCTGATATCTTTCAGTGTATGGAAAATGAATAATCAAAACACGCTCCTTATCATGTAACAAGTGACAGTGTGATGTCAGAGAAGAATGAAACTGTGTTCCTGAATTAACTTGATAGTTTATCAGCCTCCTAGTCATTAACAATTATTATATAGGTAGTATTTTTCCTGTACCACGATTGGTCAAAATACCGTCACATGATTGACTACAAAACACGATATTGACTTGAGTTTTTTTGTTAAATTACGATATTGACTTGGGTTACTAAAAATAGACAAGGAATCCCTTACGAAGGGGCTTCCCCAGCTTTTCAGCCAATCAGATCACTCGGATAGATGGCACAGTGTGTGCATTAAAATTTTATGTTAAAACCCGCTTCTCTTTCATTATATAATAAAACAATTATACAAGAGTCTATAATTGTATATTATAGACTCGGTCGATATTGTTTTACTCAGGTCAATAAAAACCGATATCGACCTCTACAAGAGTCTATAATTGTATATTATTATATAGGTAGTATTTTTCCTGTACCACAATTGGTCAAAAGACCGTCACATGATTGACTACAAAACACGATATTGACTTGAGTTTTTTGATAATTTACGATATTGACTTGGGTTACAAAAATTAGACAAGGAATCCCGTACGAAGGGGTTTCCCCCGCTTTTCAGCCAATCAGATCACTCGGATAGATGGCACAGTGTGTGCATTAAAAGTTTATGTTAAAACCTGTTTCTCTTTCATTATATAATAAAACAATTATAGACTCTTGTAGAGGTCGATATCGTTTTTTATTGACCTGAGAAAAACAATATTGTTTTACTCAGGTCAATGAAAACCGATATCGACCTCTACAAGAGTCTATAATTGTATAATATCATAATCATTTGAACAGATCAGTCACAATCAGCTTAGCAACTTGATCTAAATCCCTGGGATCACATTAAGGACACATCATCTAAAACAGTTATGAATATCATTGGCTTACAACTATACTACAATTGTTTCGAGCCAGTGGGTCCTCTACTCAAGTCATTGTATTATGTTGAAGATGTTTACATTCACCTGATGAAGGAGTAAGAATAATACTCCTAAACATTGTTTTCATAATAATCCAGAAGTTGAGATCCATAAATTTTCACCTTTTCACACTGGGTTTGAAATACCAATGCAGGGGTTTATTTTGAAAGGAATAATAACTAAGTGCTAATGTAGATGAATGATTACTTTGTCCAAATGGGGTTTTTTTTCAAAAAAGTTTTTCTGATCCGTAACTGTGAGGTACTTTGAATTTCATCATTTTATTTATTGAATTAAGGCCTCGTCTCTTCTGTTGCTATGAATGGAAGTCACATCTAGCCCAAACTGTAATAGCATAACCTGGGAAGTTTTTAATGCCAAACGGGAATAGTTTACTGATTTCTGCGACTAGGGTCGAGTAACTGTCTCTAAACAAGTCTAGATAAATTCCTCAAATGCACTGACAAAGCATGATGGCACAGCAGGGATTTACCTTGGCCTATTTAGAGGACGATATCTGGCTCCAAGTCCACAATAAATGATACACAAAAAGTCTGACTAAATGTTTTATATACGTTTATTACACAGAACTAATTTACTGGCTTTGTATAGGTATCATCCACATGTACTTCACCAATGACAAATAGACAAGATACCAATACACAAGATAAAGAGGAAGAGGATTTACTTAATTCATTTATTCCAAACACTGTAATATTAGATATAATTTCCATTCCCTTACATTCAGGCTAACTGATGTTTCCCAACAAAGGAGACATTTAATTAATTGCAAACAGCATAATTTGTTTCTGTATTATATATTGCATAAAAAATCACAAAAAAATGTCTTAGGGTACACTACCCCAACATCCGTAATTCCTAAAGCTATCCAACCCTATTTTTCAGATTGCTACTATCTGAGCCAGAGCATATATTTTTAGGACCTTTTGTGATTATGCAGAAAATAGGATCTGCTTGTATGACTTGTGCCACTCACTGACAATACCCTTAAGCTCCAAATATATTGCAACACAGGCATCTGAATTGCAACAAACTCCAATACAATTTATTTGCCAATACACAGCCCTAATGCATTTGTGATATGAAAAACATACATTGGGTAAGTATGCAGTGATCTCACACTATTGTTTTTATTATTTTTTCATGCATATATCCAAAAGCGGTTACGGTCTAATCCAAATTTTGAGTGGTTCAGTGCTGTGCCTAATTTCAGACTGTGTTCATTAATTATTTATTAATTAAGGGATCAGCTTGTATTGGATTAGACTACATGTTTTCTTAAATAGTTTGAACTCAATTCAGTTCAATTCTTTATTACCTTTAGCTGTACAGCTGATCGGTTTGTTAACATTGAAAATATATGGAAATTTAGACAAATACTTTATATAAATTGAAGGAATTGATTTTGAAGATAATATTGCAAAGTACAATTATCAGTATGATTATACAATCTATACTTAGTTCTTCTTGCATTCAATTCTTGCTTATACCATATATCACCAAAACAAGAGTTGTCAAAATATTCTTTACCTGAAAGGTCCAGTTCTGAACATTATTTGTTTCAACCTCATCATAAAGAATTCATCCCCACGTAAAATATAGTTATCAGTTCCTAGCAGCTTATAATTGACCATATTGAACATCCGTTTGTATTGCAAAGGGATAACCAAGTTCTAGATCATCAACCATACAATTACAAGTTGATTTTTTTACCCCCAATAACTGCTTACAATAATCCAAATGTAATCTTTAAATGTTTTCAGCCTTATGAGAGCCCCATACTTTAGACGTATAGCACAAAACACTTCCAACATAGCAATCGAAAACAGACAATATCATTGATTGTGTTGGACACTTCCTCGGTGTATGGTGATCGTGTGTAACATTCCTACAAGCTGAAAATGTGTCGATGAAATAATGTTTCATTTTGTTGAATGCAGATATAGATATAATATCCTATATATATTTCTCCTTATGGAGGCATTTTATATAATGCATCAATTTCAATTTTGTACAAGAGAAAAAAAACCCACATGTATTTAATGCATCAATTTCTCATTGCATCATATGAGTAGGCAAAGATAAGAACAAAAGTACAACAAAGAGAGTCAAACCATCCAACACGCCCTTTTCTTTTTTGGTATGATCCAATGTTTTGATAACTAATTAATAGCTAAGATCACAGTGCTCATCCATCGAATGCATTTTACTACTCTAAAATCAGAAATTCGATGGATCGTACGCGACCTCCAAAACAACTCAAAATTAATTGGATTGCAGAGAGATAATTGCATATTCTGAAGTATATCTGGGACACTGTAGTTTTAATGTAATTTAGGAAAATGCTTTTGACAGAGCTGTCTGGTTATTTTGCTAGTGTCTATGTCCTGTTGTAGTCATATTTGATTATGTCAGTACACTCATGATGTTGTTACTCATCCCATTACCATGAAATAGTGAACGTTGTCCAGGGATTGGGAAAGGCAGGGGCCATCACAGGCCCTCGTGTCTTTGCGAGGAGTAATGATTAAACAAGCATTGTTTTTGAGAAGACCCCCCGACTCTAAATGCTTCACAGTACAATACATCATGACAAGGCCGGACACTTCGGTGCACCTACCCAACTGCTTTGCCGATCGCTACGCTACGATCGCATGCAATCAATTAAAACTTAATGGAAACATAATCATGGTTGCTTGGCCTATCGTGCACCACTCATGACACCTACCAATTCTTCAATATTTCTGTTGATGCAAGTAGCTGACGATATATCTGCACAAAATGGGGGTGTGGTCAAAGCAAGCCCTCTGGTTGGTCAACGCTGCTAAATCTGCACATTCTTTATAAATTCTCAGGAATTTTTACTTTCATCGACTGCTTGACTTGGAAGAAATGTAAGATTTTTCCAGCAATGGCTTCTCAAAAGAAAGCATCATTTGTAAATATCTCCTTAACAAACATCAACCAACCAGAGGGCTTGCTTTGACCACACCCCTGTTTTGTGCGGATATATCGTCAGCCATTTGTGTCAAGATAGTTTAGTGGAGAATCAAAATCGGGTTTCAATCGACTTGCAGAAATAACAATAAAGAATTGGAAGGTGTCATGAGTGATGCTCGATAGGCCAATCATCCATGTTTATGTTCCGATTAAGTTTTAATCGATTGTATGCGATGGTAGCGAAGCGATTGGCAAAGCAGTCGGGTAGGGTGCACAGAAGTGTCCGGCCTTGTCATAATGTATTATACTGTGAAGCATTTCGAGTCGGGGGTCATCTCAAATTTTTGTATATATTTTATATTAATCCTCGCAGAGACACGAGGGCCTGTGGGTGCCATGGGCCATTTTGCACATTAGAATAAAAAACTGGCCCATTAAACTTTTGAAGTTTACTATTGATACAAGGGCAATGGCCCATTCTAAATTCAGAAAATGGCTAATAATCCGGAAAATGGCCCAATGTCAACGTTCTCTATCCGAATCCCTGGTTGTCTTAATAAGAAAATATAAAGTTGTCAAAATAAGTATTATAATTATTAACCTGGAGAAGTCACATTTGAATGCTGAATAATCTGAGGTGATTTACTGAGGTGATTTCCCAATAGATAACATTCCAAGGGAAAGCCTGATATATCAATGAAGACATGAACCTCAGAGTAATTTTACTTGCACCGTTTCAGATCGACAATAGATTATTTTTAAAAATATGTCATTAGAGTTATTGGATAAAAAAAATCTTCACAATTAAAACCGAATAACAACAGTAAAAATCCTGAAAACCGAAATTACATCTGCAGAATGAGGATATGTTTCTCAAGGAATAATACTTGTGGTTAGTTACCTTGTTTACAAGATGGTCGGTGACAACCTCCCGTAAAGCCTGTATAAAGTTTTTCACCATGTTTGTGTAGAACCATGGTGTAGGCATTACGGTACAGCTCTTCAAAGCTTAAGCCACTGTTATTCTTCTTCTGAATTTCCTGGATGGCATTTTTCAATAGAGCCCATATGTTGTTTACATACTTCTCATCCATGGTCATCTGCAAATAGAACAGGATTTGTCATTAAATTGTATTTTATCTGACAGATTAATTGGCATCATAGAATGTTGACAGAGTATTTAATTTTTAAACAATTAAAGAATGAATCAGATACACATGATCATCAGCTGATGATCGGTTACTGAAAGTAATTTGGTTAAGGTGTTAAAAATATTGTGGACTTTAGATAGAGAAACATTTAGAACACAAAAAACAAACTTGTATATAAGCATTATGACCACCAGCTAAAAAGAGCCATTTTGTGAAATCAGATAAATGAAATAACTGTAAATGTTTAAATCAGTGAAATTAGTTGCAAGGAGTACCAATTAAATTTCTCTGCAGAAAACAAGAAACGACGATTATATGCAAGGAAAACAATTAGTATTTTAGCTGAAAGAATAATTGTGGAGGACAGTGGATTGAGAAAGTGGAGAAGAGCCTGACATTATCGCTGTGTTTACTTCAGCAGGGGAAAATCAATTAAGGCCAAAACTCTATAGTCTACCTATCAAAGCCTGTTGGAGCAACAAATTCAAACTGAAACAACATAATTTTATTCACTGATACCTGTTGGTGAAAGATGATCACAACAAAAATGGAATGTAAACATTGCAGTATGAAATCAATGTCATCACTGTTGTGGATGGCAAATGTAAACAAACCTTCGAGAGGATAATGCACAGCCATAAAGTCTTACATTTGTCACTATCTTTTAATACAACATCATAACAAATGTTGGGCCACATGAATATGATCTGATGAGGATTATATATTTGACGTATCAAATGATATGTGACACTGTTTGATGCTCTCCACAAATTACTATACGTCGAAAAAATGACGGAGTGGCGTTTAACATTTAGGAGAAATGCTCACGATAATTGACATGATCACTTGAATTATTTAAGGGAATGCATGTGCATTCCACAGACGAATAGGTGCAATGTTTACAATTTTATGCGTGATTGCGCTGGGTCTGAAAGTGAATTTTTAGTTGTCATTTCCGCCATTGCATTTCGACGAAAAGAAACAAGTATGATGTCATAATCCAAGTCCTTTGCAGTGTGAAATAAGCACGTTATAATATGAGAATAAACAAGAAATCAATACTTACAGGAAAAGCCCTGATACGCATTTTGGTATCTTTCCTGGCTTGAGATCTGACCATACCACTCGACATTTTGGCTCCAGTGATTCAGCTTCTTGAAATTAGATCAAATATCAGACAATTAAAATCCTCCCCTTCCAATGCTAGGTAGATTTATAAATAAAGCTACAATGTTTTCTATTTACAAATATTTAAGCACAAATATCCTTGGACCGAGCTATGGTGCCACATTTTCATCTCTTAGAATCGTCGAGTTCACATTGTCAGCCATGAAATCTGTTTCCACAGTCTGATCACAAATAATGAAAAACCCTGCGCACAGGAAAATAGTTTCCTAGAATGGCCTTTCGTGAATATTTCTCCTGAGTGTCAATCCTTGTCAAATGGCACACTGGTAGCAACCAATCATTTGGTATGCTAAATCAAGAACAATTAATGATATGTATCACAAAAACAAATTTCGTATCGCGTTGACATCTGAGTATTGTTACACTCAGGTCACGACAAGTTCATCATCAAGCTAGTGCAGCGAAACATTCTATCCCATAATATCTTAGTTGACGTCACTTCCTATGGGGAAATCGATCATTGAGAATGGACGTTTCAGTTCTTGTACGCGTGTAAATAATTTATTGAACCAAACACACGTTTACCGATGTTGATAGTTTCTTCAATCAACATATCTTAACACAAGAGAAAGACGGACGCTCGCTGACAGGGCACATGTGAATTCGCAACTGTGTTGTTGCTGAAAGTGTGTATTGTTTTATACTGAAGTAAGACAGCGCCCGAAATAGCCTGTTTTATTTTTAGATCTTAGTAAATAAAACCGTTGCCTCGCCTTTCTCTGTCCCAGTTTGTTATTAAGCAGTCAATTATTGAGCACGACATCAGAAAGCCTGAAATATATCAAATCATCTCCATATACTGGAGTTTTCAAATATTAATACTTAGCACCCACGTGTTGTCTATATATTACCGCATATATTTACATTTAAATAAAAATGTATGACAACTGTATGTAACGTTTTAGGTTCCTGCGTTATAATTTTTTGCGATCCGACAAAAAGAGCTAATGCGGTGAAAATCTCACTGGGGGAAACAAATCAACCCCCCCACCCCCCACACTGCGGGTCATTCAATGCCATACCGTCGCGTCGATTTTATGCCTGTTTTCTTCGAGACTATTTAAAGGGAGTTATCTTGTATGTGGCAAATCGTGTTTAATGTTTAGGTATACACATGAATGTGTATTTAAATATCATTGTATCAACTATACTTGTAGTCTACTTACTATATGCAGACTACAAGTATAGTTGGCATAGTAATATAGTTGGTACTATATTACAGTACGATTGCCGTCTCTTTATATGAAACGTAGATGAGATTTTTAATTGACTTTGCTATAAATTCCTTCGATTTGCGGTAACTGTTTTCAGCGTTATGTACAACAGATAGCATGCGAGGCTATCGCATTCACACTCCAGTTCTGAAGACTGGTCCCCAGTAAACCCAGTGTATCCCAGAGGTAATACGTGGTTGTATATAAACCTTCCATAGAAACAAAACTATTTCAGACTTTGGGGAAAATCTCAGGCTTGTGGTAAATTGCACTGGATTGCTTCGTCCATTAGGTCCTTAGGGGATAATCATTTCACTCTTCTATTGTTTTAAAGAGGCGACTAACGGGAACAGGGATAATCTACATCTTCTACTCTCCTGGTTTTAATTAATCGGAACACAACAAGTCGGATAAGAACCGCTTTCTTCTCAAAGGGACGCAACTCTGCACACTGTCGATTAATGCTGACTATCCTGCCTCCGGCCCTGTTGCGATGACGTAATCCTGCTCATCGTGTTGTGTCCCACGTATGTACAAGTTGCAATATGCTTTATGGCACCGCTATGAACAATACTATGTCTAACGACCTCTATCCGAGATTCTGGGTGAGAAGCTCCCCGCGACCTAAACGTTTGCTTGTAAGAGGCGACTAAATTTATCTTTACGATTCGCAATATATGTTTTACATGATTCTATCGTTCACTGGTCAAAAGGTCCCTGGATATGCCCAGTTAAGTCAGTCTCTGGTCTGGTGACACCATGTTCATCTATGAGGAGTGAGTGAGTTGGGTTTTAGGCCACTTTTAGCAATATTCCGCAATATCACGGCGGGAGACGCCAGGATGGGCTTCACACACATTGTGGGTGGGGAATCGAACCCGGGTCATCGGCGTGACGCGCAAACGCTTAAACCACAAGTCTACCCCACCGCCCCTCTATAATTGAGGACAGCTTGATCAAACATACTGACACAATTTAGCAGAAATGTATAAACGTTGTACACAACGCTTAACAGGGGCGATAAGGAAGCCTGGTCCACGTGGTTAAAGCATTCGCTCGAATCTTCAAATAAAATGCAATGAATGCAAGGAGCGGAGGGGTAGCCCAGTGGTTTAAGCGTTCGCTCGTCACGTCGGACCCGGGTTCGATTCACCATATGGGTACAAAGTGTGAAGCCCATTTCGGGTGCCCCCGATATTGCTGGAATATTGCTAAAAGTGGCGTAAAACCATACTCACTCACTAACTCTTCTGTTTATTTTTAAATCTTTAGTATTCATGTTTAAAAGAGTTGATTATATATTCTGACTAAATTTTGTCTTTGTTGACTTGGTTGACTTTTCAAACTGTTGACTACTGTATGAACCTTGACACAGCGTTAGTTTCCATTAGGGGCGGTGGGGTAGCCTAGTGGTTAAAGCGTTCGCTCGTCACGCCGAAGGCCCGGGTTCGATTCCCCACATGGGTACAATTTGTGAAGCCCATTTCTGGTGTCCCCCGCCGTGATATTGCTGGATTATTGCTAAAAACGGCGTAAAACCATTCTCAGTCAGTCAGTCAGTAGTTTCCATTGTATGTGCCAGGGCCACAAGGCAAGGTTTGTAAATATTTCAGTATGAAGGTAAGTATTTCACCATGGGGTCAATAACTGTTACTTGATGCATGTCATGGGATCGGTGGGGCAGCCTAGTGGTTATTGGTTTAAGCGTTTGCTTGTCATGCCAAAGACCCGGGTTCGATTCCCTACATGGGTACAATGTGTGAAGCCCATAACTGGTGTATCCCACCGTGATGTTACTTGAATGTTGCTAAAAGGGGCGTAAAACTATACTCACTCACAAAGAGTAAAGCCCAGTACAGGTGTCCCACTCGGGGATATTGCTAACAGCGGCGTTAAACCATACTTACTCACTCACGAACTTAATTAAATATCTTCTCACGTATATATCTGTCCCGTACATACAAGCAAGTAAACCTTTAACCTAATTTATTTATTTCTTTGCTTGTGGTCTAAATAATCGACGAGTAGAAGCTGAATGATCAGACAGTAGCAGAAAGTGTTTCAAAACAACTAGGGGTGGTGGGGTAGCCTAATGGTTGAAACGTTCGCTTGTCACGAACAGACCCCTGTTCGATTCCCCACATGGGTACAATACATGAATTCTATTTCTGGTGTCCCTGTCGTGATATTGCTGGAATATTGCCAAAGGCAGCGTAAAACTAAAGTCACTCACTCACTACACAAGCGGACACTGGACGTTTAGTGTGACAGGATTGTCTCAACGGCCGCCCTGCTTCCTGAAACCAAGTTATCTCTGTACACGCAGGGGGGAGCTCGGGTGAATCATCCTACCGACGGGGAGACGTGCCTTTGTTGTCAACATAAACCACTTTTTTCGGTTTTGTAACCTTCCCGAAGTAAATATGTTGACTTGAAAAACAAATATCAATGAAAATTCTTAACCGGGCATATGTTTTCTTTTGTACACATGAAATGCGTGCTTTCATTTCTCCAGGTATGAGGGGCGGTGGGGTAGCCTAATGGTTAAAGCGTTGGCTCGTCACACCGAAGACCCGGGTTCGAATCCCCACATGGGCACAATGTGTGAAGCCCATTTCTGGTGTCCCCCGCCGTGATGTTGCTGGAATATGCTAAAAGCGGCGTAAAAACCAAACTCAGTCAGTCAGTCTCCAGGTATGATCGTACGATGACAGAATGAAAGCCAGTTTAAAACTTTATGGGTTTTTTTTTAACGCTGCTCTCAGCAATATTCCAGCTATATAATATAAATAATCGATTCTGGACCGGACAGTCCAATGATTGACATCATGAGCATCGTTTCACGCAGTTTGGAAACGATGACATACCGCAACCAAATCAGCGAGCACGACCACCCGATCCCGCTAGTCGCCTCTTATGACAAACCTCGGTTGCTGAAGATCAATTCTAACTCGGATTTTCACGGCCCAGAGTATACTTTATACTCCCCGATCATCGCTGTCAATCTGTCCATCGTATCCAGGGAGTCTCTCAAAAGATAACCTCAATATACTCATAGAAACGAATAAAGGAACACATGAAAGTACAAGTGTTCCTTTATATTTCCAGAATTTCACCCACCATGCAATACATACCTTGTGAAGAAACCTGGAAAAGAATAAAGACCACTTGTACTTTCATGTGTTCCCTTATTTGTTTCCATGAGTATATACGTCACGTCAAGGTCAGGTTACTCGGCCTGATATAACTGGATAAATGGTCACTCATGAATTCGCGAGCGGGGACGGTGGGATAGCCTAGTGGTTAAAGCATTTGCTGGTCACGCTGAAGACCCGGGTTCGATTCCAATCTTGGGTACAATGTGTGGAACCCATTTCTGGTGTCCGTCGCCGTGATTTTGCTGGAGTATTGCTCAAAGCGGCTCAAAACTAAACTCTCTTGCGAGCGAGCATACTTCAGTCGGTAGGACTCCCTTACACAGAAGTGACAACGTATATATGTGACATGGCCACTCTCTGGCTACCTGTTGTCTCGTGGTTGTGTTTTGGTTTGTTGTCCCAAGCTGCAGGTGATATACATGTATAGGACTACGACACACTTATGAGTTCTGTTCATGTTTTGTTTAACGCGGCAATCTGATGGCAGCAAATCATTGTCTCATAGTATGTGTTGATATGAGGTGTAGTAGCTCAGGGTGGAGGATGGAAGTCGAAAACTCGGGTGGAGATCTAGACAACATCAACAACAAAAAATACAGGTTGATCATCACGTAACGCATCCTCGATAATCTCCAGGATATACGTTCCGATAAATCTCCACTATCGGAACGTATACCCTGGAGATTATCAACTAGTGGAGATTTATCGGAACGAATACCCTGGAGATTATCGAGGATGTATGCGGACACCAAGACTTGTGTATGGACAGAACCCTTTCTCTGATAAAACAAGGTTCCAAGAATGGTTCTATAGTCCTTTCAGTCTTGGCCCGTGCAGATGAAACAGATTCCTAGTCAAATGGCCCAAGGATTTGTGTTCTTAATCAGCGGGGACGCTTTCAAGTGTTTTTAATGCGGTCGCGTTCTCAAGAAC